ATCGCAGGCGCGCGGCGGTAATCGACGCAAATGACGAGCTCGCGCGTAACGAAGCCCGAGTTACCGCGAATAAGACGGTAAATCCGTCTCTTCCGCTTCCTCTTCCGCGTCGCGTGCTCTTTCTGCTTCAGCAGGGAAATATCAGCCTGAATTACCGTCGTGCGAGGTGAGTTTTACGAGCGAGCTCGTGCAAATTTGCGACGCGTGGAACTCGCAAAGAACATCGGCGCGCGCCTCTCTCGCGTCGTGCTTTCGCGGCTAGCCTTCGGGGAAAATTAACGCCGGAACGACCGAGAGAGAGAGAGAGAGAGAGAGAGAGAGAGAGCGAGCGAGAAACACTCGGTGGAAACCTGACGCTGATGCTCAGCATCGGCTGAGCCTGCCGCACGTGTCGATCGCGTAGCAATTACACACGCGAGGCGTCGAAATACACGTTTGCTTTTTGCACGTCGCATCCGCGCGCGCGGCCAAATCCGCTTTCTGCGGAGTGTGCGGCGAGGTGGCCCGATCGATTTCGCGACGTTGAACGAACTCGACGAGCTCGAGAGAGAGAGAGAGAGAGAGAGAGAGAGAGAGAGAGAGAGAGAGAGAGAGAGAGAGAGAGAGAGAGAGAGAGAGAGAGAGAGCAGGACGATCGATACGACGAGAGAGCCGACGCGCGGTGATTTCCCGATTAATAAAAGGCGCTTAAAGGAGGGCATACAGTCCACCCGTACACGCGCGCGAGCGCTCCGGATCGAATCGTCCGTGTGGCCTCGTTAATATTAAAACTAGCGGCGAACTCGAGAGGAAGTTCGCTGGAATTTTATGAGTGCGTTTATTATGCAGCAGCCGCCGGCGCGGACCTACATTCGCTTTAGCCTTTAGAGCGATATCTCCGTTGTGCCGGGCGAGATCTACGCAAAGAGTCCCCTCAGCGCGTCGAAATGACACGCCGCTTCTTCGCTCAACACGGCGAAGAGGAGGCGCGACGCATCGTCGTCGTCGTCGTCGTCATCGTCCCCTCGGTCGCGTCGTCTCCCGCGACGGATGTGGTTTATCAATTTAATCGTCAAGTGTAACGCCTCGGAGGCTTTTCCGACACATCGAGGCATCGCGCGACAATCGGCCACTACCACGGGGCGAGGACACAGGGGATCTGTTCTGTCTCAGGGCAGTCGGAGAAACAAAGCAAACGTGAAGGGGAACTTGAGCGAGCGGATCCTTTAAAAACGAGGAATAAAAAGTGCAAAATGCAGCGCAGGAGAAAACGGGACGGCAGGAGGGTAATTGTTTTGTTATCCCAAAATGAGAGGAACGATGGCACCGAAAATCGCACGCGTGAGCGTATATGATTCTGCTTCCTTCGCCGCGTGATATTCGTCGTGCATTCTCGTCGCTTCGGGGACGGAATCGCATCGGCGATTTGCCGAAGAGCCGGCGGCGCCGAAGCCGGCGCGCGATTCAACCCTGACATGACATGACGTGGCGCGCGGCGCGGCGCGACGCGACGAATCTACTTTTACGTGATTGGAATTGGGTTAGCCTCGGGGAGCGAGCGGAATGTATCCGGGGCGGAAAACAGTTTGCTCGACAACTCGACAATACGCCGCTTCTTCGACGGCCGCGACACAATGTGCGCCGATTGCGCAACGCGCTTCAACACACGCTCGCTCGTCACACGTACACGCAAACACACGCGCACGTGTCCTCGACCTGGTCGAGCACGGTCCTCGTTAATTAGCGCGCCCTTTCGGAAAGGGTGACGCGAAATCCTACGCCACCCTCCACGTGCCGCCGCCGCCGCCGTCGCCGTCATCGTCGTCGCGTGCAACTCCGTTCAATTATCCCATCGCGACGCAGTGGTGGTCCACGTGAGAGCACGCGCTTTGCAGTAACGAGTTATCGGGCTGCTGACTCGTCGCTGTGAGCGGGCGGCTGCATCGACTTTTAATCGCGACAAATCAACCTGCAACTTGTCGCCACGCTGACTCTAATTAGCCGCGAGGCTAAGGATTCATCGCCGTGAAAAACGGCGATGGACAAATTCGGTACACGCTGCAGTGCGTCTGGGTATTTCAATCTGCCCCCCGGCGCTTTTCCATATTCATCATTAACACAGCCGTTGTAATTGACTGGCAGAGCGAAATTTCACGAGCTGTAACACGAGAGCTTTGTGTCTCCGTGGAACCGTGCGCCGGACGGACGAACGGACACGTTCCCGCCGCGCGCGATACGCGAGCGGCGTACCACGCTCGCGAGCTCTGTCTCGAATAAAAAATCTGAATATCGAATTGAGTGCTTTTCTCGACTGCAACGTATCGCGGTGAGCGCGAATCGCGCGGTAAGGCGCGAGCGTGTAGCGAAACGTAAAAAGCACTTGTCGACGTAAAATGCGCGCGTTCAGCGTCGAGCGTGAAAACGTCGCGTTTGTTCCGCGGAGAACAAAGTCGGATTGTGCGCGCGATAGTGGAAAAAGGGAGAAAAGGGACTGAAAATTTATAACTTGCTCGGATATCGGCAGCTTTCAATGTTCGGAATGTTGACTGTTCGGACCGCGCTCCGAGAAGTGTATCTCTCTCTCTCTCTCTCTCTCTCTCGCGCGCGCGCGCGCGAGCGAGTAATCTCTCATGTCGGGATATCGCCGTTTCTGGTTGACAAAAATGTGTCAAAGCGATTATGCCTCACAATCGACACCCTCCTTGTTCCGCCTCCTTTCTCCTCCCTGCCGAGGGAGAGAAACGCTTCGACGACGCTTTTATCATCGTGCGTGCTCTCGCGCCTCGTTAAAATTGCCCCTCGTCTCGCTTATTCTCATCCCGCTAGTTTCTCTTCTTCTTTCCCTCCTCCTCCCGCCACGTTCCCGCAACGAACCGCTGTCATGGTCGAAAGAGCGTGCCGTAATGTTTGTTTTATTTTTATCGTAAGGTAAACGTCCTGTAAATGGTTCCACGTTCCACTATCCGATCACTTTGAAAAAAAATATTTACTATCTATTTTAACAATAGTGAATGAAAGTAATAATTATTGGGGAAAAAAAAAAAAGAGCTCCAATATTTAACGATTAATTGGAAAAAATATGCCCAATTTGATACTTTTATATAAAAATAAAAATTAATTAAATAAGTATGCACCTATGGTTTGGCAAACTAACGGTTGATCGTTAATAAATTCATTAAGAGATATCACCTATATTTGTATTATTTCCCATTAGCACATACTAATTTTCTAATTGCGATCAGATACTGGAACAAATTATACAATATCCGGACATTGGACCTATTTCAACCGTCCGATCACCGGTACATTAATGCGCTCCATTACTTGTATAAATATTTCATTAATAATAGATATATATTTCATTAATAATAGATACATTGGTTTAAATCATTTTTCCCTACTCAAAACTAATCTTAATATTATATATTGTATTTTTTGTGACGACCTATGCTTAAACGTCCGGTTGCTGGGACATTTACCTTACGCGCTTCATGATTACGTTAGAGTTGTCTACACAGGTGTATCAGCCGAAGAATGCATATAATCAGTGAAACGCCATTTTCCGCGGCAATATCACACACTGCGACAAAATCGTGCGACTGCGAGAGCGAAAGGGAAGAGATGCGATCCGTGTTTGTAAAAAAGAGCATTTTGCAATTTTTCTTTTCTACCGTTTCTCTCGATAAATATCAATAGCCGGCCTCAGCTAAATAACGGCGTGGCCGATATTCTCGTTAATCCTCGAGACTCCCGGGATGGACAGAGCGCGATTGTTCCAGTTTCCAGTGGCTCTTTCTCATGATACAAATACAGGACTCGCCGGCGCGTGAGTGAGTCAGCAACGCAGCTCTGTAATCCGCTTTGCGTTGCGCTAACAGTGTATCTTTCTCCACCCTCTCTCTCTCTCTCTCTCTCTCTGTCCTGCGTATGACTCACAAATTATGGTGTATTTTTCGGTTGTACGCTGACGCACCGAGGGTTAAACCCTCGACCTAGCACCCTCTCTCTCCCTCCCTTGGAGTGGAGACTGTGAGTCGCTCCTCGGCCCGGAAGGCAATCGCGAGGGTGGATCCTGCCGCCTCTTCTTTGCCACGTGCTTTTCTGCCCTCGACAGCGGTTCTCAAGTCGAGATTACCCAGCAATCTTCAATCAAATTCCGCTTTTACGCTATTCTTCATGCTCTCTAACTGTTGATACTGGCTGACGAAAGAGAACCGTCACCGCTTTTACACAGAATTCTCAGCAATGTCGCAACGATAACGCAAACATGAATGCCGATGAGTAACTCTGACGATAATCACGTTCCGCGATAACGGGGCAGATAGTGAAAGAATTTCATTACCACGAGAGACCTTCCGAGGAGACTACGTAGAAATTCCACTGGCATACATTCACTTCGCATACACGCTTCATTCGGTCAACGGTGCGTTTACCATAGGAAACGAAGCTTGGACGCCCGCCGTCCCGATGATCCGCAGATAAAGAAAAAACATACACGAGTATCCCTTCGTCATTAATCCGTAATGTCTCGCAAGATAACCCCGCCTCACGGCACCCCACGTGTACGCTTCGCGTATCGCGTGGTCGCGGCGGACTTCTGAGAAAGTCCTGCACGGCCGAGCAGGAAACCAAAGTCGTCATAAAATTAAATATACAGAATATCAATGATATAATATACACGATAGTCCTATCATCTACAAAACAAATGATGGTTTTATCACCACAATAAAAAAACAAAACTCTCTAAATAAATACGCTCGTTAGATTCTAATTCAAACGAGAAATGTCCCTGTTGAAGATAAAAAATCCCCATTCACACACACACACACACACACAGATCAAGAGTGACTCAGCAAGATCCCACCAATTAAGGCAATCGGCCAACAGGCTGTTGGTGGAAATTTGGCGAAAAGTCAGTGGAGTCCAGCTATGGAGAGCGGAGAGCGTTGGACGACGAGCGCGAGTCAAGACGGATATTACATACGAGCGGAAAGCCAAGTGCCAAGCGCTCAAGATCTTACCGAGATGGACTCGCCGTTGGCCTTTTCCCCGTCCAGTATCCTCTGTCTCAGGGCGAGCCTGTCCAGGCTGGCGAGCCTATAGCTGCCGCCGGCTTCGCGGTCCCTGGTGAGCCGCTCCGAGGTGCCGCCGCCGCCGCCGCCGGTGCCGCCGGTGCCGGCCCCGCCGCCGTTCGAGCCGGCGTTGAAGCTCGACGTGTACTTGGGCAGGGTCGGCGGCGGCACCTGACGCGCCTTCTCGCGATTCAGCATCGTGCTGCTGCTGTACAAGAAGGACGAGTTGTTCTGCAGAACGGCATTGCGGCCGGACGGCGAGACGCCCGACGACGCTACCGAGGACGCCGACGACGACGACGACGACGACTTGATGCCGTTGCTCTGCGCGCCACCCGCGGTCCCGTTCTGCTGCTGGTTCTCCGTCGACATGTCTCCGCCGAGAGAGAATTTCGGTTCACGACGCGCGATCACGGCGACGATGCTCGCTCGCTCACTCTCTCCTGTGTCGCAGGGGGGGAGGGGTTCTCGCCAGGGACTCGAAAGGAGGGTTGTTCAACCCTTGAACCGAAAGATCGAAGAGGGTGCTTAACGTGTTCGCTCAACCGTTCGTGTCGCATACGCGCGCGCGCGTGTGTGTGTGTGTGTGTGTGTTGCTGGACACAGATTTACGGACGGAGATCCCGGCTCGCGACGATGAGTATTCTCCAGCCGGAGACGCGTATATATTTAGCGAAATTCCGAGACTGGCTTCTTTTTCTCCGACTCGTTCTCCGAGGGTGGATGGTTTGGGGTCTCGGGCGACCCGAGAGAACGGCGCGGTGGTGCAATAAGCGCGGCGAACGTGTAAAGCGTCCTGTCTACAATGGCAGTAAGCAGCAAGAAGAAGCGTAAGCGGTACGAAATAAAGCGATCACAGTCGATTGTGACAAAAATAATCAACTGTGATCGGTCCATCTCTTACTGTTCTTCACGCTTACTTCTTATCGCTTACCGCCATTGTAGGCAACGCTTGAGACGCGAAGCGTCACGTTCGGCCCGAAAATCCCCAGCAAACTTGAATCCGTCGAGTATCAAGGCGCGTTACGTCACGTTCGATGTATGCGCACCCAGCCAGACACCTTCCGTTTGATACATGTATACCTGTCATCTGCATGTACGCGATATACAACGGGCATGTACGCGGAACAATCGTTGCGAGCCGTCATGGCCGATTCTCCGATCGGTGAACTTGGTAGCGGAAACGTGTTAAACGGAAACACAAGAGGTGCCTCTGAGATTCTCCCCTCCACACCGAGGGAAAAGGCGCGCGAGATGTTGACCTCCCCAAAACTGTAACGGCGTTCGGCGGCCAAGCGTGTATCCAAGCTGCTTGTTGCTTTGGAAAAAGACAAACAATAATACGCGTATAAAGTTATTGCGCCGCTGACATTGCAGCAGCTATCAATCGCTATTTCACCGCGACCAATTATGGCGGAGCGACGCAACAAGGGGGGGGAGGAGGAGATTTTCTCTCGGTGTAACTTTCGAGGCGAAACGAGTTTGTGAGAAAGTCGCGTGAGTGTCGCGCGCGCCGCGGCGCGATATTTCGGTTTAAAGGTGATGAAAATCGCGGAGCGTGAAGGCTCTCTCGGCGCGGCGCGAGAGATGACGAATGGAAACGCATCGAACACGTCGAAAGTCGATACGCCGGTGCGGTTTTGTTTGTCCCTGTTGCGACACGACGACGACGACGACGACTCGGCGCGTCCCGCTCCGTGACGAGCTCTAACCGGCAGGCTCGTCTTACGCACCGCGACGATAACTCGACGACGCAAGGACAGACAATGCTGTTCCCGTTTCAGCGGTAAAGCGCGATCGAAACCAACTCCGCGGATCGATCGATCGGCGAGCCGACAGCGGGACGAATTTCGACGCGAGAGAGGGTTGGATGAAAAAGCTTATATTCCCCCTCGATGATCTTCCTCAATATCGAGGGCGCTTAGCGAGAATTGCGACCTCCACATGTATATACACACACACACACACATACATACACCTTTCGCGTTTAAATCCCCGCGGCTTTAATTGCTCACTCTCGACGCGTTCGCTCGCGCTCGCTTGCGCGCGCTGCGATTGTTTACGACTCGTCCCGTCGTTGACTCGTCGAGTTCTGATTCGACTTCCCGTCTCGTGCGCGACCGCTTCGATTACTGGTCGTATGACTACGATCTGTTGGAATGCACCGGAGTAAAAGCGATCACGCGCGCTCGCGAAAAGCGAGAAAAGCGGCCGTTCCCTCTCCCCCCCCGCCGCCTTCTTCGCTTTCGCTAAACTTCATACATCACGGCCATCGCGGACCGGTCGGCGAAGTCGCTTTGTAAACGCGACAACTGCTTTTGACTTAGCTTTGACGTCGTCTTTTCGCGCTGACTCTGCTTAAACAAAGGCACCAATCGTGACACGCGAGACTAGTTAATTAAGATTCCGCCGCCTCTGCCTATGTGAATTCCGTTCTATGAATATGGACCTACTAATTACGTAATTAGAGAGAAAAAGAAGTTGGCTGATGCAACGGGCTCAAGTTTCTTTGTTTAACCTCATCCCTTTGTCCAAACGGGTCTCTCTCTCTCTCTCTCTCTCTCTCTCCTCTCTCTCGATTCGCGAAGAAAAGGAGCCAGTATGAAAAAGAAAAAGGTTTCATATTCGTATCGTGGCTTTTCACCGCAAAGGCGTTATCGCTTTCGTTCACACACACACACACACACACACATTCACCGCGCTTGGAATTTCGACTTTCGCCGGAATTACAAGCGTCTCAAGCTTCGTACGCGAATACAAAGTGTCAGGTGTTCGCGAGTCAAAAGGCGCACGCCTGCCCGCCCGAAAGTTTCTCGTCCTCTCGATCGTCGCGGGGCGGACAGCGAAAAGAGAGCTTCGCGCGCGGAGTCGAAGCGACTTCCTCGTACTCCGCAACCCGGATGCGTTCTCGCGAGAGAGTGCAAAGTCTCGGGCGAGCAAACGTTCTCTCGATCGCGACGCGACGCGACGCGAACGGGAACACCCGGGTGGTGGTGTCGTTGCGAACAACACACATGCGGCGGTCGCCGCGAATTTCAGTCGAAAAGTCGACAGACCTCTCCGTACCTTCACACGATGCCGATGATGCTCACTGCGTAGGTGGTGCGCGCGCGAGAGTGCACAGGGGGGTTGCTCTCGCGTTCGGGCAAAGAGAAAAGCGAGAAAGAGGCAACGAAAGACTGAGCCAACGGGTCAGATCTCGAAAGACCGAAAGACAGAAGTGCACAGAGCGAGAGAGCGAGCGAGCGAGAAAGGGAGACGGGACGCGCACACGTCGTGGGTACTGCGTGGGCTCTCCCCGGAGCCGGTGCTGGCGCGCGATGATTCACGCTGTCGGCAAGCCGGCCGAGCATGGCCGTGTTTTCACTCTCACTTCGCTGTTCATCGTGTTGTCGTTCAGCGAGTTTCACGCGGGGATCACGAAGAGGAAGCAGAAGCAGCGGCAGCGGAGAGAGATGTGCGCGCGCGCTCGTCCGGCGTACGACAAACCGGATGTGTGTCCACACGCGAGACACACACACACACACACGCACGCACGCACGCACTCGAAGGCAACGCGCACGCACACAACTGCCGAGAACGCCCGCGCCGAGAGAGAGAGAGAGAGAGAGAGAGAGAGAAGGGAAAAAAAGAGTCCTGGACAACGCGAAACTTACTTTATCGCGAAACGTCGCGATCTCGCGACAGCAACACGTTCCGTCCGTGATAACGCGCGACCGACCGCGCACCCGACTCGAACGTACTGGACGACGACCACGCCTGACGCAGCTGCCGCGAGGCGAAGAGAGGAGAAGAGGGCGAACGGAGGAGACTTCGGTCGCCGCCGGCGGAGTTCGCGCAGCCGAGCGACCACCAATCGCGGCCGACGACGCCAGCGCCGCCGGCCAATCAACGCGTCCGGCGTGCTAACGTGCACGCACGCGAGCGCGCCGAGGCGAAGCCGGCTGGTATCGAGCGTCGATACTGCAGCGCCGCGCACACTGCCGCCGAACCTCTCGGGAAGGGCTTTCGTACGAGCGAGCGAGTACGCGGCACTTTTTCTTTCGCTCGTCGCACGAAGCTGTAAGCGCGATTTCGCGGATGACAGCCTTTTTCCTTTTCCTCCCCCCCTCTCTCTCTCTCTCTCTCTCTTTCTTCCTCTTTCTCGCAAACACGAATCGTGGACGGCTGCTGATAAAGAGAGGACCCTTTCCCCAGATTAAACGCGCGTTGCGTGTTGAGAAAAGAAGAGAGAAGACAATGTTGTGTATCGTTCAAACGGAAAGAAGTATTCATCTTCGACGCTGGGCTAATTTCTTGCCGCTCTCTAATCAAGAAAGCGCGGTAGAAATATACGCGCGTGTATAGAGATTGTGTTATCGCTAACGACGTGGTGCTTCTACCTGCTGCTACGAAAACGCTTCTCCTTGACTATAATTATCTCATTACGTAATAACGACGTCACAAGAGCGGCGTCAAACATTTGCTTTCAGTGCTCGAGTACTCAGAGATGGGAAACGGGCAAGAGCCGTGTGCCGCCCTTGCTCTCAACGCTGAAGATTCGCTGAGAAACGCGTTGGTCTTTTCTCGACACGATCGTTTCGTCGCGCGTTGGAAACGCGCCGCGGGATGCAATGACCCTCGCGAGATTACCGGCTGATAAAGTCGATTTGATCAGTCTTATCGTCCTTCCTAGTGTCAACGAACACGAGACGCAGCATACCATAGACACTTGGCGCGCGCGCGCGCGCGCACGCACGCACGCACGCACGCACGCACGCACGCACGCACGCACGCACGCACGCACGCACGCACGCACGCACGCACGCACGCACGCACGCACGCCGGATATTTTAGAACGGCGATTGGCTTTAAGTGATTCGAGCACGCGCACGCGGTCTCGATTTCACGATGTCAACGCTCCCTTGCCGCATTGTCTTGCCGATCGTTGCGCTTGTTATTCTAGCGTCGTTCACGTCCACTAGGAAGTCCACACGCAGCGGAATACCCGGAGCGTCGTTGCGACCTTAATTGAACGTCGAGCTAATAAGAGCATCGCGACGTCGCCGCACTGTCGACAACGTGCATGCGTGAGCGCGTAACTACTACGTGCGTGTACATGTCCGAAAGAATGAAATAAGAAGAGAGAGAGAGAGAGAGAGAAACTCGGTGTCCCTCCTTCTCTCTCTCTCTCTCTCTCTCTCTCTCTCTCTCTCTCTCTCTCTCTCTCTCTCTCTCTATATCTTTCTTTCTTTCTCGAATGGAATGCACTTTGCGACAATGCACCGGCGGTGCCGCTCATGTCACCCGACTATTTCTACACCAGAGCGTCCAAACTCATGTCTATTACTCAGGTACGCCGAGTCGACACCCTCCCTCCCTCCCTCCCCTTTCTTACGCACCGTTCGCCCTCCGAAGAGACGGCAAAGATGTGGCAAAGGCAAACGGCAAGGATATGGATTCTTTCGCCGAATTTCAAGAGCGATTCTCTCGCTGCTAGCTGTTTATAAATGATCGCAAGACTACCTGCTCGGCCGCGGCGGTCGACTCGTTGTTGCTGTTCTTCTTCTGATTGTTGTACCTAGCAAGGACGTTCGGATGTAGACGACGTCTCGTCGTAGGCTTATTCGCAGTCGACATCGCGGTTCGTCCGCCCGATATCACTCTCGAGTTTAATTACAATTCACTAATTCACAGGATCGTCTCTCTCTCTCTCTCTCTCTCTCTCTCTCTCTCTCTCTCTCTTTCCCTCTCTCGCTCTCTCGCTCTTTCACTCGCGACGCAACGCGGCTCGCCGTGTTATACGGCACGGTAACGAGATGTCGCAGACACAGAACGCGGACGCGGAGAGAAATGCGAATATCGGAGCGAGCGCAATTTCCTCCACCACTCGCTCGTGTCGCGCACTTTATCGTTAAAACGCACACACGATAATGAGAGACGAATTCAGCCGGCGAGCGAGCGCGTTATCTTCTCTCGCAGAATGAAAAACGCTGCTTCGGAAACCGGAATGACCGATCGTCGTTCTGCGGTTTTGGAAGCGGAGCGCGCGCGATAAGTATCGCGCACACGCGCCGCGTAAAAGCGTGCAGCGTAAAATCAAAACTGCGTGAGACCGAGAAAGGACTCGGCTGAGGAAAGCGCGCGCGCGCGCGCGCGCGCGTGATCGCAGCGAGAAATTCGATCGCGAATTTCCTCCTGCGTTTACTCGATCGCATCCGTCTCGTCGTCAGTCTCAGCCGACTCTCAGGTGCGACTAATCACCGCGCGCATTTAGCCGATGCTCACTGTGTTGTTTGATTTCACCGTTCACATCGCGAGACTGAGTTTATTTACTAAACAACAGAGTGCGTCCGCCGATGTGTACACGTGTGTGTGTGTGTGTGTGTGTGTGTTTCGTCCTGGCTGCAGGATTCCACACAGCGGGGCAGCATCGGTCGTTATCAACTTTCGGCCCGGTAACAACGAGTCATATGACAACGGTCACAGCAATGCAATGGAAAAGCGACGGAGCGGGGGAGGGAGAGGGAAAGACGGAAATTCAAACGCGATTGATTCGCGAGGCGCGCGGGCTTTCGCCGTGCGAATCGAAATACGCGCGCGGTATTAATATTACGAACACGGAGGCAAACTTCCACGCTATTCGAACGACGATCGGAATGCGACTAGCCTTATCAGAGAGAGAGAGAGAGAGAGGGGAGGGGGAGAGAGAGAAAGAGAGAGAGAGAGGGGGGGGCAGAGGAAAGACAGACAGAAAGAGAAGGAGCGACTCACCGCTGTGATGTCCGAAATGACCGTGACGGCGATGACGTCGTCGTCGTCGTCGTCGTCGTTGTCGTTGTAGTCGTAGTCATCATCGTCAACGTCGATTGAGCAAACCATGCGGTCATCCAGTATCCGTACAGCGCCGGAAACAGACCAGAGAGAGGCCGAGGGAGGAGGGATATTACGGAGAGGAGGCGCGAGGTTGATACCGCGATAAGAACGATAAGGAAGAAGGATAGTTCAGGAAGGGAAAGGAAAAGGGAAAGGGAGAGACACATTAGAAAACGTTCTTCATATATAATTCTTACATATTTTCTTGCAAATTTCCCCGAGTAAAATTTCACTCTCGAAAGGCAGAATGACAGCAGAGTTATTTTAATACGAATCACTTTTTTTTTATAGAGTGAATCGTCGGGTGAATATTTTTGCTCGAAATTGTAGCATGAAACTGATGCGCTCCAATTAATTGAAACATTTATTCGTATGGATTATACATAAGAATTCATTTGAAATTTACTTGAAAGTTTATCCGAGAGTCAAACGTTCACTCTTGCAATCTCGAGTGGCGGCGTTTCCGCTGTCGTTTCCAAGCGAATTTTTGCTCACTTTTAGTGAGCAGAAATTTCGCACCAAGGAACACTTGGGTAATATTTTTTTCATCTATCATTATGATTGCGATTTTTATCATCGTGAAATTCTGTTACTCGAAAATATCGTTCATTCATTTCGCTTCGATATTTTGCAAGTATAATAGTAAAACCCGTAATAGTTATAACCCCCGTTATAATACATTATTCCGCATTTTCGCTATGCGCTTGTATCATTAAATTTGCGCGAGAAAATAATTCTCGTTTGTTGTCAATTGCCTGCAGCAATGTAATTTTCGCATCGCGGCAACAAAGTAATCACCGTAGTCGCGCGCGCGCCGCGCGGCAACGCCGTCGGCTCCCTCGAAATTTTTCAGATCGATAATAACGCTCACAGCGGAGAGCACACAGGCGGTTTATTTTCTTAAAGAAAAACCAGACCGTGCGGCCTCTGAAAACAAACCACGTCCGGACAAGAATTCTTCGGAATCTCTCTCTCTCTCTCTCTCTCTCTCTCTCTCTCTCTCTCTCTCTCTCTCTCTCTCTCTCTCTCTCTCTCTCTCTCTCTCTCGTCGCGCGAGAAAGAGGGATACACTTTCGTTGCTGCAGCTCACTCTAACCGAGTTGAGCATTGCATAACGTCAAGAGAAAAATAATGTGTCGCGCGTTCCTTACGTGCGTCGTGTAGAGCGATCGTGGAAGTCTCCATCCTGTTCACCGCTGGCGGCTCCTTATCCTCGCGATATTATGGTCGAATTCTTTCACGGCATAGACTTATGTACACAAACTGAGCGCCCCGCAAGAGGCTGCGAAGACTACATCTGTAGAAAATGACCTGTGCCAGAGACATTCGATTTTGGTCTAGCCTTGACTCCTGTTGGAGAAAGCCAGACAAAGATAGCATGCCTATAGGCGCACCGGAGGGAGCATGTCCTTCGGACTCATACGAAGTCAATGTACACACAAGTTTCTACAAGTTCTAAGTTTCACAATGGACACGCGAATGGGCGGAAATAGAGTTACCGAAAAAAGTCGCGGGATTGAATTTGAAATTCGGGCGCGCCCGAAAGCGCGGCACATCGACAGAGACCGAGAGATATCTCAATGTCGAGACACGCGATGATTTAAATCCGCCGCGCAAACATTAAATGCTCGCGAATCGATCGCGCGCGCGATTCGAGACACAGATCTCGAAATAATCATCGTGACGTCGAAGATTGTTCCCGAGCGAACAAACACAGCGGAACCTGTGTGTGTGTGTGTGTGTGTGTGTGTTTCAGCTCTTTACGAATTCATCGATTTCAATATTAAACGATCCCCACCTGCCCGACAAGCTGGGAACATCCACGTGTCCTCGAGTAGTGCACAAAGGATGCGGGAACTGTTAGCTCATTTCGAGTCTCAGGCTTGAATCTACGGAATTTTCACGGATCACCGCGATAGAGAAAAATCCGATGGCGATTTTTCTCGTGCGGCCACTCGTACGCCTCGATTTCGACGAGAAGGGAAGCGAAAACACGAAAGCGAAACAAAGTAGCACAGCAAGGAGGAAACGGAGAGGGAGATAGAGAGAGAGAGAGAGAGAGAGAGAGAGAGTGCTTCCTCGGTCTGATACGGAAGAACCAGATGTACGAGCGATCGCGTGTTCGCGTGTCGGATTCGCGATTTACACTAAAGGCACGTCGACGAAGGCACGAAGGCGATTCGCGCGATCGTTCGACGAGCTTCTGTCACGTGCGCGTCTGAGACGCGGAGAAACGTTCCGCTATTCTACGCCTATTCCTCTTCCTTCCACCATCGCTCTATTATTTCCCTCCTCCCGTCTTCTCTCCCTCCAGAATCCGATTGAGAGAATTGATTCTTTAACCCTGCAGTTCACTGCGCGACCAGTTTAACCAGTCCTTTTCTCTCTCTCTCTCTCTCTCTCTCTCTCTCTCTCTCTCTCTCTCTCTCTCTCTCTCTCTCTCCCCCTCTCTCTCTCTCTCTTTACCCTTAAAACGTGACACTCACATAAAAATAGTTACTAAAGATAGACAAGTGATACCATAGTGTCAATGATAATAATAACCTTATATGTACGTTGCCATCTTTTTGTTGGAAAAAATATGATCAGTACCGAGAATGTCTACAATTCTAGCGTAATTAATTACCCCATCTCTCTCTCTCTCTCTCTCTCTCTCTCTCTCTCAGTGTAAAATAGACTGGGAGGAAAAAGAGGGACGTATTCAAGAAAAATTCAATATCAAGTTTGACCACGAATTAGACCACAAAGCGGTTTTAACGCAAGTAGTAAGTAACGACACACGTTTTATAGGCATCCGCTGCTATTTAATGTCAGATTTCTCAGTCCCTATCGACACTGGACTGGAAACAGGCGTCCATGAAAATACCGGAATCCTTATCTACGCAGGGCTGCCGCGCGATGCGCGTAACAGGCAACGATTATTACAATCTTATCTACACGAAAAACTGAAAATTGTGCGACATAGTGCACAAAAATACCTATTTTTGTCACAAGCAACCTGGCCCGAGCGAATTTTACAACTTTGGAATTTCGTTATTGGTAGTAGTAAAAAGAGACCATGCAAGTCCCGTAAGTTGAAAACACACATTGAAACGATTACGACCGCGATCGGCACGTACGTGTGTGCTGGCGTGCACATGATGCACAGACGTGTGTGTATATTAATGCACGCGCATGACCGACGCTTCGTCAAATTAACGCTTGGAATTGAGCAATCTTTACTCTTAATTCGCATCGCAGTCGCAAAGCCGCGCGTCCGCGCGGTGCGCGGAAAGGGAGGGGCGAAAACGCGCGGGGAAAAAAGGGACGTTGACGAGATCTAATTAAACAGGTCGGTGCGTTAAACGACTAAATTGGTAGGTTAGGTCGGCCGTCGCGGAGTATCGACCGGCCGCGTCGTATTGACGACGAAATTCGGCGGCTCCAAAATGGTCGCGCGGTCAGGTCAGGTCAGGTCGTCCGGCCGAGAGGACAGGTGAGAGGAGAAAGACGCCTGTCCCCCGGGGGACGCCCCCGCCCCGACAAACAAACGCGCACGTAAAATGCTCTCTCTCTCGCGCTTACCACTTCGCTGCATCTTTCCACCGGGGCGTCACAGCGGCTCATCGGTCATAATCCTCCGCTGCGGTGGACGACGCGGAGAGGGCGGCCGTCGTCGACTGCTTTCGCATGCCACTCGCGCGAGACGCACTTGACGCGAGAGAGAACGCGACGCAATGCGATGTCCGACAAGCGCAACAGCCAGCCAGTCGGCCAGCGATCGGGACAAACGTGTGAACGTGCGTGCCGTTCGACCGCACACTTTTCAAATATCGCGTTGCCCGAAACAACGAGCCGAGACGCGCATGTCGACGCATGCGTGCGCGCACCAACACGAAGAGTCAGTCGGTCTCGCTCTCGGCTCGACCAGAGAGAAACCTTGAGAGCGGCCGACGCGGCATTTTCTGCGACACCGACTTTCCGTCCGACTGGGAGAGGACGCCATCTGCATCCATTTTCAGAGGAGAACTGCGATGCTGCATTCCACTTTCAGGTCTCGGTGGTAAAATCTGCATGTGGTGGAAGTCCGTGCCACTGCCACTTTCAGGCGGTTTATGTCCGTGCTGCAACCACACTGTTGCCATCACTATCACCATCTCTATGACTGCATCTAAAAAGATGTAAAATGAGCGGGGGGTGGAGCAGGAAAAATTTAAGTACGTGTTAAATATTAAATCTTGGAATACATGTTGCCGTATCAGTGCACAATAGCGCCGCCGAAAACGCCGTGCTGGCCACTCTCCTGGCACGCCGCACGACAGCGCGCGCCTCGCGCATGAACTACGCGTCCTTTAGAATGGCGTACGAGCGAGAAATACCGAGTCTGCCCGAGCCCGGCGGCGCGGCGAGCCGAAGGCGTCCGATCAGATATAGTCGGTTGGTGAATTTTGTGCCGCGAGTCTAACAACGTTGCAAGCAGCTCGAATTTTCGAAATATTTGCGGGAATATAATGTTGCGAGGTACGTTCGCTTCGGTCTCATGTTTCTTCGTATTATGCGACTAGTTGCGTATTCAAGAGAAATTGATGGGCGCGTTTATAAGGCACTCGATTCTGAAATGTTCTCGCAGGTCGGACGATATAAGACGTTATAAAAAATGGACGCGTACAAACGAGATGACGTTGGACTTGGTCAACGGATTCGTGGGGCGAGCGTGCAGAAAGGGTGAGTGAGTACAACGAGCGATTTGGAATATTGGATAAGAATACAGACGACGTTACACATTTATTTCAATGTTTTCGTTTGATCCTTGAATAATCGGAATGTCGATGCTCGCCGCTGTACGCAAAATAAGCGAGAGAACAATTTAAACTGTAACTCAATGGACCAGTCGTAGTCGAGAGTGTCAGGCGACTACCATTTTAAAAGTCTCCACTGTGATTGGTCGATTTGACCACCGCTCGAGCTGCTGTTTACGTTTCGCTCCGTCGGTCTTATTTGATCGATTTGATGTTTTGTGGAGAGATTAAAATATTCGTTGAATTTGTGAGAAGCGAATATCTAACAACTGCGTCCGTTGTATATTTATATAATAACTCACTTGGAATTACACACACACATATATATATATATATATATATATATATATATATGAGATATTAGTGGATTTAATATATTTTACTTGATAATCTGTCAAACTAACCTTTGCGAAAATGTTAAATTTCTGTGAATTTGTGTAACTTGTTGGATAATCATGTTTGAATTTGATTATTGAAATATTGAACTGATTTTCTTGGACAATTTAATCTTCTCACACAACAACGGTAAGTAATATAATTGTAAATATTAATACAGGACATACAAGAATATAAACAATTATGATAGGTATATTCGATTGTTATTAAGTTTGGTATATTTCGTTTAAGGTTATGGGAAGAGTTTGTTGTGTCTCAGGATGTCCTTCAGGGGGAGATGTACCTGCCCATCAGATACCCAAGAATCCAGACCTTTTTAAAAAATGGAAGAACATGATTTATTCCGAGAAAATTGAACATCTGACAGACGAACAGATAAGCAAATGTACTGTATGCTATCGTCACTTTGCGAATGATGATTATTTAGTAACTTATAAAGTGAGAAAGCTGAAACGTGGTATTGTGCCCTCCTTAAATCTGCCAAACAAATCGATTAAGAAAGAAATTTTTACAAAAGCAGATACAGCAAGCGCAAGTGCATCGACTGATACAATAGTACCAATAGCACCAAAGGAAGAGTCTACAGAAGATGAGGAAGAAACAATTGTCGTTGGCTTGTTCGAAGATCTCCCAGAATCACTGGAACCTCGATTACTTAAATTACCTTCAAGTCCTATGAACATGTTCGAGGAAGCATTTGAGCAAGTGGATCAGAATATAGACCATATTGATTTAATATCGGAAGTATGTGAATCAAGTTACAAACCTAGAATATTCAGAAGAAGAAAACGAACAAAATTAACAGAAAAGGAATTGATGTTATTGCAATGTAAAAAACAGGCAGAGAGATATGCAAAAACACCTACGATACGAAAGCTCTTATCTCTTTTAGCAGCTACTAAAAGATCAAAGCTTCAAAGTAAGATACAGAGATCAAAATATGTACCTCGAGTGTACGTAAGACTATATCATGATATCGCTAAGAAGAATGCTCTTGGTCAGTTGTAAAATATATTAATTTTTGTAGCATGTCAAGAGAAGTGTAAAGATTAAGTGGTAAAAAAGACGTCAAATTGCCATTTTATGTTTAAGATGACACGAATCGTCAGAGTTGCGCAATGTATTATCATCATGATGCAAATTATAATCCTAATAAACATTTGTAACATGGGATTTTGTATGTAATAGAACTCTGTATGTATCAAGAGAATACAATTTTACGATAATGAGTAAAGATTCCTTGTTGACAATCAGTCTGCGAGATTCTTCTTACACACAGTGGGGAGGGAATTAAAATGATTGCTCGCACATCGATCGATACGACGGTAGTTTTAGTACTGTATTTTTAAAAACGAATACATGAAATATACATTTATAATTTATATAATTGGTAGAAGGATTAATTGTTTCTGGAATAGATCTCTAAACGCGCTATCTTACAGCTAACGACGTCGCAGAGAGTATAGTATATCCTTTCTGAACACATAATCTTGACGAGGGGATTCTGTTGAGCACTTTTACTTGCCGGTCTTCTACGCACAGAGAGAATCTCTATGACAATAATCCGTTGACCTATCCGGTGTAACGATAGAAACGATATAAACCGGGCGTTGATAGTCATTTGTCGACGTATCATCCAGCAGATCCCGGGTGGAATTAAAAGCGACCTGTTCGATTAAGAGAGGACACGCGAATCGGTGGGATGGGAGTTAACGCGGTAACGCTACGATAACAAAGTGTTCTCGTGCGTGACACACACACATACACCCAATAGGTCGTCTAACAAATTACGTTGAAAAATATTCTCATCGAGAGTCATTTATACATTTATTAATCTACACATCTTTTCAATTTATTACTTTGGATGTGCTGGGTGGGTTTTTCTCACCTTTTACGTACGTACTTTACTCCACCTCGTCTATCTCCTTCTCTTCTATACACGTTCACTGAGACGACTGTAAGATGTAATTTATAAGACGTGCTCGCGATTCTACGACGTTCGTTCTCGATTCGTAGCCGGTATTTCGCGTCCCCGAAATCAGGATATACTTTCCCTCCTTAGTCGTGTCATTGAGTACAAAGTAAAACTTTATAATTATTCGACTGATATCGCGCGCTATAAGAGAGAGTGAGAGAGAGAGAGAGAGAGAGAGAGAGAGAGTGAAAAATATTGATCTTTGCGCGCGAAATCAGTAAGAGACTTTATAGTTCCCTGTTCTTTTTCTTCGAGTTTCTTTTCTAGCTGAGAAGCTGTACGAAAATGCAATATGAAAATGGTAGCGAGGTCGTTTTCGAGAAACCGCGAGAGCGCGAGCGCTCGCAGGACTTGCGTGCGTAAAAGGTGTTCTAAAGGGAAAGTGCGGATACGAAAGCAAAATATCGTGGTGTGTGTGTGTACCGTAGCAGCGCGTTTAAGGCCGGTATGGTGCCGGTAAAGTGCTTTCTTCTTAGTCGCATTTTATCGTACATAAATAACATAAATAACAGAGAGAATACAATAATACATATACAATAATAATAAAGTAGTCTCGAGAACGGAAGCTTTTTTCTCTCTCGATTTGGCTGGCTTACACACAACCTCCTCGATTTCCTCGAAAAGGCAGAGTTCGATTAGTCGGCAAAATTGACGACAAATAAGGACCGTCCTGAACCCGTCTCTATGTGCCTAAACGCGCCTCTGTATAGTACGGGGATATAGTTTGTGCGTCGATATGTGTTACTAATTCCAATAGATACATGCGGACGCGCTTAACACACGCGCGATTGGACGAAGGACACGCTGTCGATCAGCAACATGAATGTACACGGTCGATTCGACCGTGCGAGCACAAATCACGGCCGCAATAATTGCCGCAAGACGTTACTATTAGAGTTATTGCAATTTTCAATCGTGCATACAGTCAGTCAGTGGACGAAAGAGGTCACAGCATTTTCTCCTTTCTTAATGAATCTCGCGTCCGTGTTGAATAAGAGAATTTGTTTTCTCATTTTCAGACGATACATTTTTTCCTCCTATCGGTTCCTCAAGTTTATACATACGCAACATATTTGCAGACGCAATGCATACGGTTGAAAATCATAGCCATTATGGCGCGTGTTGATACAGTCGGCGATACCCCCAACCGATATCGATAATCAGCTTGAGACAATCCTCGTCCAAACGCGCGTCTATCCGGACGAAATGTGTGACGTGTGCGTTACACATTCATCTTGCTAATCGTGTAAATGATTGTCCGTGATTGTCTGTAGTTTGCGAATAATCACACTTCGATATCTTTCCCTTTTTTTTTTCTTTTTTTCTTCGTTTTAAAGTTTTAAGGTACGCGAGAAGGATAAGGGCGGATCCGCGAGGGCGGATCTCGCCTCGATATATATTCTCTCGGAGCGAGATTTGTGTTACTTTCTCCAAATGTATCAGATTCGTGTGTGTGTGTGTGTGTGTGTGTGTGTGTGTGTGTGCGCGCGCGTGCGCGTGCGTGCGTGCTCGCCTGTGTATAAAGTGTGTATGTATGTGTGCTTAACGTTAAGGACACTTAACTTTGTATAATCTTACGCCATTAAAGTTAAAATAGTAATCACACGAACGTTTTTTTTTCCATTTTTTTTTCTTTTTTTGAGAATTGTAGGTATAACGATCCGCGAACCGAGATCGATGTAACTTCGGCGAGTCCGACTCTCGACGCTGCAGATCAGCGGAGCAGGAGGAGGAGGAGGAGGAGGAGGAGGAGGAGGAGGAGGAGGAGGAGGAGGAGGGTGAGAAAATGTGAAAAACGATTTCGGATGAAAAACGGGAAATGTTGCACGAACGTGATATTTCGTGAATCTCGCGGATTGTCGAGGAATATAAACACTCGGCCATGTAAAAGGACACTCACAGTTGAGCAGTATTAATCCTCTTAAGAAATAAATTTCGTAAACAATAGCGAAAGCTCTCGCCGAGGTTAAACTTTCATACGTCCGGCATTTCGATCCTTTGCGACAGAGAGAAGGATCTACATCACGCCTCCTCCTTTTGGCACCTGCGTCATTACGCACGAGCACAAAGGTCATCCTCGTATCGAGTTGCCCTCGGTCGCGAAAATTCGAGTTCTCCAAACGCGTTTTTCGCGGAACGGACGTTCCGCGAGAACCTTCGAAGTTGACACCGAGCATCAATGGCTGACTGCTTACTCTGTGCCTCCAGTATCGTGAAAAATTTTCAATTGCAACGGATCATATTCGCGCATCTAACGCAATCTGTGCGAGGAAATTTACGTGGTTACGCTGAGACTCGGTGGTTTTTACTCAATTTTCTTGAAATATAGCAAGCGATACGGCATTATTGATACTTGGTGCGTCGATACTGCATCTTTCCCTCTTTCCTTTCCCCTTCGCACATTGCATTGTCACACGTTACATTGTCGGGAATCTATCCTCGTCGAAATCGTACCGGTCGTTCAGTCGTTGTGTTCATCGTTAGACAACGCGGCGACGGTCGCGCGAGTGCACACTTAGCTAGACACCCTTTTGTACACGCACAAAGTACGGCGCGCGCATAGTTAACAACAATCCCCCTTTCGTGTAATCGCCAGGGGGAACATTTAAATTTTGCATCGCCTCTCCCGCTAGGCTACTGTCTGATTCCGTTTGTTTGTTCAGTCACGAGGCGTGGCTCCTAGCTAAGAGGAAGATCTAGTCGGAGTGTTGTGTGCACGTTGTTAGCAAATCGAAGAAATCACATCGAGGAAGTTAAGGGTCGCGAGAGGTGCGACAAGTTAAAACTCTTATTGCTAATTTTTCGCACATATCCTCGAGCCGTCCGCTTTCTTCCCGCATGGCTGTGTGTGTGTGTGTGTGTGTGTGTGTTGTTGTTATTGTTGTTGGTGTGGTGTAGTAGCGATAGCTCGGCGTCGCAGATGACGTGTCGCCGCGCTTCATGTTTATCGCGGATCGTGCAAACAGTCTGCGTTCAGTACTCGCGAGTCTCTCCCCGCAACTCTTGTACGAATCGAAGGTTCTACCTCGCGGGGGAAATACGCGGCCATTGTAGATCTCTCTTTTCAACTTGGACCGTGTTTTTAGCATCGTGTGTTCGTGTTTTTCTAGTCTTAATCGGAAATCGCGCAATTTCTGTGTGTGACCTGCTGCCGATCTGCTTTCTCATCTCTCGTGATATGTGTGCAACGAGTGAATAATCTGTGAGTGATATGTCGCGTCAAGACATGAATTATACTTTCGAACACTTATCTAAATATCGATTACGATAAACAAGTTGATAATTTCATCAAGTTCTATACAAAAAACTCATCTCATCGGCCGGTCAGTTTTTGTACACTCGTAAAAGTGTACGCTCAAAACAAAACGCTCTTTGCCGTTGCGATTTGCAAGGCATCGTTTCACGGCCGCTTCGATTCAAACCTAACATTATTTTCTCAACGGTTGAGTCTCCCCGACTATTTTCGACAGCCCATCCTCGTTAGTCACACACAATTAATAATCAATATATTCGTAATGGAGAAATTTCGCGTGCACAGCACGATGATGTGTGTGTGATCGCGCGCGCGCGCGCGCGTGTGTATGTGCGTGTATTGGGTCAGTCAGGAAGTCTGTTCAAAATGTTTGGATCAAGTTTCAAGCAAACAAATCATTCGTCAACCTAACTTAACCACCTAACCACCTCGTCGTTGCCTGCGATTTCTCATTCCTTCGTCACACCAATTCGGCATTCGTATATTTCTTTATACCGTGGAAATCTGTCGTCGGTTTAACGTCGAAGAGCAGGCAACGAGAAGCGAAGCAAACTTACCGACAGACTCAATATATCACATACATTCGTACTTTACCGCTATCGTAATGATCATATGCCAATCTCTTGGAAAGCCTGCAGAGACGGTAGCTGCCGACGCCGAAACTGACGTGTCTTTAATCAAAGTCAAGATACAAAATGGAGGAACAGCAAAATATTCGGAGGCAAATATTGGAAAGAATATTAAATAATAGAGTAGCAATAAACGAAAGACAGAGTTTAATTCGACAGTATCAAGACGAATTCTCCACAGTCTACTATCGATCGACAAAGCCCGTCTCGGCAGGGTTTCAACAGTAAGTTTCAGCATCTGTTTGTTTGTACGTCATGTGTATGCGTATATGTGTATATATATATATATATATATATGTGTGTGTGTGTGTGTACATGTGCCACCCGCGCTTGATAGTACCGTCTTAGTTAAAAAAGCTACCTTAAGACTTAATGATTGTATAATGCGACAATTGACAACTTACGGCGCGCTCGGCACGTGAGCTACACTGAGCTTCGATAAAGCCTTGAACGCTTATCAGGCTAAAATATTCACTAGCCTCTGTAATCGTTCGCAACGTGTCCGGATGTACATGTAAGTACATTATGACTGTCGATATTCGGTTCATCTGTCTTTCTTTCTGTTGGACAGCATGACACGTCGTGTCATAAACCCAGGCGCGCGTTATCCAGGAACGATTAGAAAAATCAGTGAATACCGATTGACCTGGTAAATAATATCGAAGCTCAGTGTCAGCCCGCGTGTGTGTGTGTGTGTACGCTGCCGTTATAGATTGTTATATAGACAAATATATATATATATATATGTGTATATATATCGACGAGAAAAATATTTATTCTTTTGTCTGTACGTGGCTAAGAAAGATATTACGATGAAAGATATTACTTTGTCATGTACATGTACATGCGTGTGTATATGCACAAGGCGTCTTCGCACAGGGTGTATCAGAAGCCGCACTCGGCCCTCTTTAGGCTTTACGACTCGTCGTTCTCGACCCTTAATATATTAATTGCTCATCTCGTATCAGGTAGACAAGGTTAGGGCTATTCGGATTCTCGGTCACATCTCGAGCGTCAAATGCCCACCACGTCGATCGCACTTGGGAAATGAGACCAGTGTGGGAAAGAAGCAGCACTTTTTTTTTTTTTTTTCTTTTTCCCTCCAATAAATTCCGCAACGCGTCCGTATCCATTTGGGGACAATTTGTGCTCGTTCAGTGATTCACAGGAGACAAATTTTCCTCTTGGGTACCAAATGCGTCTCAAAGTTGAAGTAAAAAAAAATGTTGCAACCCCTCTTCCACTGATCGCGCCGATAATCGTGATAAAATTGACGACAATCAAACTGTCGTAAACAATTGACACAATTCACGCGTTAATCGATAATTAATTAACCACGCTGTTCGCGACGGTTAATTAGTCATGCTATTGAAATATCAGCGAAACATCACGAAATATTGGTGTATCGCCGCATCGATACGCTTAATAACACGTGCGCGCGCGCGCGCGCGCACACATTGATATTCGGTGTTAATAATTAATGTAACGTAACATTCGACTCGCGGATTATTCGCGGTACGTATACGGCCGGGACGATTTCTGACACACACCCGTGGTAATCCCCGTAACACCTCGCCGTACCTCGCTCGTTACCTCGCAAACCGCGCCCTTGCGAACCCTCGCCCACGCGAGGACGAAGCGAGGGATAATATGTGCGTGTGCGTGCGTGCATGCGCGCGCGCTTGTGTGTGTGTGTGTGCATGCGCGCGCGCTTGTGTGTGTGTGTGTGTGTGTGTGTGCGCGCGTGCGTGCGCGTGTGTGCGTGCGTGTGTGTATATGTGTGTATGTGACGGAAATACGCGGCACGAATATTTCACTCGGTGACGCGCGTAGGCAGGGAGGGGGAGAGTCCCTCCGGGTTAATTTGCAACCATCGATTTCACGACCTTGCCTCACGACCGCGAAGAATATCCCTATTGTATATGCATTAGGTCGGATCAAACGGGCGGATAATCCGCGGAGAGTCTGCTTCCTTCCTTCCTTCCTTCTTCTCTTTCCCTCGTGTTTTCCTCGATCTATTTATTCTCTCTATCTCTGTGTCCACCTCGTAATCCCGGAGCCGGACGATCTCCGGATCGTCGCCGCGGAGTTTCGCGCTCATTAGAGATCCCGCGACCGCCAATTAATGAGACACCGTCCGCTCGCCTCGCTCGCCGGGAGTATCCATCCTTGATTGCGCGCTCCTTGAAAGTCTGCTGTGCTCGTTACTCCCTGTTCCAGCACGATTGACCGGACGTGCGAGTGGATCGATGCTCGCTAGTCAGCTCTACAACCACCGCGATCTTGTCCGACCTTTGTTCAATTATTGGCACTTTACGCTTCGGATTGTCTGTTGAAGAACTGGTACTGGAACACCGGGGAAAAAAGAGAGGCGTCCTCTTTACGTTTTGCCATAACGTGAGCGAACGAGAGAGAGAGAGAGAGAGAGAGAGAGAGAGAGAGAGAGAGAGAGAGAGAGAGAGAGAGAGAGAGAGAGAGAGAGAGAGTCTCGCGGAGCAAAGAGGATTCGCAAAGACGAATTGTCAGTCTTGGAAGCGCGGAAGTGACGGAAAAAGGGTCTCTCTGTTTGAGTTTTCAGAAACTTTTCGCGCGTCTCTAAGATTCCTTATTCAAACACCCCGATCTCTCTTAGCGAGAAACGCGCGAGAAAATATCCTTGTACTCTGACACCCTCGTGTGACGCTCACGTTGGGAAAAGTCGTCGGTTCATCCGCTGTCGAGTAGATCTTAAAAAAAAGGACCTCGCTCCGAAATCTCGGTTTATCTCCGGCGAATCTCAGCTGAGACGTCTGATCGACGTCGACACCTCGATTGTCCTTCATTCGTCCAGTGAGAATTGGATCGCGTTCGATCGTTTATTTATGAGAACAGCACGCGCAACGAGAGGACGCGTGCCGCTCGACATTTTCGGAATGAAGTCCTCTCTAAAATTACCACTTTCGTCACATAGCCCCGTTCGATCGATCGCGCCGCTAAAGAGAGACCGATCGATCCGAAGCGTGCTTATTTCGCGCGTACGGAAACCCGTACGAGTCGATCGATCGGAGCCGAGCCGAGCCGAGCCGAGAAGAGAAGCTCGATCGGGGACAAGGTGCATCAGGGAATGATTAGACGATGAGAGAAGCGGCGAAGCGCGCGAACCGCGGTCAGACCGGAGGCGACCGGAGGACGACTTAAGGCTTAGTGAATATCCTTACACTGTAACGGAGGGTCAGTGGGAACGCTGTCCCGGTAGCTGGAGTGATGGAGAGAGTGTTGGTGGTGGTGGTGGTCCGTTCAGGTTCAGGCAGATGGGGGGTAGTTGTCTTACCATGCTGGAGCCAACCTGCTGCAGTATCCCGATGCCCTGCTGCGACGACGTCGAGGACACGGACGGCCGCCTCGATCCGCGAATGCTGTTCAAGCTCGAACTGAGCAGGTACGGCACGCTGCTACTCGTGATCGGCATTCCGCCTCCCTGTGCATGCAACCAGAGACATTTCGCCTTTTAACGACGACAAGTTTGAGCAAGAATCGACAAACATCGTCGTCGTCGTCGTCGTCGTCGTCGTCGTCGTCGTCGTCGTCGTCGTCATGGTCATCGTCGTCGTCGTCGAGCTTACCGATCTCGCTGTGATCGTGACACGTTGTTGACGTAATCTCGATGTGAGATATATAATTGAGATCGATTATAAAGTGACTCTCTCCCGCTGCTATTGACGCGTATGTCTCGTATGTTGTGTGAGGCTGCATGCGCGAAATATAATTGGATCGTTATATTTCGCGAGCGCGCGAGTATCGCAACGTGAGACGTCGATATGTACGTTGCACGCTGCTCAACAACGCCGGCGGGTAGAGAATTACACGCTACCGTTGTTAATTAATGCGTATATATATCCGTGGAACGCTCGCGTTTCCTTGCCCGTCACGGACAACGGACATGCGTAATTTTCCGTTAACTTCCGTCGGATTGAATTCGAGATAATTGGTATTTTCTTAACAGAGAGGATTCTCGCATGTTTTGCTTACGGGAAATGAGAGGGAAGAACATCAGGATCAACTCGACGGCTGGAGAGAGACAGTCGCGGAATTTCCGTCGCGCGGAATCGCGCGAGCTTGAAATTTCGGCTCGCCTGTTAATATCCTTGCGGTAATCAATCGCGCGGCGATCAATTAGCGACGTCGATTTATTTCTGTTTTACGCCATCGCTATTGCCGCCATATTGATCAATAGAGGGATTCGCTCCTGCAGTAGGTGGCGGCAAGTTTTCCAATTGTTCCGCTGCGTAGTAATGTCAGCCGGCCGTATCAGTTCGAACTTTCAGGCGATTCAGAGTGTCGAGAGAGAGAGAGAGAGAGAGAGAGAGAGAGAGAGCATAATCGAATTCGTCAAGTATCCAATTTTCGCGATTGGAGATTAATTCTCGGTCAAGTCCCATTTCCGCGTCCATCAGCCGTACGCGCTCTTCCCGTGTCCCAATTTCGGAATTCCAACACGGTTCTTTTGTTCGCTCATTCTTTCCTTCCAATCGTGCTATTTAAGTTTCTTCCGAGATGAGGAAGAAGCAGCAGTGTGGCGACCGAAACTCGCTGAAACTCGCTCGAGCGTACATTGAATTCTCCACTCTGAATCGTCGAGTGAATTTTTCACTCGCGATTGAAGAGTGAATCCGCCCTCTCTCACTCTCTCACTCAAAGTTCACTCTGATCGATCGAGAAACATTCATTCGTACGATTCCGAGTGGCGGTATTTCCGCCCTCGCGGAATCCAGTGCCATTATCGCACTCGTTCCGTGAGCGAGATTTCACTGCGTAAAAGATTTCGGGCGCTACCGCGCCCGCGTATCGCACCGCTACGTCTTCTCGTCTCGACGAGTGGGAAGTTGCAAGTAATTAAGTCGGCGCATATATATATATATATATATATATATATATACGTATAATATTATGTACCGTGGGCGGTGACAAATTGATATTCGAGCCTCGTCGCTCCTGCGGACCGGTGCTGGAATGCCGACGGATCGGCAGGCCACCGCCGCCAGGTGTCCCGCCCGGCGAGCTCGCGCAGGATGGCGCTATCCGTATCTTGGGTGTCATCAGGGTGTTATCCGAGAGGCGTCTGTTCGTGAACGTGTTGGCCACTCTCAAGAAATTGCTGTCGTTGTTGCCGGACGAGGTGAACCATCCGCCGAACATCACTGCGACATGAACAAACGCGCATCGTTTTAGTCGACGTTAGCCAGCGACGTTAGTATGCCGCGTGGGACAAATCTCTCTCTCTCTCTCTCTCTCTCTCGAGCAGAGCAGAGCAGAGCAGAGCATTCGCGTCTCTCTGTCGTTCTTTTCTCTCGGAGAAAGGGACTTACCGGCCATTGAATTCTTCCGCGCCATATTTTCCGCAGACGCCGTTGAGATGGACCCTGAGCGAGGAAATGTTGCTTTAGTAGGTAGTCCTAGTAAATTCGGGTTATCTTTGCTCGCGCCCGTCTCTTATACGAGCCCGGCGGGCTCGTATTTCCCACAAACATTAGTTACAGTTAATGGAGCTTTGACTCGCTTGTCCGTCTCTCTCAGCAATTCTGTCTAAAAGGGTCGCCGGACCTCCGATCGAACCTCCGTTCATTCTAACCAATATTTATGGGAACCAAAGCGTCGTCATCTCGCTTCCACCAGGAAGGTGGAAAAGAAGCGTCGTTGTATTTTTAACCGATGCACGTAAATTTCAACAAAGAGGAACGTCGGACATTGAAATGCTGAAAGAATTTCGTCGCGGTCGACGTGAAAGTCGCGGGAAAGTTTCGCCGCGAGATTCTCATCTCTCCGAACTTGATGCGGCGAGCGTACTCTGCAAGTTCCTTTGACGTGGAATTTCACTTGAAGAGCAAAGTGACAGCCACCGAGCCACTTGATACATTCGATTGACTCTTCGTTTATGGAAACTTATTAATTTTACGGAATAAATTCCCGCACTCCCTTCCTCAATCGGCATTGAAGGACATCTGTATTCTGTGCATTGGAATGGCCTCGCTCTAATCGACCGAATCATTAATTTGCACGGGAGAGAGAGAGAGAGAGAGAGAGAGAGAGAGAGAGAGAGAGAGAGAGAGAGAGAGAGAGAGAGAGAGAGAGAGTCAATTGTACGAATCACTTTGAAAGTGACTTCAACTTTAAACATTCACTCTTGCCAGCCCTACGACAGTGGCTTTCCACTGCATTTTCACTGTCTCTTCGAGTGATTTTTCACTTGTTCTCAACGAGATTCCACTTGAGAAAACTCAGAGAGCACTCTCGCCCGCTGAATATTTTCTCGATATTCGCACCGATACTGTTCTTCCTGGCCATATCCTCGGCCGACGAGGTCTTGCGTTGCTCGATGCGCAAATTCGGGATGTTGAACGGCGGCACGTGGACGTTATCGGTACTGTACTGATGTCGCAGAGGTCGATACTTGTCCGGGCTCGGTAGCGAGAGATTGTCGAGCGTCAATTTATTCCTCTGATTCCTACAACGAACAAAGCAACGAGAAAGCAGCTCGTCGAGCCTGATGCCCGAGGAATTGTAAAGACATGCGCTCTCTTGCACACACCGGTCAACGGACAACGCGCGCTATCGATCGGTTTAATGCAAATTGCACTTGCCTCTCGATGTTGTTCAGCATATCCTGCAGCACCTCGAGCAGCAGTATGAATTGCTCAAGATTCAACGCCGGGTTCACGGTTTGCGGCAGCAGCGACGGCATCGCGTGCGCCGCCATCCAGTTAACCGACAGGCCGTACTTCTTGTCGGTCAGCATCAGCCTGTAAATATCTGAAGGGACCGAGACGAGTGATTAGCGGGATTATCGAGGATTATCATCCTCGGTCGCGCATCCCGCGTCCGTTTCGAGACGAGACTTTGTATCCCCGATCATCGCCCGATCGAATCCGATTTTAGTCAGAGAGGAGCTCGCTCGGAGTTGCAAGTTGATATTATCACGCTCCAGTCAATCCAGCAATAAGACATCAACTGCCGAGCAACTGTCGAGCAGGCCACGTACAACACATACAACGCCCTTTTTCTTTTATTTCACTTACTTACAACCCGCACGACGATCTCGGGTTCTTGCAGCTTGACTTTACAGAGCAGCGGTAAGATGCAGTCGATGATCTTCTGCTTCTCGAGTCGGCTCAGGATGCAGGGCACCACGTCCATCAGCACTCGTGCGTCCGCCGAGTTGTTTTGGAAGGCCTCCAGCAACTTGGGCAGCACCACGTTGCGTATGGCGTCGTCCTCGAGATAATTCGTCACGTGCGACACGGCCACGAAAGCGGCTGTCTGATGGACAAACACGAATTTATCTCACGGTGGATGAATTTTCTTACGAAGCATTTTCGCTCGCATTTATGTAACCTGTCCCAATGGGAAATGGGAGCAAATGCTATTGCTCCTCAACCTCGGACCCAGAGTCCGTTGTTTCCGGGAATTTCTGCAAACAGGAACTTGTATCCCAAAGGTCGACACAAAGGTCCCAACAAGGTACACACTCGAAACACGAACAACACAGGCATTGACATTCCGCAAAAATATATATATATATATATATATATATTTGAATATATACCGAGGGTGATTTGTAATTTATAATTTTCCGCTCTTTATGATATCAGTCGCCAGACCATCTTGGTTTTGCGGATACACTTGAGAGACCGACGATAGCTTCAAGCGAGTGCTCTTGCAAAGAGAGTGCTCCGAGTTCCTCCGATATTCGATCGATCCGGCTCGATCCGTTCACTCACCCGCACTTGGACGTTTGAATTCTCGAAAGACGTGTACAGCATCGAAAGCACTTCGCGCTCGTACTCCTGCGGCGTCTTCTTCAGGATGAGATGCAGGTTCTCCAGCAAGGTCACCGTACCCTGAATCGACTTGCGATTGGTGAAGAGGGGCCTGCGGGTACACGAACACAGAAACGGAAGCGTGAAACGAGGCGTGAGAACGTGTCTATTTCGTTACGCGTCTGTGTCGCTATGAGCGCGCGCGCGCTCATTTCCGGCTCGTTCCCGCCCGGCTCTATACGTACTTGAGCGTAGGGAACAGGATCTGATCGTACTCCTCCTGGGTGCTGTTCTGCACGATATACAGCATAGGCTGCAGCACGGCGGACAGCACTTCCTGCGTTTGCAATTCCGCGTGAAGATACCTCCAGATGTGCTGATACCAGAGTTTCTGCGGGAAACGGAAAATGCTCGCGTGACACGCGACTCGAGGGAACATCGGCTGACAAGGGGATCGTCGCGTACAATTAACGTAACAATCGGTTGAGCGAAACGGGGTGAGCGAAATTAAACTCGCAACACTGACGCGGATCCGAGGAAATGGACAGACGAGACGTCACCACGACAGCTACATATCCTCCTCACGTCGTCGTCGTCGTCGTCGTCGTCGTCGTCGCGTATCTCGCCTTTTCCGTTGTTTTACAACATCTAACCCACAAAGAGAGAGAGAGAGAGGGGGGGGGGAGAAAATGAGATAAACACAACACTGTTATCTAACAGAATGTTACGAGTTGCGTGTTCTTGGCGCGTTGGAACACACACGAAGCAGTAACGACAGAAGATCATACCAGATAAAAAATAAAATTACCGTTGATATACCGCGGAGAAAGTTATAATTTGAAAGACTCCTTAATCAACGATACGATTACCATCTATATGCCGATGAAACAGGTGCTTGTGATATTTGGTGACTATAATCGCACAATTGAGTGATTTTAATAAGGAAAACTGTACTTTGTACGAATGCTATTATAAACGACTGCGAGCTAAGCCATAAGCCATATGTCATTATAAATGACTATGTGTAACTTTTTATCGTAATTAACAATTTGTTTCTCTCGGAGAAGATCCAGGTAATAATGCTCTCAGGTTTTTGCAACTGGATCTCGGTCCGAGATCTCACCCCGAACGCAACAAGTTCGCGTAAATATACCTTTGGCATGTACGGCAATAGCTCCTTCAAAGTCGTCGTATAAAAGTGCTCCTTCTGACACACGTCCTTCATCTTGCTGACGTCCAAAAATTGCAGCGCGTGCACGAACGGATCCCGGAAGAACTTGATCATGGTCAGAACCTGCGCGGTCGGCCTCTGCTCGGGATCCTTGTGCAACAGTCGAGTCACGGCCTCTCGAAGAGGTATCGGCACCAACGGCAGGATCACGGTGACTTGATCGTCCAGCTGATCAAAGAGGCGGTGGTATTTGAAAAATCGGTTACACAGCCGAGACAGAGAGCCGAGATGAAACGAAGGTAAACGAGACGAAAGATACATGCATATCTCGAATTACGTTTATTCGCCGTATCTTTGGTAATTCAATCGTCAATTAAGCTCTCGTGGAACACAATCGGTGGAAATCAACGCGGCATTTTACGCGGTGTTGAAATGAAACCGAGTCTAGTGCTCGAGTGACCTCGAGTGAAATCGATGAGAGCTCTTGAAGATTAAGAATGACTTTTGTTAAATTTTCATTAAACTCGACGATTTTAAAGTCGACGATTTTAATCGTCTACTACACTTGCGACTCTGCAAGTTGCAACATACGATGAACGTCATCGTATGGAAGGAGAAAACTTGCAAAAGGAGAGATGGGACCAAGAGGATTGATATGGAAATGTAATGATAAGCAAGAATATAGAAAAGAATCGAGGTCAAGATTTATTGAGCAAAGACAGAGAGAGAGAGAGAGAGAGAGAGAGAGAGGAAGAAAAGAGAGTGATAGTATAGTAGAAAAGAAGAAAGGGAACGTTCGTGACGCCATGTAAAACAGCGTGTCGCGTGTACACAATAATCCGACGGTGATGTCCGTGGATGCTCCGAGGGGGGGGGGGAAGGTTAAATCCACTTAAGGATTATCCGCGTTCGCACTTTTTACGAGTCTGAATCCTCAGTCCACGTTCGGACTGAGATTAACTTACAATCTCGAGTTGCTTAAGGTAATCCGAGCTGCTGTGATTCGCCTGGATCAGCGGTCGGCCCTCGTTGTAAATCGCGCATATCGTCATACCGAGACTGTACATGTCGCTGCAAAAGCTGGCAATCTTTTTCTGCTGCACTTCCGGCGCTGCAACATGTCGTCGGTGTGTAGTTGTCGCGTTATTGTTGTTGCCGCTATTGCTATTGCCGTCGCACCGCGCCGCGTTGCGTTACGCGAGCTACGCGAGCCCGATCGAAAAGCGAGGCGCGATGGATCAGCAATGCAAATGAAATCGTTTTAACGCGGTCACACGACCGGAAAGCTGCCCTCGGTAATTCCCGAAGGCCCTGCTTCCGCGATTGAAGCGAGAAAGTGAGAGAGACAGAGAGAGAGAGAGAGAGAGAGAGAGAGAGAGAGAGAGAGAGAGAGAGAGAGAGAGAGAGAGAGAGAGAGAGAGAGAGAGAGAGCAGACGTCCCAAATGGGCTTTGTTTATCGCGAAAGTTCGGGAGGGAGAACAAGCTTTCCCGTATAAATCCAATCCCATTAATGCTTCGTGCGAGGCAATTTTTCTTTCGCGTGTAGGCAACGTAATAACTTTTTCTACATGCAGATGATCGCGTTGGCGCGTGAAAGTCGCGCACACGTGATTTTCGCGTCTCTATTCTCCTCGACGAAGATTCCTCTTCCTATCAATGTGCGGTAGTTGCGCGATAGGAGCAAGTTCAATTTTCACGCGTATCACGGAGAAAATTCCATTATCATTATATCGAGCGAAACAAATGCACGGGAATGTTTTTAATTATATCAATCGTTAACGAGGTACAAACTTCCCCCGCGATCTTATTATCGAAGTTGAACGATCCGAGAGAGAGAGGGAGAGAGAGAGAGAGGAGAGAGAGAGAGAGAGAGAGAGAGAGAGAGAGAGAGAGAGAGATGCGATTAGCGGAGGGCAACTTTTGCAGCGTGGGCAGCGCTAATAGATTTTGCACGATGTCTCACCTATATAGTCGAGATTCGGTTGGGTCATTTTCGACATGTTCTTCGTCCACGATTGCACCACTATCGGTATCTCGTTGGCCTTCTCTAACGAGCGAAATGCATTCTAAAGTAACGGGCTGCTCTAGAGACTCGTGCGTCTGTCGTTGCTTACTTTTCTCTTTATTTTCTTTTTTCAGTATCGAATCATAAGGATCGGAAAGTACAATAAAAAAACACGAGACTAGTGACTCGTCTCGTCGCTAGCGGTCGATGTCACCATTTGTCATTGCCATTTGACGTCGTTATCACAAACGATTAAACTCTCTTCACAGTGAGAAATTACAAGACGCACGACATAGTTGACACTCACCGATAAACTCGAACCCCGACAGCTTCCACGTGCCTCTCTTTGTAATTATAATGCTCGTCGGACAAACGTTCCTGTGAAGATATTTGATATTGTGAAGAAATAACAGAGCCTCCGTGATCTGAAAAAGAGAAGGAAGAAAGAAAGAAACATGACTCGTAAGACACTCGCTGCGCAAATAATTTAGCGAACCACGCTGTTAAACTTGCGACTGCTTGCTATGGCGTCGCATATGGTTCGTGAAATCGCGTCATAGTATACGAGAGTTTATATACAAGGTGCTAAATTTCACACGTAACAGGTAAAACATCTCGAAAACTATAAAAGATATTAAAAAAAGGTATTAAAAAAATATCTAAAAAACTAAAACACCGTGTTCCATGATTTCGAAAGGGAAAGAGAATGGCATTATTAGGTTTTTACTTGAAAGGCATTTTCAAGGTCGGTTGAAGGTCAACTTAATTTTTTTAAATGGAAAGCCCAATTTTTTATTATATCTTCTTTTTCTACCAATTAACAATTTTAACAATTTTTGTCTGAAACATTTTCTATTTGCTTAATATTTTTTGAAATATTTAAGGAAAGCACGGTAACTTTTTCAACATTTAACTTACGCTATCTCATTTATCGTGCTAAACTATTCGTCGAAGGAAAAAATAGTATTAGACTTTTTTACTTTATTTACTTTGTTTCAAGAATATATTACTATAATAGTGCCCTAATTTTTGTTAATTTAATAATTTTGAAATTTCCAAAGGTCGATAAGTTAACAAAAGTTAGGGCACTATCAAAGTAATATATTCTTAATGCAAAAAATAAAGTAAAAAAGTGATATTATCAACTTTCGGTTCCGACCGGAAGATCGTTTTCTGCAAATGGAACATGCATATTTTTATTGCGGATTCCAGTTCTACGCATAAAAAGGCGTAATTTTGGTTTGAAAAATTGTTTTCGAAAACGTCATTTTTCACCTCTAAATGATCTTTACATTAGAGCTTGGATCCGATCCGCACGAAACCCCTTTCAAACCTTCAAGGACCGATTGTCGAGAAAATAACTGTAAAGGACAACGATGAATGTTGACAAAAGAAGCAAAGATAGTAAGTGTTATTTTCTCGACAATCAGTCCCTGAAGTTTGAAAGGGATTTCAACGTGCCGGCCGGACCCAAGCTCAAATCTAAAGATCATCTAGAGGTCAAAAATGACGTTTTCGAAGAAAATGTTTCAAACCAAAATTACGCTTCTTTTGGCGTAGAATTGGAATCCGCAATAAAAATATGCATGTTCCACTTAAGAAAACGATCTTCCGGTCGGAGCCGGAAGTTGATAATATCACCGATCAAAAGAGCGTACCCGACATAGCTATAAAAATTTTTCAAATCCCCCAAAAAATTAATCTTCTAGATTTTAGAAGGGGAGGCCCGGGTGGTTTTGGACACCCTGTATATATATATATACATATAACGATATTAAGCATTCTATTACGCTCGTAATACATTCTATTATGCCGGGGTGCACCATACGCGCGCACGATGGAGTTGATTTCTCGTGGCGGTCGCACACAGGGCGGAAATTCGTTTTTCAGAAAATCTCGCTCCGATCGCTCACTCTGTCGATCGGGCCGCACGACGCGCATGCGTCCGGACCTCGATTTAATTTTCCGCCGTGACCCCGTTCTATCGCGCGTTTTACCACGATATATTCGCGCTCACGCACAATGTCACGGTCGTACATGCGTACTCGAACTTCCAAATCCGCTCCTTTCACTCTGGGAATCCTGGGATTAAGATTGCGCAATTTCCCCCTGCGCCTCCCCCACGTGGATGGTGGAAAACCGGAAATTTCACATTCACGAGCAAACACGCTGGCGCACGATGAAATTCTTCGCGGAGAGTTTGAATACGCCGAGCATTATATGCAATACGTTATGGCTGTCGGCGCGATTTAATCTCTTTCCGTTTCTTTCCTCATCTTTCATTTTTTATCTTACTCCGAGCTGAGAGAGCACGATACGTCGTAATGTTGCACGCTACATTGCGACCAATATGTGGTGATTTTTATCGAAAAAGTTTAAATTGTCCGAGTATTGAATATATCACAAAACAGGGTCAGAACGAGAGTGCGTTATCACGATTTTCTCGGCACACAATGTAGGGGAAAAAGCGCTTAAAAGCGTCCTTAAAAGACGGCCCTTCCTTTTTCCTCTCTCTCTCTCTCTCTCTCTCTCTCTCTCTCAAAGTATCTTTCCTTATATATTCACGACGACGTAACGATCAGCGGGCGAACTCCATTATACCCCGGATACCGGGGAGTCGAAAAATACGACCACCGCGTCGCGTTTTTGCGGAAACACGGTGGCAAACGGAGCAAATGAAATTTGCTCGAAATCGAATTATTCGCGATACGTATGAACCGCGAGAAAGAGAGAGAGAGAGAGAGAGAGAGAGAGGCGGGGGGAGTGAGAAAGCAAAAAGAGAATTAACGGGATCGCGCTATTTTCCACGCACACTACGTGACATTGTGTTTGTCGTTATATTTCGACGAGAGAACCGCAAGCGGAAAATCACCTTCTGCGTGACTCGTGAAATAACAAAGTAAAAGTAACGCGATAAACAAATAATCAAGCAAATTTGAACGTGAACTTCGTTGCTACCGCGCGCGATATCATCGTAAATATATCCGTCAAAAGTGCATGACGCCCGGCCGGCGCGAGAATATCGATGCGTTTACAATGCGAAAGCAAGAAATCCATGCGCGATTTGCGGCTTTTCACTCTCGATCTCGAGTTATTTCATTTGAATTTGTCGGCCGACATTTTATACCGATGTAGGGAAAACGGAGACTACAGACTCCCTCCCCCTCCCCCTGCAGGTTGCGCTTTTTCATCATTCTACGGCCGTTCGGCCGTAGAAAGACACGCGACTGAGCGCTCCTCGCAAGAGAGCGACTGCAAACACACTACAATCTACAAAAGACGACCCGTGTGCCACAGGCATTCGCCCTTTGTCCAGCTTCATCCGCAGAGAAAGCTAGACGAAGATAGCATGCCGCCCGTGGCAAGGGAATACAGCAGTTGTCCTTTGTATCTCGTTTTCAAACATTTCTCGTGAGAGATCGCAGTCCGCGCATTACACGCGTCGTCTGTGAGGGAGAATGAAATATCAGGATCTGTGTCAGGCAAGTCCCGATGAGCAACACCTGTTCTTACCTGCAACAGTCCATACTTGACCTCCAGCTCGATCAGCTCGTATTCCTTGACGAAGGTGGAACGGCAGTGGCTGGTGGTCGGCGGATGGTTCTGCTTGGCCATCGACGTGGAGGACTGCGCGGCGAGGTTGCTCGCCAGCTGCTCCTTGTAAGCCAAGACGTTGGCCAGGCTGGCGAGGACCGGCTCGGACGCGAAGGCCAACGTGTCCGCGCATTCCTCGACTTTGTACGCCTACGTTTTGACACATTCGCGCGTAGAGTATCGCGATCCACGGCGACGGCGATCGTGCCGTCGTCGTAAGTGGAGGAGGCATGTCGAGAGCGGCGTGTGTGTGTGCGTTGTCTGTGTCGATATCGATTCGCGACTCCGCGACTCGAGCGTTCCAATTCCAATTAATTCGCGGATGCACTTTGCCGACTGCCGACGAGCAAGGCGAGCTTTTGCCGCCTCGTCGAAAATCGCCCAGTGGAAAAAAAACTAGGCGCGTCTCACGCGCTGACCTTTGATTTGTAATACGAGGTACGCATGTATACCTGCAGTAACTTGGGGTGCGACAAACGCTCCATTTGAGTGGCGCCTTCGCGCAGGATGTCCGTCACCGCTTCTCTGCGCTTCGGCTTGTATACTTTCTCAACGGACCGCTTGTCGAACAGGAAGATAGAGACCTCCTGCAATGAAAGCAGCAACAAAACACATCGCTTCGTATCGCTAAAGCCGCGAAATCCGAGAGCTGTTTGCCCGGAGAGTCGTGCGAGGACTTTCTCGCACGCAAAGTGCGCGCAAAGACCGAAAGCCGGAATAGTACAACTGTGAGAACTATGAGTGTCAGTCTTGAGTGTTACTGTCGTCGACTCGCAGTCGACGAGTCTCTCTCTCTCTCTCTCTCTCTCTCTCTCTCTCTCTCTCTCTCTCTCTCTACACGTCAGATTGCTGAACTTGCTCGACTTTTTTATCCGATTTCACACTCAACCAAGTACGACGCGTACGACGACACTTCAGCAATCGTGAAAGACTTGGCTCTTTGCGCTCACACACCTTCCCGCTTCCAACGACGATACGATTGGGGGGGGGGGGGGTGCTAGTTACCATTCTGTCTTTTTTCCGGTAGCCGTCGTAAATTCGCCAGGCGTTCTCGGGACCGGCCGTGGCGGACTGCTTGCCGATCTCGTACATGTTGCGGATCGGATCGGGCAGCAGGTCGCTCGGCGCCGTGCCTCTGGACTTGGCGAACATGATGCACCGGCAGCGGTCTCAGCGACGAATCGGGCTCGACCTTGGCCGTCTATTACCTGCCAAATCGAAAATCCTAGCCTTCACCCGCGATTCGATTAGTCCTAGATTGTAGACGGGGACGAGCAGAACCGCGCTCGGAAACCGCGCGCTGACAATATCGATGATCTCGACGTCACGCTGCTCGACGGACACCGTTCTTCGGTGTATGTGTGTTGTATCATTAATCTGCATTTATCCGCGATGGATCTGCCCCGTATCTACCCCGAGTCATTGGGAAAAGTCATTGGGCATTTGAGAGACTACGATGTTGTGACTATGATGAAATGCAGTCGAGGAAAGAAAAGCAGCGCGTGACAAGCGCTGCTACAATGTCAGCGACAATAAACTGATGTGTGTGTGTGTGTTGTGTGTCGCTACTGCTACTCGTTTGTATTTAGAGCAACAAAGAAATACGCGCGGTTTGACGCGCGGAGAAAAGTTATTATAATTTTTGCCGGATTGATCAGTTTTTCTCTTCGGTGATATCGACGATGCAATTGCGAAGGTTGCGAAAGAGCACGAGGAAGAGCGTCATCGCGTTTTTCGCGAAAATGTAGCGCGAGATATCGAGTCGACCGATTTTACGTTTTTCAAAACTGCCACGCGATTGCTGCTTCGTTATGTGCGCAGATTCGTGTTTGTTTGAGAATTTTCATCTCTGCCAAGGATACAGGTAAATCGATAGAAATTCATTCATTCGTTCGCTCGTGAAATTGCGAGTTTCCACTGCTCCGACAGCGGGAACTCAAGTCCCCCTGAATCAAGCATCCCTGCTGCGTTTTTTTTTTTCCTAATACCTCCGTTCGTTTGTTTTCCAGCGGGATGATCGCGAATTAAAAGAGGGATTTTTAATTCTCTAGTTGGCGCAGTAGTAATGGTCATGTATCGGAAAAAGTCGGCGGCGATCCACTCGCTGCACTCGTGCTCACTAAATTTTCGAAACGCGCGAATTAAATCGCCGGGACTCTATTTTCGTGTATTCCCGCTCTCGTCCGCGTGTATCCGTTTTATTTTTCTCGCTCGAATAATTGGAAGTTAACAAAAACTTTAATCCATTAATCAGGATGGAAGGGAACGTGTTACATCGAGGCCGCTATTTATCGCTCGTATATTGGAAATACAAAATAAATACCGAAAATTTTACACGATCCACCTTTGGTGGCTAAAATCCTTAGATATCCTTTCCCGTAAGATCCCGTAAGACCGAATTGCACCTCGCGAAAACTTCACTTTGCTTATTGTTTGCGGACGTGTCATGCACTTAGAGAACATTATTTGACATTTGCGAGCGTAATTACACACATGAAATAATTATAGTCGGGAAAGCCATTGTTGTTCTATAGTATTATCGATAATAACTTTATGTGCATATTTCTGCTGCGTTACATTTTGTTAGAACGACCAGAAAATATGAGGTTGGAAATGTTATCTGTCGGGAAATTAATCATACTTTTTTTTTCCTCTTGGAGATTTTTTCACATTTATCCATTTTGTAGAAAAGAATTCTTTTTTCTTTCGATTCATTTTACTCGATTTAATTTAATGCGCAAAGGAACGCGCCGTGATCTACGATCAATGTTTCCTTTGTGAGAATATAATCCGAAACCTTTCTGCATGCACCGCTTAATTAAATTTTTTTCCGTACGTGTTGCACGAAATCCTCCAAGGCCCACGGAATACACTTTGAATACGGAATTAAATCCGTATTCAAAGTAGCCGAAGCCATTGCGAGCGGCAACAGTTTTAATTATCAACGTTGTAAGTTTCGTTAACTTGCAAGCTCGATGCGAGATCTCGTTACTCATTTGCGGACTTAATTTGCAGATAATATTGCGCGTTCGCGAGCGACGTTAAATAACCGCGAGGATATCGAATTTGAGAATTGAACATCGAAATATCTGCTCTACATAGTGAACGAAATAAAATGTAGCACTCTAAATGTAGAAGAGCGAGAGCAGTGAAACATGGATCTCCATCTCTGTTCATAACGCGACCATGTTAAACCTCGTGAACCAAATGCTCGTGAAAAGCGTGAAAAGAATCGAGCCGATTATATTTTTTACAGAGGAAATGGAGAAATTCATGAATGTTCCTCTCACGTATGTGAGATATTTTATGGGCGATATTTTATGAATGGAGGGCACGAATCGTCAGCCACCCCTAACATATGTAATGCAACACTACCGTTTTCTCGAGATAAGTGAAATCCTTCGGAAGGGCCGACCGAAGTAGTAGAGGGACGAGAGAGCCGAATAAAAGCCCGGCGTAGAAAAGAAGGATGGAGAGGTGGTGGACAAATATATGTATACATATTATATCCCCCCCTCTCTCTCTCTCTCTCTCTCTCTCTCTCTCTCTCACTATCTTATTCACTCTCTCGCTCTTTCTTTTCCTTCGCTCGAAGGACTTTCCGCGCAGGAAATACGATTCTCGATGGAGATGTCCTTCGCCCGGAGTCTCGCGTTCGTTTCCTTCCTTTCTCCCATCCTTTGCTCTGTCTCCTTCCCCTTCCTGCCCGATCTTTCCGTCGCAGGAAGACACTCCTTCCTCTCTCTCTCTTCCCCCGCCTCTCTCTCCCTCTCTCTCTCTCTTTCATTCTTTCTCGCTCTCTTTCTTGTCAGAAATTTTCACGTTAATATCGCGCCGAATCTCGGAATCTTAATAGTTATCGCGTTTTTGCGATGAATTGTGGAACGGCCGTGAGTTTTCGCCAGGAAATCGACGTTTTAACGGGCGTTATCCTCCGGTCGAAATCGATATAAGCACAAGCCGTTACCGTTCACAAACGAACGCACCCCTCTGATCTTTGGCGACCTTCGCCCCGAGGCGACAGGAGCTCAAGTAGCAGCCAGCGGCGGCGGCGGCGGCGGCTCGTCATCCTCACCGACAACCCCAATTTCGTTTCCGATTTTCGCCCTCATAATTCTCATCCCTAATTCCTCCCGCGGCGCCACGCCGCGCCGCGCCGCGCTGTGCTGCGCCCCGTCAAGGCTCCTCCACCATCGTAACTCGCGTAAAACGCACACGCTCTTTCTTCCCACCGTACGAAACCATACCACGTCGCGAGGTGTCATTGTCGCAGGGCTCGAGAGCGCGATGCCGCGGAGGGTCCAGATTGCGGAGAAGGGCGAGGAAACTCCTCTTCGACAGAGTGGAACAACGCTCGAATATGATAAATAACATACTTACGCACACGCGACACGCACGCATACACGCACACGCGCACGCGCGCGCACAAAATGCATCCGATCCAGACAGAGACGGGCGAAAGAACGCACGGCGGTGCAGCGCGAGGACGTACGGACGTACGAATAGACAAACAGAGGCGGAGAGGGTTGCGCGAGAGAGTGTGTGGAGAGACTCACCTGTTGCCGAACGATATCGGGAAACGCGCGAGCACACCGCACTCATAGACCCTCTCGCTTGGCCGAGAGAGTGGCGAGCGCGAAAGGAACGAGAGGAAGATGAAGAAGAAGAAGAAGAAGAAGAGAGAAGAAGAGGACGATGAATCAGCGGCGGCGCGACGGCGACGGCGGTGGCGGCGGCGGCGGCGGCGGCGGCGGTGGCGAACAAGCGGACGAAGGGAGGAACAGGAGAGAGAGAGAGAGAGAGAGAGAGACAGGCGGCGTGTCTCTCTTCCAAAGAGAAGAGAGCCGGACTAACTAAGCAGAGGGAGGCTGACCGATATCTCGCTGAGGGTTCGTTCGTTCGCGTTTTGCACGGGGGTGAACGGCGGCGGTGGCGACGGCGACGACGGCGACGACGGCGACGACGGCGAGCTGTCGAGCGCGGTTGGCACGCGCCCGTTGTACGCCGCGCCGATGCGCCGTGATGTATCGCGGACACACTGGCGCGACCGGAGGAGAAGAGGATCCTGTTATCCTGTAAACAGGCCCCTTCCCCCACCTACCCCCGTCGCCAAGCACCGCCGCCGACACCGCCGCCACCAGCGCGTTCCAACGGCGTATCACCGTCAACGACGACGTCGACGTCGACGTCGACGTCGACGTCGACGTCGACGTCGACGACGGCGGCGGCGGCGGCGGCGGCGGCAGCGGCGGCAAAGGATACGCGCGTGCGCGTCCTACGCCTAGCCTGGCTCTCCGCTCCGGCTCAGGTCCTCGCCCGGCTCCGGCCAGGGTGTAGGCCTCTAGCCTGGATATTATAGGTCTGGGCTGCAGGTAGATTGGTCGGTGTATATGGACGGTTAGGTGGGTAGGTAGGTAGGTAGGTAGGTAGGTAGGTAGGAAGATATCCTGTTGGATATACCGCAGGGATACACAGCGGAGATGTACGCTCGGGGTGAACGAGGAATGCTCACGAGATCGCCCTCTCGGCGAGGCGTGGTGCGGCGCGCGGCGAAGCACAGCGGAGCGGTACCGAAAAACCTACTTGCATCAATACATCTAGCCTCTAGCAGCCGAGACGTCCGCCAAGTGACGGACGCCAAGTGACTTGTCCGCCGTTAGGCTGGCTGGGGCTGAGGCTGATGCGACCTACATTGACCTACTGACTGAATAACCGAGCGCCGCTTCGGCGGGGTAGGTCGACGAGTGGTTTGTCCTTTCAATGGCGTTTCGCTCGTTCGTTTTTCCAACGACCGTGCCGAGAGCGCGTTCTTTACGCAGAGGAGATTCAGAGAGCTTGGCGTAGGGAGAGGGGTAGGGCTCGTATGTCTCATTCATGTATTTGCCGTGCGAGAGAAATGTTGAAAAGAGGATGTTCCGAGAGGAGGCGAAATCCTTCTCCTTTGAGACCGTTTTCTTGGAACCTTTGGCATTTTCCTGAGCTTCGTCGGACTCGGAGAAATATCTCGGTTGTCACAGGAAAGGGAAATGTGTAACGTACTCTACAGAATCAGTCTTGGCATAAAAGCAGACGAACATTGTGTCTCTCTCTCTCTCTCTCTCTCTCTCTCTCTCTGTCATTGTCTTTGCGTTGCCACGCGAAATTGGTTGTCCGGGAAGCCCTGCGAAATTTTGAACTATCGTCCAATCTGTCTCGACGTTTCCTAATCTTCATCGTGACGATGTCACGCGACTTGTTACGATAGAAAATATCACTCGTGTCCTGAGGATGATAAAGTTGTTGCTCGATAATCCTTTGATATCGACGGAAGTTTCCGCGCGAGGATAGGGAGGAGGATTTGACCAAGCCGACCGATCAGGATCAGGCGGCTTGTCCGAACGGAGTTTCGCGACTTGAGTAAACACAATCTCGAGGACGGTTTATCCCCCTTCACGCGGTACGCTTCTTCGACGTACATCTGACGCTTCCCGGTGCCATTATCGCGGCGCGAACAGCGCGCGAAAAGAAATTCCGTTCCGAGCGGATCCGTGTTCAGGCCGCCGTTTCGGCTCGAGATCGATTCGACTTTGTGATCGCGCGCCATGTCTATTGTGGCCGGTGGAGAGGGGGAGGGGGGAGGGGATCTCTTCTTCGCGATGTCTATTATTATGACCCTTGAGAATGCTGACGCGATCGACGCGCGAAGGAGGAAGCTTAGCGAGAGTGAGAGAGAGAGAGAGAGAGAGAGAGAGAGAGAGAGAGAGAGAGAGAGGTCTACTCTCTGTCGCACGAATGACGCAAGTCCGGAATTACGATCCCGTCTCGTCTCGTCTTTCGTAGCGACGCCCTTTGCGGAGAATTTTGACGTGTGCGCCGCGCGGATTCGGACGTCATTCGTCGTCGTCGTCGTCGTCGTCGTAGTCGGACACGTGACAGTCACGCCCGGTATTACTCTGATTATCCGACCTCCGCATTGTAGCAGAGTCGGTCGCGCGAGAGTCAACGAACCGATCGATAAACGGCCGATCTAATTTCGCCGTCGTGATCATTGCTATTGTGTCGAGACGCGCGCCGTCCGCGGACGCCTATTGTGCATCCGGTTCGCGATCGGATCCGGTCCGCCGATTCGTTTCCTCATTCTCTCTCGTCGGCGTTCCGGTTCTGCGGCAAATTTATGAGGCTCCTAATGAGATTTCGGACGTTCTCGAAAAGTTGCGCCCGATCGGGCGAATCGCGCGTCCCGTTGACCTGATTCAATTTGAATTCAATTAAATTCCTCTCCCTCTCTCTCTCTCTCTCTCTCTCTTTCTCTCTCTCTCTCATACGCTCCTCTCGGATTCGCGCAAGTCCCCCTCCCCCCGCCCGCTTCGGCTCACGTTTCTCTCCTCGTTCGCGGAGTATTTGCGGTACTCGCTCTCGCCGCAAGTTTGCCGTTCTCTCTTTGCCGACGTGTCAAGCCAACTTCGGATATTTGCGATCTCCGGAGATTAACAATGAGCGTGGGTGACGAGTGGAAAAACGAGTGGGTGCGCGTTCGCAGCCACCGCCGCGCCGCCCTCCAGCCGCTCATCCGCTCGTCATCTCCTCGAAATTCTATTGTCGGCACGTGAATAAACAGTGATATTAAGATAGCGCGTGTGGGGCAAATCTCGCAGGAAATTAGCGCACGATATTTCGGGCGAGACAGCGGCGGGCTTATAGATGCGCCGGTCGTTCAGGCTTCCCGGAGAGAGAGGACGTCAACATGAAATATCCTCTCATCGGCTCAGATCGGTGAAGAGTGAAAATTCCGTCGAGCGTCGAGCCGACACGAGTCAGAGTTCGCGAGTTCGCGAGTCGTTGTGTGTGTGTGTGTGTGTGTGTGTGTGGCTCGTCGATATGGCTGCTGAGGCCGGGCGCTTAATTCGCGCGCGCGACAGTTCGGCTCATCGATTGTCACTGCTCGCGCTGCTCGCGGCGTTCCCGCGCTCGCGGAGCGCGGAAGTCGACCGCGAATTTATTATTCGTCGAATTCAGCGAGATCGATCCTCGCTGGCGATATTCGGCTGCCGTGCCCGATCGCACGTGTATACGCGCGCGTGCGCGGACAATCGGAAAGAACGGCGCAACATTTGCTAACGCTGTTAGCATATCATCCCCTTCGTCGCCCGTCGATCCGGCTGCCGTCAGGTCGGCAGCGATCGACAAGGTCGTAGGTGACGATGCATCATCGACAGGCGATTTCGATTCCGATTTCCCGGAAACTCGAACCCGAGCCAAGCGCTCACTTTCTATCCCGTGGATATGTCGTCCGATTGTCCTCGGTTCATCAGACGCAATCGGTGTCGGCAAATCTTCATTTACGACGCGATTATCTGATCTAAATGACAGCCGAGATCTCGTGTCCTGTTTCAACGTTGTTTTCGCTCTCCTCACTCTCCTCCTATTTTCGACTCGGCTCTCTCGGGCTCTCTCTCTCTCTCTCTCTCTCTCTCTCTCTCTCTCTGTAACCTCTCTACGACAAAGTGGTTGTATTTTTCCATTTATTTTTTTTTTATGCTTTCGGCAAACACACAGTCGACTGCGAATTCAAGACGAAATATCGGGATTTTATTGATCTATTTATACGCGCGTACGTCTGTGTTCTCCACGAGCTCTCTTTCTGTTTTGTTTCCAACAGGCCAATCTCAGAACGCGAGTGCGAATTGGAACGTTATACGTACGACGCAAAATTGAAAGAAAGAGAGAAAGACGCGATTGATTTGAGACGATAGGAAAAGAGTCGAGAAAGGGGGGAAAAACGTGAAAAAAGAAAAGAACGATCGTTTGTCCGCGAATGGAGAAGCGAAAACTAGCATGTGTTGAACCATTATTCATTTGCCTCATTTTGTCCATTTTTCAAAGAGGCTAGCACGCGGCTAGCACATCGGCATTGCTCCGTTACATCGTTATAATACTCGTCTCGACCGCGAAACTATCTGCGCATCGTTGTAACGCAGAATTAATCATCATTTTCCGGTGTCTCGTCGCATCAAATTCTAATCGTCCCCGGCGGCAGTTTGGCCGGAATTGCGCGCTGTTGCTACATAAACTTCCTTGAGAAATTTCTATCCCGCAGCTTCTCAACTTTTTCAATAAACCGTCGCTCGACCGGATATTTCGTCCTTCATTTTGTCTTAAACTTTAGAATAAGCTTCACGCACGTTCGGAGACTTTTGGCGAAGATTTAAAATTGCGCTTTTCCAAGATAAACTTACATATATTCAATATATGTATACATATGTATGTAACAAATATCAATTATATAGTAAATATGACGAATGTAATAATTTTATACATATATATATAATAAATATAAATAATTAATAAAAGTATTTTTATTATTACTTTTATAAGGTAGGTATGGTAAAAATGTAAAATTAGATACAAAAAATAACAAGCAACAAAATAAAAGAACATATAAAAACAATCAGAGAAGCGTAGGTCGCGCGAAACATTATCAATGAAACGCATGGAGAAACGCAGAAACGCAGAATTCTACCGAAGAATTTGTGGAATGACTCAAAATTTACACATTGCACGGTTACGTAAACGCGGAATACGTATGTACACATTTCACATGTATATTCAGCGCACGCGACAATATTTATTTATCTCTACGTATTTGTGCGTCACGCACATGAGCGTTATTTTTCAGGCGTTTGAACGGAAGTGGAACGAAATGGCGATTCAATGCTAAACGGTAAAATAGCGTTAAATTCAAGCGAAGTGAAAGGTGAGGAAAAAGCTGCGCCGTAAAACAGATATAAAAAGAGAAAGCATTGATGCTGAATAATACAAAAGAAATGATGTGTGCGTGCGTGCGCGCGCGTGTGCGTATGTGAAAACGAGTTAAATTGACTACATATGTTTATTATGATAGAAACAAAATGAAGAAAATCGCAAAGTTTAGTCCCTTTAGAGTATATGAGTACTTTTTTTTATTTTATTAAAATGGGATAAGTATTGCAGATAAAAATGAGAAGGTTTGTTCGAGAGAGAGAGAGAGAGAGAGAGAGAGAGAGAGAGAGAGAGAGTTTCTCTAACAATAAGTTTCGTGTCGATATTTCCCACTGTGAAAATCTGCTCTATCACTTTTTGCCCCGATATCAATATCTGCTTCGATATCGGAGAGTGCAAACGTTCTCGCATTTTGATTATTTTATGCAAAAACGTAAAGGAAAGTTGTCTCTATCGTCTTTATATACAATTCACAATCACAACAATCTATCTATCCAAAGAGTCGCAAATATCGAGACTCGGAAAAGTCAAATTTTCTCTCGGTTTCCTCTTATCCACAGTTGGGAAAATTTACAATGCGACCTGACAGCGCGCCCTGAACGATGTGTCTGGTGGCAGTGCGTGCATAATGATTACCGTCGTTATCAACGTTAACCAACTAACCGACCGACTGAACACAATCGACTAATCAACCGACTGATCGATTAACCCCTTCTACAGTCCTCTTTCGTTCAGTTTCTCGAGTACATTAATTTCCTTCTGCATGGATAACATCAGTTCTCGTACGATGGACTTCGTCAACAATCCCAACATCATCTTGATTCTGCGCTTCCCGACACGAAGGTTGGCCAAGTGTTATTCTCCGCATGATTGCCATCGATCCCTTCGCTACAACACCCTTCGCTGCTGCCATTCTGATCTCTCTTTCTCTCTCTCTCTCTCCCTCCCCCCCCCTCTCTCTCTCTCTCATACCCTCTCCGTTTCTCTCTCGCTCTCAGGTAATCTCTCTCCCACAAACGTCATAAACGTCTCTTGTCATCGTGCGATACACTATTATCCTCGGTCTTCTCCCTGTCACAATCATGTTGTTCTCCCATTGTCAGGAGGCTGCCGGAAGAAAAGAGCGAGAGAGAGAGTGTGTGTGATCTGTGTCATCATCTCTTCTCTGTCTGCCTCATGGAGAGATCGTCGACACCGTCGTACGTCACACCATACGTGACCTACGTCAATGACATAACCTCTGTGCCAAGCAGTAATGTAACTATAATATCATCATATCTGCTTGATATTATCGCTTGTTTCAGTGGGTATTCGGATGGAATAAACCATTCATTCCTGTCTGATGACTCCGATGAGGAATTTTGCGCGAACTTGCAGCAACGACACGTCTCCGTTCCAAATACAGACAGGCTAGATGTGAGTCACTAGCAGTAAGAACTCAACTTTCTTTTCTTCTTCTCTCTTACGGGAACATATTACAGGTGTTTGGACATTTTCAGAGGTACTCGGAAGCTTATACAAGGCTGGATGGCAGATACAAGGAGGTCTCGTGGAAATGAATAAATACTAACTTGTATACATGTCCCCTGTTAGTATAGAACATGTGTACTAGTTAGTAGGAACGATATATTTTGGGCATAGCCAAGCTTATCTCCGAGTACCTCTGTGTCTAAAGAGATATGGATCCTGATTAAAAAGCAACTCAACGTTTGAAAAAGAAACCATTAAACGTTACTACAAGGATTCATCTCTCAGATAAATCCTTCAGATATTTCGCATTCCGAATGCCTTTAAAATTTTCTATGTGTGTGTATGCCACGATTACAGTGTTGGTAATCTTATATGATATTTTTTTTAGAAACATGAAATAAGTTTCGCGACTAAACAAGCTTGCGGAATAACAGACAGTTCCAGCAAACAGAATTTGTCCATCGCGTCCATGATACAGAAGAGGACCATTGGACCTGCCTTCAGCACAGCTGAGAAATGTTGGATAAGCAATAGCTTCCTACCTAATAAGTTTGATTTAATAACCAAGTACAATAGTAGGATATACTGCGGTTCATACTCCAAAGATGGAAATTTCTTCCTTACTGCTACCCAAGGTATAATACTTGCTTCAAGCATTATATATATATATATATATATATATATATATATGTACATGTAAGGCATTCTTTTTTTATTTGTCCGTCTTGTTTTGTCCCTCGCGATAAGATCGACGTTCCCCACTCTGTGTCTAATCATGTACGATCTCGGCAGATAGTTGGCTGCGAGTGTACAATACGCACAATGGTAAGTTTACCCAGCTCAAGAGTATACCCGCGCGAGACGTCGGCTGGAGTATTTTGGATACTGCATTCAGTCCGGATGGTAGTACGATCGTGTATTCGAGCTGGTCTGAATGTTGTAAGTATCTCCAATCAGTATTGGTCAAGGTGGATTCGTTTGTTTCTTAACGTTTCATCATCTTTTTCCTTCCTTCTTACTAGTATATCAATGCTCCGTGTCCGAAAATTCGACCACGCAAGAGTCGTTACTGTTGGGCCCTGGTGTACGACGGTTTTGCGTGTTCTCCTTGGTGTTTTCCAACGACGGCCGTGAGATCCTGGGAGGCGCGAACGATGGCAAACTCTACGTGTACGACCGCGAGTGTCGTCAACGAGTACTTCGGGTTTGTAGCATCCGTCACGTTTGTAGCATGACAACGCGCGCGCGTGTTCGAATCGCTGTACTTTAATATCGGTCCGTCGATTTTTACAGGTCGCAGGACATTACGATGATGTAAATGCGGTTGCATTTGCCGACAATACTTCACAGATCTTCTATAGCGCGGGTGACGACGGATTGTGCAAGGTACAAATGAACCCGAGTTGGAAAGACGGAGAAAGAGGAGACCTCTTTTTATTCTCCAACGGTATTCAAGTCGAATATCGCTAAATTAATCTAAGGCTAATGGGGATTGGAGGATCGAGAGATGATCGATTAATCGAAAATTGCTCATAGCTCCAAGCTTTCACTCTCTAGTAAGGCACTTGTATCACAGAAAGTTGAGAGTATCGCTCGAAAAGAAACCTGAGAAAGAACTGCAAGAAGTATAAAGTGGAACATTGTGGAAAGTTGTGAAAAAGAAGATAACGTAGTAAATTGATGTAAATACTAAAATTTGTCAATACATTGCGTCGTTTGTCATGATGATGGGTCTTGTTGTGTATGGATCTGCTGTTCTTTCCCCAAGAACTTTTGAACCATGTTGCGATATGTTAGAGGAAATATATTGGTTTTGTTCCAGCTTGTATCGCACTAGTTCCAAAGTCCCTTGATAAAGACCAGACCTACAGCTGCGACCTAGCAGATGTATGCGCATGAGGTCGTGGGATGATATCCCTCGGTTCTCCTCCCATTGTTTTCTGTCGCTCGGAGGTCGAGATCGAAGCGTCAAAATTCGGTCGAATACGATTCTCGTTGGCGTAGCGCGCTTTCGCGGCTATATCGTAAATATTGCTCGTTCTATACGTCGTTCCTATTTGTTTAGGTATGGGATAAGAGAACGTTAACCGAAACTGATCCGCGTCCGGTTGGAGTGTTGGCAGGTCATATGGACGGAATCACGTATATCGATTCTCGCGGCGACAGTCGGTATTTAATAACCAATTGTAAAGACCAAACCATCAAGTTGTGGGACGTGCGCGTGTTTTCCGGCGAGATTGGTAAAATGAACACTCGCAAGGCTGTCTCGAGCCAAAATTGGGACTACAGATGGCAACCTGTGCCCAAACGATGTAAGTAGTCGCTCGCTCAGATGAGAAAAATAAAGAAGGAGAAAAGGAAGAGGAAAAAGAAAAATAATCGACACCGAGTTTTATCCATTCTATCCATTTCACTTAGAAGTGCTGCTTTTCAGTGCGTAAACCGAGAGACCTGCTAGAAGGCGACACCAGTGTCATGACGTATCGTGGCCATTCTGTCCTACAGACTCTGATCCGTTGTCATTTCTCGCCAGCGGACACCACTGGCCAAAGATACATTTACACGGGATGTTCGACGGGTCGGGTCATCGGTAAGTCATCTTTCTCAAGTGTCGTTTATATACGATAAAAGAGCGTCTCCACGTCGGCAAACAGTTTAATCGTACACCTGATTCCTGATTTCAGTATATGATGTTTTGACGGGGAAGATAGTACGCAAATTATTCGGCCATGCAATGTGTGTTCGTGACGTTAGCTGGCACCCTTTCTATCCTCACATCGTTTCCACATCTGTAAGAGTCGCTCGGTGTAATTCATGCAATCCGTTTATTGCAAAAGACGTATTAATTAAAAAAAAATTCGCCTTTGTCTGTATTATTATTACAGTGGGACAGTACGATCGCCCGATGGCGATACGTGAGCGACGCCAAATACATTAGTTATTCGGACATGGAAGATACTGAGAACGAGATTGAAATACAACCGCAAAAGTTGCGACGGAGTGAGAGGATAGCTGCGCAACAAGCAAGAAACGCGACTTTTAACTCGACCTCGTAATGCCCGTTCTTACTTTTCCAATTGTTTTATATAGCTTCCGCGGAATTGGACAACTGTTCTCTCTCGGCCAGAGGGAATGAACGCGCAACGATCATCATCGTCGTGATAACTTTGACTCCGCGAGCGCGAGAATACACGTTGTAGACACAAGACTGAGCGAACATTTTCTCCGTTGCGCGCTTATTTGCTACTGACGCATCTCAGAAGGGTCTCTCGTCGCAACCCTATTCAATTTTCATCACGATGCAGAAACGATTCGTTCAGAGTGCGACGTTCAGAGCTGTCTCTTCTCCAAGCTACGCCGTCTGTAAATGTTTTATACCGCGAAGAGATGACACGCCCTGCTATCGTCGCCCTGCTTTCGTTTTTTGCGAGAGGAAAGGCGTTTGACCTTTTGCAACGATGAGTGCGCGAAATGGCGCTCATATATCTAACGAAATGACAATGTATAATCTTTTAACGTTTTACGTAGATATCGGTTGATGCAACATTTACGGTCGGTTGTTAAGATTTTTCAGTTAAGATTTTCACTACATAGGGGTTACATATCTGTGGTGATTCCTTGATACTTGTCTTGCGTGAGACGCTTGGATCAACAGCAACAATTTGGATCCGAGTGTCACAGACCTGAGAGAGAAACAAGTTTTAAGTAACGATTATAAATATGGGGCTCAAACTGTTCTAGGTTCGGATAGAGCATTCGAATGAATCGAGCAGATTTTGTGACTTTCGAAAGAGTATCTTGTCCGAAGGTAAAATGGATCGCCCGTTTTTTACTGTGATGACTTTTCTATCCAACGTATGCATAATTATCTGCGTCGGGTGCGGCTGTCACTTCGTTTTTCCTGTACTCTATATAAAATCTACCTTAGAGATTCTGCAATTTACACACACGGCGGAATGTGAAAGTGAGGAAAAAAAAGGAAGAGTTCCACGTTGTAATTCCACATGATGTGGAATTTTGTCGCTAATTATAAATTTTCAAGGATCGTTTTACGAAGCTGTGATATACATACAAAGTTGTAGAACTAAATTTGTGTATATTTTTATGGCAATTCTGCACACACACACACGAACCACGCTAGATAGTAATCGCAATATATTTCTACGTGGGCATTGTGATATTATTGTAAAAGAGTGAAGACAAATCGGGCTAGTTTATATTAAGCAAGCCAAATTTTCGACCAAAAACGATAACTACGTAATTGTGCGTTGTCTTTAACGCAACCTCGAGACATGCGTTTCGCTATCATATAAGCAGATTTTACAATTATTATATGTATATACGGTGACACACGTGTTTCCCGATGGGCCAACGGGTGATCCACGATGTTAATTTGATTATTAATCTCCGCCCCAATTAATTGTACATTATTATTTTGCGAAGGATGTAACATAATGTTGGTTTAATAAAAGTACAATTATTATACGAATCGATCGGTACGTATTCGATGTTACAGTTGTTTGGAGAGAAGCTAAGAATTTTTCCATATATTTGGGGAATTTTTCCTTTCATTTTTTTTTTTTTCTTTTTTTATTGCGAAAAGTATCAGCCACTAATACTACCTGCTGATCCCTGCTACCCAGGTGGTGAACAGTAATTTTCTTCGCACTAATCCTCCGCATTAACTTTTGTAATTTAATGCATGCAGAAATTATATAAGGCAAAAGCTAACATGCGCGCGCGCAATGCACTCGCCCTGATATACCGAGTTTCCACGAGCAATGTGATCGCTAAACCGACATGACCTTTCGCGTAGCGGAAGCCACGTAAAATGCGCGATAATTTATTTAACGCACGAAAAGGCAAGAATTTGGAAGCCACACAAATTCCCGATCCGGCGTTCCGTTGTTATGCAATTCTCACGGATCGAACTTTACGCGCGAGCATTGTATTCACGTCAATTACACGTCAAGTTTGCCGAATGCATCACGGATTTTCGGCAATACATCTACCATGCATCTGCGTTTTGATATTGTAACAGTTATTAATTATTTCAAGCGATTATTTGAAAGCAGCAAGGATCGCGTTCTTGTTTCATCACAGGAAATCGCGTAAAACGATTATAGATGCTAAACAATATTCTCAATGTAACAAGAACGCCATCCACGCCATCCTTTCTCTTCTTGCACAAGCAATCTGCAATCGACGCTATTGTCACTTGGGCTCGCATTGATAGTTGTTTGAAACTTATCTCATGCGTGACAAGTGTCAATAAGTGTCATGACTATTAATGTGGATTAGTTAATATTCCAGATGTCATAATAAGGTTGCATAGAGATTTCCAACATTGAAATTTACCGTTACAACACATGTGTACACATTTGGATCATTCGTACTCTGCGTGACTGCTTTTGATCGTGTCTTCTCTCTCTCTCTCTCTCTCTCTCTCTCTCTCTCTCTCTCTCTCTCTCTCTCTCTCAACTTCTACCGGCGTTTACACGCGGCTAAATTGCGCGTGAATTTGCGAAGAACTTGTGTGCTTGACGCATGACACTCTATCCCCGATCCTCAAGGACCATTTTCCAACGCGCACAAGTCTGAATTAGTAATTAACTCAAAGCGCAAAAACCTACGTGACTCGGGTACCGTGTAATCAGCGACATTCCCTCCCCACAGAGGGTTTCGCGTGTAAATAGTGCGATTGTTTCGCAAAGACGAAGGCGGATGACTCCTTGGCATTTTTCCAGATATCCAGCTGCGCGCGAGGAAGAGGGAAATAGAGAGAATTCTATTCTCGATTGTCGAGACAGAGATGAAATGTATACGCGCATACACACGGCGACGTATATTCTCCTTGAGCGTTGATCTTCGAAGGAGCCTTGGATGAAAATCTTTCTGCGAGAGCGCGATTCGTTGCCCTGCCCTTCGCAATTGTCGCGTCGACTTATTCGGATCTATGCGAGCCGCCGCGAGAGACGTGGAAGAAATCAACAGAATTCCATAAACGGAATCGTCTTTTGATTTCTACCGTGATATCCTATTTACCGGCCGCAAGGACGCGACGACGGGGTAATTCTATCGCAAACTTTCACCCGCTCTCATTCCCATGCTGTTTTCGTCGTAATCGCAGCGACAATGACGATCGCGCGTCCAAGGACGAGCAATAATCGGCACGAAACGCGTACGATCAAGCGTACGAGATACATCGATACATTGATTTAGCGTCTCTGTTATCAAGAACGACGTGGATATAACGACGATATAACGACATCTGTTTTGCGCGTTATACAATGCTACGTCTACACCGCGGCCGAAGTAAGCTCGCTCGTCTGTAAACACAAATTATATTCGCAATGTGATCGCAAGCACTCGTCGACAGCAGGACTCCTCGCTTGTCGAATATAGCAATTTTCTTTTCATAAATTTCTCTTCACGCACAGGAACTCTTCGTTCTTAGGATAATCTCTCGCTGACCTCCATTCTGTTTGTTGTTTGTGAAACAAACAGAAGCCGGGGCTTCTCCGGCGACTGTCGCCACGGTGCAGCGTCGGATCTCGCCTCCCGGGCCTCTCGCGGTGATCGGTGACGTCTCAAGATACGGCAGGTACGGCGCACATAGCGGTGCTGGCGGCGGTGTTGGTCGCTCGGAAATTGTCGGAAACGGAATTCTTTTCTTCCCCTCTTCGCTTTTCGCGTCTTTCCACATGGTGGGTAAGCGCCGCCCGCGCGCCGTTACCTACTTTAACGCGCGCACCCCACCGTCCGTACTTACACCGGCGACAACATGTAACACGATAAAATCTAGATCCGGATTAGAAACTTGCGAGCGAGTCTTCCTCGTCGTGAAACGAAGACCCGCGACGGAGCCGCATCGTCAGTTGCATAACGCTCCTCGTCGTTATCACTACGAGTGCACACGTCATCTGTATCTGATAACAGGTGTTATTCTTCGATAAATAAGCGATACTAATAAGCGACAGACGTTATTCGCGACGAGTCTCATTTGCGCGCAAGGACCCATTACTGCGACACGCTCTCTCGCTCTCTCTCTCTCTCTCTCTCTCTCTCTGTCTCTCTGTCATCTCTCTGTCTCTCTCTGTCTCTCCGTCTGACGAGATACGTTGCCTGGATCGAGTTGTCAGGTAACGTGCTTTCCGTCGTTTTTCTGCTTATTTCTTGGTTTTTCCTTTATTTTTTTTCTTCTTCTGTGCTACCGCACTCTTGTTCTCGCAATTTTTGTACAAGGAAAAGTTAAAATCGTTTCGCGCATAAGCGATTCTGTAAGTACAAAACTCACGAGGCAGGGCTCGGACTTGAGATTCCGAGCAAAGTCGTCGTCCGAGTTGAAACGAGGAAATTGAACATATGTGAGTTGAACGTATACGAGATAATATATATAAACAAGAGGACAATATATAAACGTGACAAAAGGATAGTATATAAACTAATCGGAGAACTTTCCTTTAATAGAATTAAATAGAAATAATAGCCTTTATTTGGTGTGAAATCTTTGTTAATCAAGTTTCAATGTTGTTTTATCTTCGTTCAGTGTTATTTTATTCGCATTCAATGTTATTTCCCTTATACGCCTTGATATCATCGTATCAGCCCCCGCTCAGACAGTTTTTAATCTGTTGATTTTTCCGTCTCCAACCGAAATAAGACCGAAAAAAATTGTTAATCTTATTATTCTCATCAGAAGCGATTTTCGACGCCAACCACATGTTCTTTTTTATTGCCCAGTCAGATATTCAATGCAAAGTTGAACGTACGCAGAGAAGGAGAAAAATTCGATACACGACCGACGAATTTGTTACTTTTTCTTTGTAACTGTTCTTTGTGGTCACTCAGTTTGTTATCACTCGTGGCTAATCTTTCGCGTCGTCAAGGCATTTGCATATTTTTGTAAGCAAATTTATGCTTTCACGAGAAAAAGTCATAATTTAATAAGTAGCTCGCGTATCACTCTATCACTGTAATTTAAAGTAACGTGTAATTATATTATTATTATTATTATTATTATATTGTTATTACGATATTTTCCTCGCAAAAACGCATAAATTTATATGATGATGTTTTGATGATGTGGAAAGATTAGCCACGTGTGATGATAAACCGAGTGATTATGTGAATACCTAGTTACATAAAAGAGACAAATCTGTTTTTGTGCAAAACAGACTTTGAAGGTTGATCTGATTCATAACTAACATCAATTATCTTTTTTTTCTTGTAATTTTCATGTAATACTTATCATTACACACAAATGACTTTATATAAATTAGTGTTTCCGTAAGGAAGAAATCGTAATAATAATGTAATAGCTCGTATATTGACTCTGTGTGTTTTAATTGCATATTAATCTATTTCGCAGGCATTATATTGACTCGCATCGGTTTTCTCGACAGCAGTCGCGCGTATTGTCTTTCGAAGTGACGACATGGCATCTGCAATGAGCGAAACATATAAAACCAATTCAACGGACAACTGTTACAAGACCCGCAGAAACAACGTTCCCATAATCCACGTCCGCGGCACCCACTACGAGATCGGCTACGACATCGTAAGTCACTATTCGTTTACACTTTACACTTGGCTGTACGAAACATCGGAATCTATAACACACAAGTTACTCTCGAGCTGCACCTCGAATCATCTCTCCATCACTCCATCGCTCAGAGTCATCAATTCATCTCCATCACTCAGAGTCAAAAGACGGCCCGACCGTGTCGGCCATGTCGTATTTTCCTTCTCTTTCAATTACTTCTCTAATTTATATCTTCGTTGAAACGAGAAAGACCGCAAATTATGAGTGCAAATTATGACCGGCCGGCCGACGATTCAAATTGCCCATTAATTAATTGAATTTCAATTGATTTAGGAACTCGACTGCCCTCATGCGCAAACGGGTCAAGTATATCGACTCGGCTCTCTCTTTTCACCCTCTCACTCTCTTAACTCGTGTCTCGTCAATGGACATTACACTAATGAGCACTTGTCGGTTGTCGATTAGATTTATAGCGACACACGACATTCTTGTCTAGCCTAGGTAGCGCGAGTGACATGTACACATAAATCTCCGTCGCCAGCTTGTAATTACTCAGCTATGTAATCGCAATCTCGAGTTAAACCGGACGAATGAACTTCGATATGTCGTGCGTGTGAGTTATCTCACACAGCGGTTTGATAAAAATGCGAGCAGATATTCGGGCGTAAATAAGGCGCATAGTCTATGACTCCGCTAAATAGGTCTAGTAGAAGGTGCGAGAAAAGCAGGACAGCGACGACGTTCACCCGGATCAAATTCCTGCCGCTTTACACACACACACACACACGTGCACACATGATCACGCGACATTACGGACAATCGATACTCTCGCCCCGAATACCCGTCTGTCTAATTTTACCCCGAACCCCGAAATCCTCGAAAATCGCATCGGAAATCGTCGCAGCTGTCACGACGCGGTTCGCAAGCGGCCGGGCGATTTGACGATTAATATTTGACGATTGATATTTTAATTCGACAAAAATGTCATTTCATCTCTACATCTCTCTACATCAATTATATCTCTGCATCTCTGCATCAATTATCAATATTTTCGGCGCTAGTCTTATCTTCCTTTTTTTCAAATACAAATAACGCAGTGGCAGTATATACATACATATATATATATATATATATATGTAGTAACGGCTATTGCACACAAAAATAGGTTTCTCTTGTTATAATTATTTCATTTATATGTTTAGCCGTAATCTTTTTCTATGTTGACCAAAATGTGAACCACGTTCACATTTTGGCTCATTAAAAACTCTGCTCACAGGGGCACACCTTCGCCGGAATGATTCAAAATTTCGTGGACATCTACTCGCCGCTCAATGACACTTATCTGCCGTTGTTCGCGACCGAGGAGGGCAGAAAGGTTTACGAAGAGACCCTCGACGTGGTGAAGAAGCAGTTCCCGCAGTACGTGAGGGAGATTCAGGGCACAGCGGACGGTGCGAACGTACCGTTCAGTAAGGTAAGGTATGCTTTTTGCGAAAAGCAGCTCGAAGGCGATTGCTCGAAAACTGAAGGTCTGCCGGCTCGTCGCTTCGCTTCGCTTTCTCTCGAAATTCTTCAAATTTCAATTCAAATTTCAATTCAAATTTCAATTGCAGCTGTTTCTGATGCATCTCGATGATATTATCTCGAATGTCACCGGTAAAGCGCAGGAGACCGCGCTTCCAGTTGGCTGCACAACCATCATATGCAATCAACCGGGACAGGTGAGAATGACAATTAGTCGAACTATACGTATATATCATAGCAAGCGGCAAGTCCGCAGGTAAATGAGCTCCTTCACCGAGAGGTGAAGGAATATCTCGGGCGTTGTCGAATTTTTCGTGCTTTCGTGCTTTTTCTCTCGCCGATTCTGAGGACGAAATCTCATTACTCGTCGTCTTATTACGTCTGATATCTTGATTGTCATAATAGCCATCTGTTAGTCTTTGTACGCATCTTTATTATTTTCCATTGTTTATAAATCCGACGTCCATCCAGAGTTTTAAATACTCGCGTATTCAGACATGACCACTGGACACCACTGGTCGATTCCGTTCTGCGTGAAACGATAATGGTAGCGCGAAGAAATATTATTCGCTTTAACATAATTTGCTTCTTCATCTCGTCTCGTCCGACCAACGATCACGAGCGTTGTCGTCTTACGTAACGAGACGCGAAGAGACCGGTGTTATCTCATGCCGATGACGTATCATCGGTATTTGTTGTGTCATTTGTTGGGTTTTACACGTACGCGTCTTATCATACGTTTATGTGATTGAACTACCTAATTTTCCTTATCACACACACACACACACACACACACGTATACGTACAGTGTACGTATATATATTGGGTGAGTGCAAAAGTTCGTGCGGAGTTTCAATAGATGGAGTTATAAGCGTCGTAAAGTGTTGTCATTAATACTTCCATCTACATATTATATAACGTTGGAGAGGTGACGCCTTCAGCTGTTATTAAAAAAAAAATCATTTGTTTTCATACAAACTGCTTCGAGAAATATCACTTTAAAAATGAGTATCGATAAGGTGCATTTACGGCATGTTATGCTTTACGAGTTTCGGAAGGGAATAAACGTTGCCGCAGCCGTAAAAAACATTCAGGATGTTTATCAGGATGAAGCACCAGCTAAACGAACTGTGGAAAAATGGTTTGCTAAATTTCGGCGCGGAGAATTTAACCTTGAAGACGAGCCACGCTCTGGTCGACCTTCTGACATTGATGACGATGTTTTGCGTACTTTAGTGCTCAATAATCCGCGAATTTCAACAGAAGAAGTTGCTACAGCACTAAACGTTGACCGATCAACCGCTTTTCGGCGTTTAAAAAAGATGGGATTCGATTTGAAGCTCGATATATGGGTGCCCCATTTGCTGACCGAGAAGAACAAAATCAAGCGAATTTCTGCAGCCGTTTCTTTACTCGGGCGGCTCAATAACGAGTCGTTTTTCGACTAGTGACGGGCGATGAGAAATGGGTCCTCTACAACAATGTTCAGCGCAAACGGACATGGAAACAATCAGGTGAGCATGATGACGCAATGCCAAAGGCCAGTTTGCACCCGATGAAGGTGATGCTCTCTGTTTGGTGGGATTGCAAGGGCATAATCTATTTCGAGCTTCTCCCCGCTGGCGAAACGATTGATTCGGACAAGTACTGTCGCCAATTAACCAATCTGAATCGAGAAATAAAAGAGAAACGTCCGATTTGGTCAAATCGCAAGGGAGTCGTCTTTCATCACGACAACGCCAGACCACACGTTTCGAAAAAGACGCTGCGCAAACTGAAGAGCCTGAAATGGGATGTCTTAACGCATCCACCGTATTCTCCTGATATCGCACCATCTGACTATCACTTGTTCCGGTCATTGCAAAATTATTTAAATGGAAAAAACTTTGACTCTTTGGAGGCCTTAAAAAACGGCGTCTCTTCGTTCGTTGAATCTAAACCGCGCAGTTTTTATGATCGAGGCATCCGTATGCTGCCGGAACGTTGGGAAAAGATTATAGAAAACGATGGAGAATATATCATTGATTGAATAAAGATTTTTGTTTGCCTAATCACTGTGTGACTTTTACTCACAAACTCCGCACGAACTTTTGCACTCACCCAATATATATATATATATATATATATATATATATATATACGCATTATTTCATCCCGTTTCGTTTTCACGTGACACGCGTTTAACGAAAAGCACAGGAGATCCTGGGCCATAACGAAGACGCTCTCAGCGAGACCATGAACCACTGGTATCTCGTGAGCGCCCACGTCGTCGAGGCCGGCCACAGAGAGGAGAAGTTCACATCGCTGAGTTACGCCGGTTTCCTGCCGGGCTACACGATGGGTTTCAACCACCACGGTCTCGTTTACAGCATCAACACCCTCAGCGCCGCGGTCCTGCGATCCGGCAAGACCCGTGAGTCTCTCTGGTCTCTCCTTTCACCCGGCAGCCCTTCAGCCGGCTGCAATCGCGTTATTTTCGAGACCTCCGACCTTCCTAATACATATACGTATGTAATATGTATTCACCTCGTATTACCTCAGCGCGCTACTTCTTGGCGCGAGCGCTGCTGGGCGTGGAGAACTTTGTGCAGGCGCAGCAGGTCCTGAGGGACGAGGGTTGCGGTGCGGCGGAGGGCTTCTCGGTGAACATGACGTTCCTCGCGCAAGAGGGAGACCGGATGTTTCACAACGCCGAAGTGGGTCCGGTTGAAGCGGACGGCGTCCGGTCGCAGCTCAACATCCTGACCGTCAGCCCTGGCGAGAACACGTCGCATTGCAACAAGTACGTGTGCCCAGCTGCGCAGGGTCCGCAGCAATGTTCTACCGTCCTTCTTCATCAGGTTTTCTGCAATCTGCTTCGGGCGATGCGATCTATTTCAGGTATTTGCGGCTGAAGGTGGCCGAAGCCGAAGGATTGATAATACAAAGCAGCGTGAGAAGGATGGAGGCGGTCTGCAAGCATCCGCCAGCTGAGTGTCGTCAGGACGTGATCGATATTCTCAGCGATCAGACGGACAACGAATTCAGGGTGTATCAAGAGATCGATCGCAACGATTACGTGAAAACGCTCGCCACAGGTACAGGTTTTGGTTTTTGCCATCCAAGTGCCTGGAGACTCGCGATCTCTCCGCGAGTCTCAGGCAAGGGATGCGATTCATTCGATGAAGGTTTTATAGGGTTTGAAATGAAATGTTCTCTTGTTTTTCTTCTTTTATTATATTGATGTGTCAAATAGTGTCCTAAATTAGAGTTTCAGCTTTAGCTGAAAAGTAAGTAGAGTCTCAAAGCGTCTACTAGATTCGACTCTGGATATTAAATTATTGGCTATCGGCATTGACAAACGCCGAAGCTAGTCAGAATCGAATTTAATGTGATTCGTCGAATTCTAATCCCTAATCCGCAATCTTCTATTAGCAATATTTAGCCTGACGCGCTCTTTATCCTCGTCGTTCCCGACAATACTTCGTGAAAACGATAAATACCTTCGCTTGAGGATAAATCAACGATGACAAATCAAATGACGTCAGTTACGTCAGATTCTTGAGAATCCTGTTTTTCCTGTTGCCGCGAAACTAGTTGAAATGCAATTTCATTCACGTCGCTCAAATGAATCAGTATTCACCTTGCGAAATCAATCGCATGAAGATGCTCGAACGTTTTGCTAATTGACGGGATCATTAATTCGCAGGTATTTTCGATTGCATCGAGAAAACATGGTCCATCTATGCGGACAAGCCGCGATGCAATGAGCCGATACTGGTGATACCCATAGAATTAAGGGATGCGCTGGCACGATGCGCCAAAACGGAGAGATAATTCCCTCCCTCGCTTCTCATCTCGACCGGATTTCTCCTTGCATCGCGCTTGCATTCGGCGTGTCGTGCAGGCAACGGGAGTATGTGAGAGAAACGAATGTCATGCGTAATTAGAGACAACCAAGCCTATGTGAAATTGTCCTTTTGCCAACTAATTGAAAGCGCAAAAAAGAAACAAAGATTAGAAAAAGGAATGACTAATATTCTGATTATTCACACGCAAGTTGACGTAACGCGACGCAACACGGTTGAGGAAGATGAGCGATTTAGTCGCTTAGAGATCAGTCAGTTGATGAGAAAGACGTCAACTTTTAAAACATTTGGAGATTGCGCCCTTGCGCTGCGTAGGATAAGAAGAGTTCTCGTTATGTTCTGTTAAGTAATAAATGAAATTTTATATAATTTATTTTAAATCCGATATTTCGATCGGCACTTTGAAATTTTTGCTGATACGAATAGCCGAATATAGAACACTGTCAGTATTGTTTTTCGGTGTACATTTGCTGAGAATAAAATTTCATGATACTTGTGATTCATGTGGTTTTCAATAAAAGTTGACAAAATATATAGCTCATACAGGAAGAAGGAAGAGAGAAAGAGAGAAAGAGAGAGAGAGAGAGAGAGAGAAGAAATATTTGCTGCTGTATTATTTCGTAATTTCATCTTTAATTTCCTGATATTTTTTCTTGGTGTGAGTACATTATTATTTAAGTTTCTCTCGAAATCGTCCAATTGATTAATTCAATATAAAACGCAATATGATAAATTCCAGTAAAAAAGGAAAGCGATGTAAATGATGACAGATATATCTCCCTCTTGTTGTCAGACGAGATTGGCATAATAGGATGCCGTAATACAAGTAACAATTGCAGCTTTACCCAACGCTACGCGCTAAAAAACTTAAGCAACCGGTTGTTAATCTTGTTGCCGCTCTTAATTAAATAAATGTACAAAATATACCGCTCCTCTGCATTCTACATGCAGGTACTCTGCACATCTTTCTTCTTCTTCTTCTTCTCTTTTTTTTTTTCTTTTAACATTTTTCGTCTTTAATTACATTTTATTATCCTCGTTCCTTGTTTGTATTTATAATTGTGTGTTTGTCGCGGATCATTGCGCAAAACAAAGTTCTCAGTAAAACGATGTACTTGCATATGGTTCGAGCAATATTTATTGAATTATAATATTTAAATAGGTATTTAAATACGGTGCGCAAATTTGAGGTTACAACTTGTCAAGGTATGCGCTCAGGTCTGGGAGACCCTCCTTCAATCCCTTCCTCTTACGAGTATCCTGCAAAAGTGCAACAATTCGTTAACAACTTTATAAGTGCGAACCTGGTAAAAAAGAATTATAAAAAGTGCACTTGATGCTTTTGTTTTAATGAATTTTTTTTTTTTTATAGGAAAATACAATTTATGTGTACGTTTCCCTATTCAGGCAAACCAGGATAGTCCACTGGAATACCAAAACTCAAAAACGGTTTCTCTTCCACGGGTCAAAAAATGCCAGCGCATCGTGTAGTCGCTGTCACCAGTTATCTCGTGGTAGCAAAAAGAGCACTGCAGAGCAAAGAGTTCCTACCTGCACCACTTGGTAAGGTCGAGAGGTGGCTTCCATCGGGTCACCCGGCAGGATCTGCCAGTGATCGAACACGCACTGTGGGAAGGCCTGGCCGCCGGTGTTGGAACGCAAATCAGCGGTGAAGCCGAAGGACTCGTTTACTGGAAGGTAAGCCTTAACTACGAACATGGGAGTGCCCGCCACTTGTTGCTCCTCGAATACATGACCTCTCCTGCGGTTCAACACGCCGTAAATTCCACCGACCGCTGTCTCCGGGCACTGTCCGGGCGAAATCATTGAAAATCAGATTAGATTGTCTTGCGTATGCTCTCGTCGTTCGTTACTATAATTTTGGGAAGAAATAATTAATAAAACAACCATCAACACGATAGGTAAGTCACGAGAGAACGTCAAGAAAAATCTGTACGCGAGATGTCGATTGCTACTAAATCCACGAATAAGAAATAACGTATGTCATAACAACAACCCTTCAAAGAATGAATAAAACGTTTTGATTGCCATTTCGACTCTTCTCAGTGGAAACAATTTATGAAAAGTTAATGCGTAAAAAATAACAGAGAACGACGCATCTTCGCTCTGACCATATCAACAAATATTAACACTATATTTATTTGATCTCAGAGCCATATAAATTACTTTATTTTGCAAAACAACCATGTGTATGCGCGCGCGCGCGCGCGCTCCTCAAGTGGTATTGTGTGACTTGGTGGCTATTGGTGACTCACCTGAATTTCGCATAAGTAAACGGGTTCCATAATTCGGGGTGAGGCAGTGAGAAGACAGGCGTAAAGGCAGCGTCTTGTGGTTGGGATAATTTGTCCACCACCTCTGTGAATCGCGTCAGCGTGCAACGTCACGTCGTGGATATTGAAGCGTACGCCTCGCAGATTCTCTTCGGAGAGAACACCCTGTAACGCACGTGAAAGTTAATGGCCGTATCATTGGCCGTGCGCGCTGGCTAAACATTCAGCGGACGAAGAGAGGATAGGATACGTTGTGCCCGTTGTGAATCGTATCGATCTTCTACCTCTTTCGTCGCCCATTGGAATCCAGCCACTACGGAATCTTTGATCTCATTCAGATATTGTACACCCTTCGTGCAGTCGACCAGTATATTGGGTCCGCTACCGTCCGGACCGAAGCACCAGATTTTCCTGGCTTCCGTTATGTCGTAATCGTACTTTTCGTTCAAGTAACGAGCGCGCACTTTGAAGTCGTCGCGCGGATTCACCTCACCCTGCGAAATGTCAAAAGATGAAATGTATTTTTAGCTAGCACCGGAGCACCGGGCAGGGAGGGCGAGAGGGAGGGGGGGGGGACTCTGACATACACATTGCATATGTCGCTTGTGTGCATATTACGCAAAAGCAAAAATACCGACACTGAATCGTCGTATCTTTCTCGCTCGAATGTTAACTTTCATTGCGTCTCGACGAAGATAACGCGTAATTATCGTAAGTGAACGATTTAATTTCCAGAGAAAAAAAAAAAAAAAAGAGAGCGATAGGGGGGAGGTTAAACTTACGCTGTCGATGTCTTCGGCAAGACCGTCGGGCATCGGACAAGCCATCATAAACAGACGATTGTGCTTGTTCGGGGATTTCGACAGACACATCTGATTCGACTGCTCGGAGATCGTTTCTCTGTACGACACGACGGGATCGGACTTCTTGATCGGTATGCACGCGTGATCCTCTTCGAGATCCTTCAGACAAATTTCAAGGTGCAGTTCTCCGGCACCGGCGATAATGTGCTCTCCGGATTCTTCGATAATACACTGCACCATAGGGTCCGACTTTGCCAAACGCTTGAGACCTGTTGGGAACAGAAAGCCGATAAGCCGATTTAATTGTACGAATGTACAGCAGACAAGCACGAAATACAGTTTTGGAAGTAAACGAGTCGACGAGCTGAGTCAGATGGAAAAAAATGGAATCATGGTTATTCATAACCCAATGCTCTTAATTAGTATCATCACGTGATCTCAATCTCGAGATTACCAAAGCTACCGTTATCTGCTGCTGCTTGCGGACAAACAGCACAGAGAGTAAACTCACCTTCGACCAATTTTGGCAAGTCGGCGGGATTCTTCGGTTCGACCGCGACACGAACAACTGGTGACACGGAGAACTTCATAACTTTCATGTTGTGCGCGTCCTTGAATGTTGTGATGGTACCGGTCTTGACTAAGAACTGATCCACACCGACCAGACCGCAAATATTACCTGCGCAATAACGTCGAGGGAACAATTAACGCGCGAAAGCACGATCTCGCGATCCAAATATCTCTGTCGGTTTCAAGGTCAGTCGGCCGTTCTTGCGTCTATCACTAATTAACTCAGAACAGGTCTGTGTATGAACATTCATCATTCGGATATCAGTCCCGACGGCGAAATTGTGTCGGATGACGGCGGTTGAGCGAGCGCCATATACTAACCGGAAGGCACATCTTCGATAGCTTCAACGTAACGACCCATCATCAGGATGGTGCGCTGAATCGCTTTCTCATAGAGATCCTCCTTTTTGCCCGGCTGGAAGTTGGGTCCCATGATACGAGCCTTCATACCGGTGGACACCTTACCCGAGAACACACGGCCGAAAGCGTAGAAGCGACCTTTGTCCGAAGTCGGTACCATCTTCGAGACGTACATCATCAGCGGTCCGTTCGGATCGCAATTCTACGGGAGGGAGGAGACTTTGGTAAGACAAAGACACGAGCTCGCAAACACTCATCCGCATCTTATCTTCGGAACGCGTGCGAATCAGCATTTCGTTCTATTCTACCTTTCGTTCAAGTTTCAGTACAGGTCTGTGAAATAAATCATCATGCATGCACGAGTGTTTCGCTCGTATTTGCTTCGCGAGTATCCTCAAAGCAAAATGCGTTCTCGCGTAACGAACCTTGATTCCGATGGCAGCCTCGTCATCGAGTGGGCCTTCATACAACATTTCCATACGATATTTCTGAGCGGTCACAGGAGACGGCAGATGAATGGCTATCATCTGAAGCAGGGCCTCTCCGGCAGGCAACCACGTTCTCATGACGACCTGGAGGTAACATGTGCAATGTGGCGAGAGACGTATTCGAGGGATACACGAAGCGCGCGCTATAGTAAAATTGTACTCAGAATCTATATATACTTTAGAGAATCCCTCATTATAAATCAGAAGAGGTGTCAGAAAAAAAGATAAGTAATTCATCATTGCGCGTGTCATTTATGTATGTCGATACTGAACTTTTTTTTATCCGTAAAACCAACCAACGAAATGTGAAGCTCACCTTCAACAGAGCCTTCCCATCCTTGTCCTTATCTTCGGGTTTCAAAACGATACCCAATTTCTGCAAGAGATTGTCCGCCTCTTCCTTCTTGTAATTCATAATACTATCGAACACCTGCAAATGGATGTATATGTTGTGAATTGAATCCTCGACTTCGCTTTCACAGCGATAATCTCTAGTAACGTCGGTGATATCTCATGTGATGTCAAATATTCTAAAGGATAAGAGGGATGTGTGTAGCATCTGTGTCGTAGCGTATTAGCAGCGGACTGAAAAGATTGAGGCCCACTAACAGTTTATTCTCCTTCCATCGCACAGTCAACACTGTCAACGTATATCGGCCAGTTTGTTGCAAACCAAACGACATACATACATACAGAGTAACCTTTGCGTGCTGGAAGGGCATCTACGCTCTCTCTCTCTTTCTACTTATTTCAGATATTCCTTCCTTTCTGTAATTTAAACCGAGCAAACTAATATTATGAAAGATCGTACCTTGTAAATTGGATCTAAGACGTACATGCAGAAGGAGCGTTTGTTATCGGCTTCCTTCTGCTTGCTCCACTTCTTGGTCTTGGGATTGAAAAACGATTCGCCCCACAGTCTGTTCATGAGTTTCACCACGTCGATCTTGAACTTCTCGGCGTACATCTCAGAGAACTGTTTCAGGGTGAAGGCCCAGCCGTGAAGACCGGAACCGAAACCCACGGAGCCCTTGCTAGGGTCTACCTATTTGACAAATACACACGAGTGATCACTACAGAATCGCGAATTGCGATCCACGGTAATTTTCGCTTCGTTTCACTTACTCTAACTTCACCCATGGGACCATCGTCGTCGGAATACGTTGCGATAATGACGTTGACATTCTCAACAATACGTTGGAAAGTCTGATAAAGGTCCTCGCTATCGAGTTGAAGTTCTAACAGCGCGCGATCCATCTTATTCATGAATAAAACAGGCTTGATACGTTCAGCGATCGCCTGACGGAGTACAGTTTCGGTCTGCACGCAGACACCTGAACAGAGAGAGATTATAGAATGATTATAGCTGATGTTTTCGCACCCGGGAAATTGTCATCGTACTATCTCTATACTATCTCTTTGTGAAAGAGTCGCATCATGGACCATATTCTGAAGATATATGCCAATATTATAAAGGTTAAGGGAGAGAGTGTATGTAGCGTTTTTGTGTCGTAGCGTGTTAGTAGCGGACATAAGGATAGAGGCCCGCTAACAGCGTTTAAACACACTTGCTGTACTTTATTCTCCTTCCATAGCACTGTCAACACTGTCAGTGTACATCGGTCGATTTATTGAAAACCAAGCGACACACACGCATGCATAGAGTGGACTCTTGTGTGCTGGACGGGCGTATGCTCTTCACTTACTTCAAATAATCTATCTTCTTGCCAATCACCGAAGAAATCAATATTATGAAGTGAACGATGAGAAAAATTATAAAACACATACCAGATACACAATCAACAACAACGAGGGCTCCATCGGTAACACGGAGGGCAGCTGTAACTTCGCTCGAAAAATCTACGTGTCCGGGTGAATCGATCAGATTAATCAAAAAGCCCTTTTCGTCTTTGTCACGCTGATCCGGATTTGTAATAAACACTAAATCTTTCTCTTCGAGCTCAAAGAACATGGAAATCGCACTAAAAAATAAAACCAGAGCGGAGCAGTGAGTGACATTAATGTATGGTAATAATGAGTCATGTAGTAAGATTCAGAGCAATGCTGCTCTCACTCACGTGGATTTGATTGTAATACAACGTTCTTGTTCGTCCTTGCGTGTGTCAGTAAACCGGGTCTCACCAGCCTTGGCGCCGGCAATAATGCCAGCCTTGGAAACAAGGGAGTCAGTCAGAGTTGATTTTCCATGATCAACGTGCGCTATGACGGACATGTTTCTGATGTTTTTCTTCTTGTCCATCATGGTGCGGATTTCGTCTACCGTAAAGTTCACCTGCAACATTACATTTCTGCTGTCAAGTCACATGTCAATTATCGACTGTACAATGAAGTTAATTGCACTTTATAGACAATGATGACAAATACTTGTGAGAGCGAGTGAATGTCAAATGTACAATTACAGCTGCTTAATTGTGTGACTTGTATAAATAATATATGTAGCACTCGGGCGGTAGGCGTGTTAGTAGTAGACATAAAGATAGAGGTCCACTAATAGCGTTTAAACACATTTGCTATGTTTTATTCTTCTTCCCATTCCATTGCACTGTCAGTGTATACTGATTATTGCAAACCAAACGACATACTACAGAGAGAGAGAGAGAAAGAGAGAGACCCTTGTGTGCTCTTGTGCGAAAGGGTACTCTGTTGCTTAGGTTGTCATAGTTATTTTCATCCTTTTCTTTGTAATTTACCAAAGAAACCAATACTATAAAGTGACAATGGTTATCACACAAGTCACACATTCATCAGACTATTGCAATTATCGTATCATATTGAACTGTTGCAACATATTGTGGAAAGGAGTAAATTTTTTACTGATTACATCAAAAATGCCAATACACAGAATAATACTAAAAATTGTAGTATGATTTATTAAATTATATTTGATTTTTGCTCAACAATCAATTTCAATTGCGAATAATACCACATATCGAGCTTTGGCACTAACCATATTGAAACGTGCACTTTGCAAATCTGATAAAACACTTCGGCGCGCGAAGATATCTCAAATGAAGACGCGAGAAAAAAAGCTTGAACCGTGCCAGCAAACACGACGTTTGTGCTTATAGGGCGTCCTATTGTTCCGACACGTGTTATCTGTTTTTGGCTGGGAGGTCCTCCTATGGTGCTACAGTGCGGTCGACATAGTTTCGTGCGTAGGTTCCCGACCAGAGAAGCATCGTCGACGAGTCGACGAACTTCCCCAGGAATTCTCGAAAGCGAAAGGGGAGAGAGAGAGAAAGGGGGAAAATGACGCTGGGAGTAGGTAACGAACACGTTGCTTCGCGCGTTGGCGAGCTCGCTCGCTCGCTCGCTCTCTCTCTCTCTCTCTCTTTCGCGTAGCGCGCACCATGACACGTTGCGAGCGCAGAAACGAAACATATTTCCGCCCGCGACCTGGTGCAACGACCGCGGCATTTACGGCCCGTTGAGGATTCTGCGCGATGCCTCGTCTCCGACGAGTTGTCGGATTCTCCGGATGCCCAGACGCGGACGAGAGACCCACCCGCGGAATAAATTGCGCAATCCGGAGTAATCGCTCCGTTCGACCGCGGACCCCGTCAAGAGCGCAGAGAGAGAGGAGAGGAGAGGAGAGGAGAGGAGAGGAGAGGAAACACACACCGAGAGCGACTAGCGTTTTCGGGCTCGTGGAACGGCCTCGCGGTACGGTAGGCGCGACACGTCGCCGTTGAGAAAAAATATTCGTTGCGACGCGGACGCCAGGGCGACAGGTCGCGGACGCGACGACGGCGTCGCAACGTGACTACGTACCATTTTGGATGTCGTCCGATTGCAGGTAGCCTGGTCAAGAATATACGTGCTGTAACTATGGCGGACTCCCTGAGAAAGAACAAGCGATCCGTGAGAGGCCTGGACTCTACCCTTGTATACGCGGTGAAAGTGCGCCTGCGCCGCGGCGTGCACCGCTGCAAGCCAATCGGCCACGCCGTACTCGGTCACGTCAGTGCGACGTGTGCGCGCGATGTGCAGCGCTTCGTTCGAGTCTAGAGGGCGTTACTTGCTTGTCGAGATTGTGGATTTGCTTATTGGAGAATAAGGGCCGCAAGAGCACAGACTTCTGCATAACGCATAATACACAACGCATAAAAGAATCAACCAGAGAATCAGAGTTCCTCATTTCTGTCCTGAGGAGGGAAATGAAGAAAACTAATTGGTTTATTCTCTTATGCGTTATGTACTATGGGTGCATTCAACCGCTCTACAACCGCTCACCGAGCGGTTTACATTTGATTGGTATATACTTTTAGATTTAAAAATATACCACCAATCAGATGCAAGAGCTCACTTGGCGCTCAGTGAGCGGTTGTAGTACTGGCTGCGTTCAGAAAACACAACGGTCGCGTAATTCGTTTCAACGTTATTGGTCTGTAAGGGATCTAACAACAGTGAGGACCAATAAGTTACTAAGCGCCCAGTGAGCGCTTTGTTTTCTGAACGCATCCTAACCCGTGTTATGCAAAAGCCTGTTCTCTTGCTCTTTGGCTGCCTCCTCATGCGGCGTAAAAAGCGTATGCGTAAACCGCGTCAGCCAATCAATTGTCTCAGCTGTTACACGCAAATCATAGCTGAGATGAATGATTGGTTGTCGCGCAAGTTACGCGTACGCATTTTACGCTCCATGCGAAAGCAACCTAAAAGCCGTCGACGAATGAACAAGCTCGGCTCACTTTGGCTCGTGATCGACTCGTAGTCGAATCTTGCATTTAAGATTGCCTCGAGTTATCTTCAGATGCGTTGCAGCCAATAAAACGATCCATACGCAGCATCTGAAGATAATTTCAAGACGATCTTAAATAATACGACCCAAATGTGAATACTGACCTGTGTGTTCTGATTGGTCGAGTTCCAACCTGCAATCCTCATTCTCCAATAGTGACGAATGCTTCACTTTCTCGTGCTTAAGCCCATGCCAATCGATGCCTTATAAAGTGCAAAACGTCTCATTAAAACGACAAATTGATCTTGCACATTGGTTATTACAGATTAAAATGGCCCGTACGTAAAGACTCGTCCACACGAGCGCACGCGAACTGCCTGAAAGTCAACCAATCACAATCACAGAATGCTTGGAGGAAATTGAAATATTATTCAAGGATGCGCCACGCACGGTCGCTTGCGTTCGATACAATCGATAATTTTTTTTTTAAATAAATACCCTCCGATATTTTTCCCTCCGAGATGTACGCAGTCTGTCCCAGATCCAATGAGACTGGTCTAAAAATAATACGTTATATATATATAATATATTATATATATATATATAATATAAAAGCGTTTATTATTTTGATTTTTTATTCTTGTTTATTCAAAATAGTCCCCTTCTGAGTCAATGCAGCGCTGGAAACGTTCAACAAATTTTTCGAAACATCTTTTATACTCATCGGCTGGAATGGCCTTTAGTATGGCGGTCGAAGTCTTTTGGATGACCGAGATGGTATCGAAACGATCTCCTTTCATCGCCAATTTCAGTTTGGGAAATAGCCAGAAGTCGCACGGAGCCAAATCAGGTGAATACGGTGGATGATCGATAACAATGATGCCTCTTTTGGTCAAGAATTCACGTACCATGATGGCTTTGTGCGATGGTGCATTATCGTGCAACAAAAACCAACTGCCTGGCTCTCGATATTCCGGTCGAACTCGTCGAATTCTGGCCCACAATCGTTGTAGAACTCCCAGATAATATTCTGCGTTCACCGTCTGACCTTCTGGGACGAATTCACGGTGAACAATTCCCTTTGAATCGAAGAAAACGGTCAGCATTGTATTGATTTTGCTCTTCTGAAAGCGTAATTTTTTCTCTTTTGGCTCTTCCGATGACTTCCATGCCGCACTCTGACGTTTTGTTTTTGGCTCGTATTGAAAACACCACATTTCACCACCAGTTACAATGGCTGACATGCTTGCCGGATTCCTTCGGGACATTTTCAACATGTCTTTGCAATGCTGAACTCTCCAATCTTTTTCGTCGTCTGTCAGAGTGTGTGGCACGAAGCGCGCACAGACCTTCCGTTTGCCCAAATCTTCGGTCAAAAGTCGATAGACTGTGCTTTTCGGTATCCCAGTTTCCTCCTCGATGAGTCTCGCAGACACATAGCGGTAGCTTCGAAGAATTTCTTTGGCTTTCTCCGTGTTTTCTTCATTGCGAGTGGTTTTTGGCGGCGGTGCTCGGTCATCGTCTGGAAGGTCCTCACGACCGTCACGGAATCGGCCAAACCAACAGAGTACCTGTCCACGGGACATGCATTCATCCCCGTACACATTTTTTAGCGTTCTGTACGTTTCTGCACCACTTTTACCCAATTTAAAACAGAATTTAATATTCGCTCCTTGTTCCATGTTGGTTTCTCGACCGACGCACACAAATAAGTGACTTTACATAAAATGTCAAACCACAGTGAAATATCAACCGAATTCGCTCAAATTTTGAGGTTAAGTAGACGAAGGGTAGAACATTCATCTACCATCATTCACTCATAGATGTCGCTGCGCAAAGAATTTTGATGGAATCTCAGTCTCATCGTATCTGGGTCATACTCGTGTATCTCTTCATACCATGCTGTTCTTACTTTAAATTAAAATGGTTGCTCCTTGCTGTAATCTAAAGGTAATGAAATGTTATTCCTCGATCGCCTTCACTCTCTTCCTCTCCCTCTCGATTAGATTTTATTTTACAAAAATTTCATTAAGTCACTTACAAAGACACTCTATGTTGCAAATTGTCGCTCGATCAAATATCAATACACGATAGCTCTGCGAATACGCCTCGTATATACAACGGTAATTAAACGAATTAACTTTCGTCTAAAACGGACTAACGTGCGTTACACACACCACAGTTATACACGGCGCTTATCTTGAATCGATGAGTGATTAACAACATTCGTGTTCAAAACGAGTGCGCGTTGTGAACGCCGTGTTTTAAAAAAGGTTATCAGTATTTTCAATAGTCTAAGCGTATAAGTGTCTCGCCGCTTCTCCAAGGCTAATAGGAAATTGTTAATTCGAGTTTAACGCGATCTTGCAAGTACGTATAATAACGTATAAAGTATCCGATCTCGTCAAGCTTGAAATTCGAGCCGAATCAAATTGTGAACCGGACCAAACACTGGTATAAAGTGTTGTGAATTGATTTACAGTCTTCGTACAAGAACACAGACATTAATTATCACTAAAGTGTAAAATTTGATTATTGCAATTTATCGTTATCTTTACCTACCTTCCCTTAATCAAGCAGAATTCGATCAGAGACCGGGATATTAAGGACGATTTTCATCAAACTCCAATCAAGCAAAGTAATGTATAACCAGTTGAATTTTCAACACTAATTTCCTTCATCTATTTCATAATCTACGTATATAATCGTCCAGCAGTGGCTAGGAAATTGATAGAATTTGCCCGAATTTTTCTTTTTTTATGAAAAAGCAAATAATACTTGACCGATAATATATAAAGTCGATTAAACTGATGAGATTTTGACGAAAGTCATCCCGAGGCAAGAGGCAACTTGGTGTAATGAACACTTTTTAGTCAAGCGTGAAAAACCGACACGTGATTTCGCTGATTTTCAATCTCGAACGTTATACATATGATACACGCGAATCCGATACACGATTCGAGCTTGGAAAAATTGTAAAATTTCATGAACCTTCCACTCTCTCTCTCTCTCTCTCTCTCTCTTAGCGATTTCCTTTGCAGCTCTTCTCGTGAACGTTCACGCGATCCGGATTAAAGGTTCTACCGCAACGTTTGCACGGTACTAGCTGACTCAGATGGGTCGTCCAATTGGCCTCCTCCGTCGCTGCCTGATCGACCACCAGACTTCCCGTGCGCGGATCCTCTGCGAACATTGAAGTCATCATTGCCGAATGTATAGTACCTTGAAAAGGAGGAGGCGCAGGGTAGACGCATAAATATCAAAGGGTCGATTTTCAGATGGTAACTTGTTGTCTTATGTTAACACGTATTCACGTATTGTATCTACACACAAGTGGACAAAAAGCGTTATATCATCATCTTGAAGTATTGATTTCATGTATACAGTCAAAGGTTGCAACACTTTTCATTGTCAGTATAAGTTTCACAATGCATCCATATCCGACAGCAGAATTTGTCTTTTAGTAAAGTTGTTCCAAATTAATCTTTCATCAATGTTGTCATACAGTGTTAAAACCTACACAGATTAGAAAACATTGTATAGCATCGAATATCCTTGCGATAGATAACATATTGTCAGTCAATCTTTTGCTCATTGAGTATTTTTATTTGTTGAATCTGCTCTCGAAACTGAGTTTATTTGTTGCTCGTAGTTTCGTAGTATATTAGACTATTAGGAATTTATTTCCTTTCCTTATGCTCAAGTTAAAATTTGAGAAAGCGAAGAACGAGGAGACACGCATTATTTCTCGCGGTGTTATTGATTCGCGATTTCTATAGACGACACCCCTATATAACCGAGGATACATCTGTGACGCGTGTATAATAAATCAGCATATTGCGCCCACATCCGTTGTACGTGGTGGTGGTGCTGCTACGAGCTTCATAGATTCATGTATCATACATGCACGCGTGATCGCTTCGGCTCGATTGATTCACTCACTACGTAGTGTTCTTCTTGACCTTGACAGCGGATTGAGAATGAATCAGCAGGCGACAGAAATATGTGTACACGAAAAGGGCAAACGTGTGTCGCGCGCGACTTTGATTTGAAATCAATTTCGATCTTTGACGATATTGCTTTCTTATCTGCTTTAGGCTATCTTTATTTATTCTCACTGTAGACACACTGTAGACACAATTCAATATATATTTTAAAAAGTGGAATCTGCTCTCACTACAAAATATTCGATCTCTTGAAAATCGAGAACTCAACATCTTACATTAGCGTTGCAACTAGAATTACTTGTACCTTACACTTTCAGCCTTACACATACGCTAGATCTTATTGAAGCTCACACATACGCTAGATCTTATTGAAGCTTACACATACGCTAGATCTTATTGAAGCTTCGTGTACGCGCATAGGATGGCAAAATGGCAAAATAATCCCAGTGTTGAGGCACGCATGACCCGATACGATGCGACACGCACGCGGCTGTTAGCGTAAAGTATATGTATATGCATATGACTTACGTATGTATATGACCTCAGGTTTCTGCGGCTCCTTTCGTCTTCGTGCCGGCGACAATTTGTCATTTTCGGCGTGCCACTTCTTCAAACACTGCGGCTCGTGAATAGCAATGCTGGACGTGCCGAAGTCTCTGCCGCATATGTAGCATGTGACGGTCCTCTTCTGTGACATGTCCTGAAATCAAGCGGTTTACGCGTCTTCTTCTTCTTCTTCCTTGCTCACGCGTCGCTGCGGTCTTCCTATCTTCCAAACATTTCATCCGGAGAACGTAAACGCAACCTCGACGCTACTTTGAAACAAAGTCGTGCTATACGCTTCTCACAAATTTCACAGAAGCAAACCACTTTTGTCCGGCGCACCGACAACGGCACACCGTGTAAGGTAAAAGTGCTTTGTTTCGCGCATATGAAGTACATACGCGCAAGAACAATTTGTACCAAGCGTTAGAACCGTAATTGCAATACGTAAGCGTAACCGAAGACGGGCCTACATGTAAAAGCAAAGGAAAGTTACTTAACGTTACGCAAGTTACGCTACAAAACGATTGCAAAAACTCAAACATATGCGTTTGTCCTCAAGACTCACCGGATACATCGACGGTGGACTCTCCCGGCTACCGATGGCTGACCGCTGAGAACCATGAGTGTCCGGTTGATCCCTATGGGAAGCCGTCGAGTCGCTTTGCGCCTGCCATCGTCGGTTGCACTGTGGCTCGTGGATCTTGATGCTTCTGGTACCGAATCTCCGGCCGCACACCTTACAAGCGACCGTGGGCGGGCCGACAGAGCGCGTGTTCGCCGACGTTTGTTTCGCCATTGCCGTGGATAATCTCTCGAGCCTCGGCTCATTACTCTGAGAAGACGGATGACACATGAAGAGAACACGGAACCGATTACGTAAACATTCGGGTGAGTTCATGGTGTACCTTCGGTGTCGCCTTACAACTTCTCTCATGGATCGGCAAGCGTTCCGGCAGAAACGTCCTTCCACACTTTGCGCATGGCACCAGTTGCTCCTGAAAGCGGATCTCGCGGTTTTCACGTGTCTACGCAATCGTGGAGTTGAACGAATGGAAATTATGTAACGCGTGCGTAGATGCGACATCGTCGCGACATTGTTGTCGTGACATCGTCACGACGATTATTGACGTTTCGCCGACGAAAAAAGAAGAATATAGAGAGAGATTACTGGAGGGAAAATTTCAATTCATATTCTGCTTTCTGAGCGATCAACGAATCAGCGTTTCGTTCGTGTGGGATGTCGCCGGGGGGAAGGGGGAGGGGAGCCGGAGAGCATTAAAATCCGCGATCTGCTTGCTCGACGCACGAAGCACGATTTAGAAGATTTTTACATAAACGGCCTTTTTGATCATCAAGACGCATTTTGCATAGCGCACGCGTGTCTCATTTGATATGCTCTATATGCGTGCTATATGCATATGAGATGTTAAAGAGCAGTCTTTGATATTCCACGTTAGAATTCCGCACACTCGTAAACGGCACGAAATCACCATCAGTGATCGCGATGCATTTTCATCAGGGCTAATTTTGTAGACTGATATTAATATTTCAAAGTCCGAATATTAAGCTTCGTTTTCGGGTGCTTGATTAAATACCCTCGAAGTAAGAATTAGCATAAATTAAAGTTGTCGATCGATTTTCATTCGTCTATTTCTGCGAAGCGCCGTGATCCCCCTCCGATCGCCCGTAAGTAGACCCGCCCAAGCGCTTACATCTTATAATTGCTTCTTACATCATCGATCATTCGGACGTCATCTACGTCGTCCGACGAAATTAATGAGGCGTTTCGATTTCCCAACGCGAATGACGACGCGGGCGTACGCTTGCAAGAATAAACTGCTTGCACGATTTATTATTAACACCGTAATATTCAATATGAAAATTGCATCTACAGGTCTACCTGACTCTCTTCCCATGCGGCTGCGTTCCAGTCGGTGTGCTCGATCCCGACCGACGGTCTCTGCGGCCTGGGCCGCCTCTGGGACGGAGGTAACGAGTTGTTTTCACGCTCCCATTTCTACAACGAAAAAACTTACTATTTGTTGCAATTCTTTAGTAAAAGTAGAGCACACAAGAATCGGAGGAGCAGATGAAGCAATTGATAGATGTAGTTTTATTCGATAAGTTTAGAAAAGTCGGTCAGAGTTTGCGTCCTTGCGAAGGAAATCTGCAGGAAGGACAAGATGCAAAAGTCCTTCCTTCCTTCCTTCCTTCCTTCCTTCCTGCTCAAAACCAACAGAACAAAAACGCTCGAGCGAATTTTTATGCCGCACGATATGCAGCTGTCGTATCGATCTCGCGCTTGCAGCGCATTAGCATGCTTCGGTTGTACAGTTGTCGTACAACGTTGCTAATGTCTGTCGTTCCGAAATATATAGATATTACGCTATACACACGTATCGTGTATCGTCGCCCAGCGGCATCGAGCGTTAGAGGTGACTCGTGCGAGTGCGGAATTTCGCTGATCAACCGCGAAGATCTCGCGATCGATGCACGCGATCGGGAGACGAAGATCGGGATGATTGTGTTCGATTGCTAATCGCGGCGTTCACGCAAATGCGAGAGACGTAGTGTCGTGTCAACTGTGTCAAAGTATTCCCGTTGGGCATGCTTCATTGTTGCAGGAAAATGCGGCCGGCCGGTCGGGAAATATTATGTACATGCAAGCACGTGCAGCGTCCGCTCGCTGTGTATAACGCGAGTCGCGAGTACGAGTGCGACACATCGGCTGCACGCGCGAATGCATCTGATATCGGGTTTAATGGTACGGCGCGCGTTATACTGCTATCGATTTTGCAAAAGGGCCTTGACTTATTGCACTTACACCAATGCACGCCCGCTATCTTTGCGGGAGCTATTATATTATATGAAGCGACGGAATTTCCGTCGCTTCCGCGGTGAAGTCGCGACGATACACAAGTCACAAGAGTCCAAGTATCGGCGAGTATTCTGTCGTTTGGAGAGTTTATCGCAACTCGACATACACGCCACAATCATTGATACTTTAACGGAAGGAAGAAACAAAGTATCGCGAATCCATGGCTTTGAAATCTTTACTATGCACGCGCGTTTTTGCGCCGTGGTTCTCCGTGGAGAACCACGGCGAACAGAGCAGCAACTTTTTAGTCACGACCTCATTCGTATACTCGCCAAATTGCATGTCTGTACGATTGTAATCGTGTATTATTGATTGTACGTAATTGTAATTTGTAGCAATCGAAGGCGTTTACCTCCATGCACTTGGGCTCGTGTATGGGGAAGCTGGCGGTGCCGAATTCCCGACTGCAGATGTAGCACGTAAGAGCCCTCGAACCCCGTTTGGTCGTGGTAGACGGCCTCCTGGTGGTCGTCTGTCGGGGAGTACCGTCTCGAGGATGATCCTGGCCTGGACTGGTCCAGGTCGGCTTCATCTCGCGGGGATCGATCTCCTCCGGCCGGTGCTTGTTCCTGTCGCTGCGGAAATTCAACGCCACCGGCTTCTGAATGGACTTGGGCACTGGCACGCTCCTCGATGGCTTCGTCGTGGTCGCCGGAATGTCCTTGATCTTGGTCTGACAGCCATTCGGGTGGCTGTGAAACCTTTCCGGCTGGTCCGGTCGGCCGCAGGTCTTGCAGGGCTCAGGCGCGCTCTTCGACGAAGCGTTTGTGAAGATCTCCAGGTCGCTCGGTATACCGATTCTCGAGTTCTTCTTCTTCTTCACCGTGGATAGCACTTTGAGAGGACCGTTTCTGATCGCGTGAATGCAGAGTAATACGCACGTGAGTACCGCTAGTTTCGGGAGGAATCATTCGTATTCTCGACCGTCGTGAAATTTACAAAAGGTCGGAAAAGTCGTTTCTGCGGGAGTATAACGCGTCGACTTTTTCCGCATTGATTGTACAAAAGTTTGACTGGAGATCGAATCAATAAAGATATACATTTATATTCGCGACATTCTCATCGCGCGATATAATCGAGACTAATCTCATGCCCGGTCGATTACCTGCAATCGCGATGCGCGATCGCTGCGCAGCACCAACCTGTTGTTGTTGTCGTCGAGCCTCCTGACATCGGAGCCTCGTCTGATGGGTGGGTACTCCTGCAGAGTCTTCTGACCGCCGCTGGGCGATTGCGGGCCGATCTCCATCTGGCAGATTCGCGGCTCGTATATTTGCTCAAAGCTCCGTCGCTGTTGGCGCACTGGAACGTTGTCGCGGGGCCAAGTGGTGGTACGTCGTGGTTGCACGTCGCCGGTGACGACGGCGCTCTGGCGTCGTCGCGTCGACGACGGCGACGGCAGCAGCAATAACGACGACGACGACGACGACGACGACGACGACGATGATGTGGCCGCTGCCGCTGTCGTAGTCGTCGTCGTCGTCGCGGTGCCTCCACTGATCGCTGCCAGCGATCTGACCTGATGATGGTATCGCGTCATCGAATCGCACAGCAGCTCTTTGCTGAGCAGTGACATGTCGAGCTTGTCCACTAGCTCGGGATTCAACACGCTCGGCCGCTCCAGGTTCGCCGTTTTTGGCCGTTCTAGCTCCTCCTGGAAGGAGCGCTTCATCTTCGGCGGCCAAGTGCCAGTGTTTGCTACATTTTTCGTCGCGGCTCCTCTCTCGGTCCTCGCCGCACCTGTTTAGACGGGTGCGAAAATAGCGGACGCCAAAATCGTTTTACGAATGTAACTTATTTAATTCGTCAAAGGACACAATTATAATATGGGGAATTTCGATTGAGTCAAATTTCAGGAGTTGAAGTTGGATCACATTTATCGGTTAAATTATCGGGTTCCCAGTTAAATTTTAACTTGAAGTAAGTTTTGTTCAAACACGATAGAAAGGATGGCAATATTTATTTATAAAGTAAATTTTTAGTTGAATTTTAGTTGACGATTGATCGGTAAAGAGAATCTTGTCCTAAGAACGAAGAGCGTTAACCTTTAACCGGGTTGTCACATTCGTTATCGCTGTATATCTCACGAAAATCTACCTCGTCTCACACGCGGTTTTATCGTTGATTTACAAAGTAACAAGGAGCAACCTTTAAAAATTTATTTATGCGTCCAGTGACGCAATTAGACGCCAGTTCAACGTATCGTCAATGTACTCGCGATGAAACATGATATCCGATAAGCACATTACCTTTCAAGGTCCTCAAGTCATCTTTTATTATGAGGAACGTCTTCTCCGGTAGGAACTCGCACGGTCCCCTCTTCCACTTCATGATTCGATTTTAACGATGACGTGATCTTTCACAGATCGCGGATACGAAAGTAACAACAATTCACACGCTCTCCGTTTTCGTGCGAAGCGAGCATCATTATCATTCACGCGTTTGCCGTAAACGATGAATTTTCATCTCCGAATCTTCAGTTTTGCATCGATAAGGGGCAAGAGAGAGAGAGAGAGAGAGAGCGATCAAGGAATTACAATCGATGTCGGACGCAGCGGCTGTCGGACACGTCTAAATTTTAATTTCGACTTGTCGAATTAGCGACGCTCCGGAGAACGCTTTCGTGCCAGAAAGGGGACATTTTTCGAGACTCACTGAACTTCGCTCGAGCGATTTCTTTCCCTTTATACGCCCCCACGCACGCGAACGGACGTCATTTTTCTCTATCTCTCTTTCTCTCCTCCGAGTGCGCGTTAAGTCGGTCGAACGTGTAATATTCCGCCGCCCGACGCGAACGGCCGATAAGAGATATACGTCCCGTTGCTGTGTGAAAATCTCGGCGTCGGGCCGAGATCATCAGAAGTGGCACAGACGGAAAATCTAATTAATTAACAAAATCGCGCGAGAGAGCGATCGAATGCACGAGAAACATTTACGTTTCGTCACTTCACACGTTACACAAAGATGCGGGAACGTCGCCGAGAGACACACACACACACACATATATATATATATATATATACAACAAACATACAACGTGTCCTCGCTTTTACTTCACGCTTTACGAAATCGAGTCGCACGTGCGGGCGTACGTATGTAATAAAAAGTGGCACATATGTAACGAGACAATCGAGTCATTCGTCGCGACCCGCCACGCACAGTCATTTATTTTTGATTGCGCGTGAACGTTATACATACAGAAGTGAAAAGCATCGCGCGGGCGCGCGCAGTTTTCTCGCCACCTCCTTGCCACCGAATTACGCGGCGCACTGAGCTTAGCTTTTACCTTCGCTATTTAGCTTTGCGCGGCTTTTATACGTTTCCTGTGTGTGTGTATATGTGTACGCGGTCGACTGTGCGACAGTACACAGGTGGCAGAGAAAATCGATCCAACGACCGACCGACCGTTTAAATGACTACAACAACGCGAGCGTTACATGTGCTATATGTATTACGTGTGTCTCTCGCCGCGTGGAAATCGTTCGAAACGAACGATGCGATGAAAAGGTATACGCGGATATCACGAAAGAGAAAGAGATCGCGAGAAAGCGGCACATGTTTGTCACGATATAACTAATCCGTGCAACCGAGAGACAGTCTGTATTTCTTTTTATTCTGATTTCTCTCGTTCTTTTCTATAAATATAATATTTAAAAAATAGGATCGCAACGCGTTATACAATAGTACAGTAAATTGCATATATACACACAGAATGTTTTCATAGAGGTGATGCTTAATATTGACCGATGTTACGTATGTTACATTAACGGCGGTATCGGTATCTCTTGAAATGAAACCACAGTTGGAAGATGTTGTTGTGGAATTGACACCTGAATCCACGCTTGTACGAGTATTCCCATTCCCTATTGACAATCTTGAAGGCGATGTCCTCGTAAGGCGGGCCTGCGTGAAAGCGCAGAATCGCAAAGTCCTTGTTGTCGGCGCAGGGAGTCTGGAGAATCAAAATTAACTAATCAAAATTAAATATATGTATACACATCACGTATCATTTATATCCGACATATATATATATACACGAGTATATCGTATGAATCAATAATATTATATATCTATTGTGAGAACTTGACAAATCTCAGCGACCAGTCACGTTCTCTAAGAATCCAAATGATTACGAATATTAATCTAGAGCGCCAATCACATTTGTCGCAGAAGCAGAAAGGAGCGCGCGCGTCTTACCAGAAAGTATTCCGGCGTGGTGTTCTTGTCTATGAGATCCGGATAGAAGATGTTGAACTTGTAGCCTTGCACAATCTTCGGCGGCGGGTTGTCCATGTCGTAATGCGTCTGGTTGTACTTGTTCCACTCGAAGCCGGTGTGCACCCTGTTGAAGTAACGCGGCTTACGCGGCCTGTACTTGTCGGACCACAGGTAGATCTGCGCCTCCAATGACGACTCGACACTAAACTGCGCCTCGTCCGAGCCCATATTCTTGCGTGCTTCTCTGTGCATGGCCTGTTCTTCGGCCGTTAGGACGTTTTGGATTTTCCTGCCAGTGCTGAGTACTTGCTGTCTCGCATATTCCAGTCGCTGATTGTCGTCGTCCTCCTGAGTGATGATCGTGCCTGGTTCAAGCTGCGAATACGGTACGTAGACGGGCGAGTAACCGCCCGACTCGTACTCGCAGAAGAATTCAGACAACAAATCGTCGGCGGCGTTAGTCTCTTGGTCGTCGCTGAAAGAATCACAACAATACGCATTATTCCGATCTTGTCATTCGCATAGAGAGACTCAAGAGCGAGAATATACTCACTCGGATTGGCTGTTCTCGTCGTTCTTGTCGTTGACCATAGCGGCGTTAGTGGAAGGTTCGGTTTCATGCTTGGCCGATGACTCGCTCGGCACCTGCACGCCGCTTTCAGTCTCGCTTTCCGCTCTGGCCACGCCTTGTTCGGCGATCAAAACTTCCAGCTTCTTACGCAGGTTCTCCTGATGTCGGTCTCTGAGTCGCGCTCTCGCCATATGGGCTGGAAGTTTAATATTTCGTGTGAATCGTGTGCGTTATTATTCGTAGCTTTTAAAAGGATGCACATATACAAAATCATTCCCATTGTTTGTCCCATTGGTGTAGTGCCTTACCTTTTAATTGTGATAAAAGACTCTCCCAATATCCGATATCGACGCCCTCCGGTTTTCCTGTGATCTTCGCCTGAATCTGTTGTTGCAAGGCTTCCAGTTGCGTCGCGGTTTTACCCTTGAAAATAGCCGTGACGTCTTTCGCCACCGACTCGTGGATTCCTTCCCTTCTACCGACGGCTAGACAGACAAAATAATTTGCGATCACAGACGAAGAAGAACACGATAAACGACATACACATACACACAACATACCAGAAGATGCGAATTATCTTTCTTACCAACTTCATACTCTGTACGTTCCAACTTTCTGAGTTTGTGCAATTCATCCTCCACAATCACCGTTATGTCATTCCAGTAATCTAGATTCTTGCCCTTTTCTAATTCCTTATAAACTTTGATGTCCTCTATCAGATCCTCCAAATCTTTAACTTGCAAACCTCTCAGGTACGTGTAAGGCTCGTGCATTTCCACCGCATCGACGTCCTCTTCCGCACTGATATACTTGGCAAGAAGGTCAATAGGTTTCGCACGACCATCCTGGATCCTGATACGAGATCTTAATCTGGCTTGCTCCAAATGAAACTGATCCTCCTGCCTGGCCCACTGTTCCAGCTGAGCGGCCTCTTTGCCTCTTTGTAACATGGTCATTTCTTCCTCTCTTTGCTGTCGCTCCAACTCTCTCTCTTGCCTCCTCTTTTTCACTTTCTCCAGTTCCCTCTTGTTCTCCTCTTGCTTGTACCTATTGCGCATCTCCAATTCCTCTCTGCCCACACCGAGCAGACCTTCCTTACCCAATTTCTTGGACCATACAAATGTTGACAAAATATTGCCATCACCAAATGGATTGTCAGTGTTTGTGTAGTGCAAGTAATCATTGTCCCAACCCATTCTTTCCTTACGTCTGCGTTCCTTGGTTTCTTTCTTCTTCAGGCGACGTAAACGCTTCTCCTCTGGTGTTTCTGTCGCTTTCATTAATTCCTTTTGTCGTTTGCGCTCTTCTATCTGCTTCTGCCGTTGCTTCTGCAGCTTCTCAAGCAATTTTGTAGAGTCTGAGGATGAATCTGTGGACGAGCCAGTGCTGATTTTGCTGGAGTTGATCGAGGTGGAGGACGAAGATGAAGACGAGGAGGACGAGGACGATTCCCTGAAAAAGAAATATCAAGTACCGTAAGGGTAAAGGCAAAGAACGGAGAGGGCAATATAACCTAAAAAAGTAATTTATAACCTAAAAAGTAATTTAATATTTTAAGAATTAATTCAAGAAGGAAGACTCACCTCCTTCGACTTTTACGTTTGGACGACTTCTTCCGCAACTCGCGTCGCGTACGAGAATCTTCGTCTTTTGATTTCCTGCACCTCTTATTGGATTTTCCCGAATTCTGTTCTTGCCTGGACCTCGATCGCTTGATCCCATGTTTCTCGTGATCGTGATCTCTCCGCGACATTCTACCTTCATGCACTTGAGCATTGTCTTCTTTTCTCGATCGGTGCTTACCGTCGGTGCGAGAATACCTTCCCATCGTATCAAAGAGAAGGCAGCGAATGACAGGTCGCTTCCACCAGGTATTCCCGCATTCAACCCAACCTAACCAAATTCCTCACCCGTTCTGAAGATGCGCCATCTTGCCGCATCCAGCTGATCCACTCGTGCACTGAATGCTCACTACGTGAGCCAATTTAAGACAACAATTAATTGGCGCGAATTTACGACTAATTAATCAGGTTTCGTTTTACGGCATCCCGATGACGAGATTTCTCCTCGATGTTGATTTTTCGGTGTCTGCAGTCACGCGAGATTAATCGTGAAACAATACGAAAAAGCCGGTCGATTTCCCTCGGACGCTCAACGACTCGGACACACAAACGCTACTTCCCCTCCACTTCGTCTTCGTCAGGCAAGCACATCCGTTAAACTTTCAAATCCGACAGCGTACGCACGCCATCGCGGGTGGCTTTTCGAAAATTCTCGGCGCATACTTATTCCCGGTGAAGTACGCGACTGTTGGACATTCACGTACCTACCGTCTCTCGCGCAGACGAAGAACAAGATGCCGCACAACATCTACTACTCGGACAAGTACTACGACGATCAGTACGAGTACAGGTGGGTGAAGCGAATCGTGTAGAGAGTTGTAAAGTCACACTTGGGTTCGTTATCCTTCGAGGCCTACGCCGATCGGTCGAACGATTTATGTGTTTTTTTCCGATAGCCGACCTTGGCGAAATTCTACGCACTCGTGTCTCTCTCTAAATGTCAAAGTTGCTCGGCGTGTTTTCATAATGCATCCAATTCATTCTCGTCGCATTATCCCGAATTCTTTGTTTCTCTCTCTCTCTCTCTCTCCCCCCTCCCTCCATCCCTCCCTCCCCATCCCTCTCTCTCTCTCTCTCGTCGGCGGCACGTTGAGCATGCGATTTAAAAGGCCGGCCCGTGGCACGATCTGTGCTGTTATTTTGCTCTTGTTTATTGACTCATCCTCCATTCTTAACCGGTTCCTCAGATCCGTTATTTTGTTTAAATGGATCCGACCGACGATCTCGTCTAACCTTGACCTTAATACCGCGATTCGTGAATTGTTCTGGGAGGGTATAAAAAAATAGAAATCTCATTGAATGTTCTCTCGCGAAATGTAACGCATCTTAGCTGTGTTTGCGCTTGTAAAATATTTCCAATGATTGTGTTGTACAGAGGATAATGTTGTACAACACGTAAATAAATATTGTGTCGTAAGAAAGAGTCAAGTGAAAAATAATTTCCATTTTATAATAAAAATTTCAAAGATTCTCTTGTGCTTTTGCACGATATTAACTGAACAATGAATTCTTCATCAAGATAATTGCGACTTGATCAAATTAATAAGAATTTATTTTGCAAATTTATAAATCTCCAAATTATTGAGATTGGAATTATTTCGTGCAGGCATGTTGTCTTGCCAAAAGAGCTGGTGAAACTAGTACCGAGAACTCATCTGCTGTCCGAACAAGAATGGAGGGCTATCGGAGTGCAACAGAGTCAAGGATGGGTGCATTACATGATTCATGAACCTGGTATGCAATCAATTATATTTTCTTGCATATCCTAGCATATCTACTCTTAACTAAATAATTAATCTTTTCAGAGCCTCATATTCTCCTATTCAAGAGAAAGATAACACAGGAAGAGAAATAAGCTGGATGCAGAATTACTATGTCAATTTGTAAATAACACAGTCATCATGTTTACATTCATAGCGGGACTCATTTGTGATTGTAAACCATGTAGCCTTTTTTTCTTTTTTGCCCTCATTCTTGGTTTCTCTGTCAATCTAATAATATAATTTATGTTTTAAACACAATATTTACTCTTTATAAATTGGAAATTTACTCTTTATTAATTTGTCACATGAAGTATTTCTATACAATTCCGCAAGGTAGTGTACAATCTGGTCATGGTATCTGTCATCTGTTTTACTTTGCTTTGCCGTTTGCAAGAAAATGTCAAGCAAGTATGCTGTATATATGTCTATAGTGACTTAGTTTTTAATTTCATTGTCATTAAATATTCTTTTTCGTTTTTCAATTTTTCGCCTTGGAACTTTCAATAAACTTCACAACATTGAATGAAAGTGAAAATATTAAGAGGAAAGTAATAATTGGTAAATAAATAATAATTAGTTATTTTTTAAAGTTGCAGTTATAGGGCGACGTAATATTTAGACTATTGTATCAAGGAGAGTGGTATCCTTGTTCTCTTGTGATTGCAGTGCCTTACAGCAACTTTATATTCTTAAGAATTTGGATTATATTAAGGTATTTAAAATAATCGTCTCTTGAGTCTGACAACAGTATTAATGTAATATATATATATATATATATATATATATATATAAATATATATGTATTTGTATAAATATACATTTTCTCATATATTTTTATACAGTCCCGAAAATGCTGCTTAAATTTTTACATTGAAGCCCTTTGTTAGTCATCATTAAACGATTTGTTAATTATAAATTAATAATTTATTAATTATAAATTAATAAATAATTAAACGATTTATCAATCGTTTAATGATTATTGACTTAAAAATCAAACAATAGTAACAAAAGAAAAGGGAACGTTTGACCGTCCTAACTAGATCGCGTCTATAGGTGTGACATAACAGGACAATGACTGATTAAAAAAATATTGGAAGCAAATCATAATTTTTGGTAAATTCAATTTTGAACTGTGGATATCAAACAATCGGCGCAGCAATCATGAGATTAACGCCTATTGCCAATATTGATTGTAACAGTAAATGTGTACCAAGGCAGTACGAAGTTTAAATTTCCTGACTTATTCTGTTACCTGTACATCTTAAGATCTTGACTTTATACGCGTTGTATACTCAGCCTCCACTTGTTTCTATGTTTTTCTGCTTCGAGCAATGTTATGTATTGTATACGATTCACATATCTCAACGTATTAAGTTTGTATGCTCGAAATCTTCTATCACAATGTAATTTATCATCGCATTTGAACATCATACGTGCTTAGCGTTAATAAGCGATTTTGGTTTGTTTATTTATGAAAACGGAAAAATATGTATTACTAATATATTAAATAAATGTTTGCATTTAACTATAGAGATATAATCGATTTAATTCATGAAAAATCTTGCAATTCCTCCTTTGTCTCTCACTATGGAGAGCAGATATTGATAATTGTAGATTACATTGTGTAATTTATAGGGACTAGAAAAATTTAACACCTTGATTATCATCGAATAAGATGAGCTCAGCTTTCTTTGCAGCCTCCAGCGTCCTGAGTGATCTGATTAATACTTCTGTGTCAAGACCATGAAATTCTGAATACAAAACAATTTTCAGTAATTATTATAATGACAATAATAGTTTATAATGACAACACAACAAATACACGAACAAAATTGATAGGGAAGACTCAATTTGACTCTATTCAATGGCTTATATCTTAAGATTGTATAATGTACCTTGCTCAGAAGTATCTTCTCCTTGTGTCAATTCAAACAATGTGCATACCGATCCGATAAAACCATTCTCCTGTGCCCAGTTGTACATTATATCACCCCATTCTTCCAAAGTATGCCAATAAACCAACCACCTCTGTTTGGTCTTGTCCAATGGGGTGGCATTACCTGATTTTCTCAATTCCTCCAATATCAGTAAGATTGTCTCTGATGGTAGTTTTCCTGTTTGGCCAAGCGCAGTCAAGGTATTTGTGACATTTGTGGATTGGTCAGACAATCACAATATATATTGCATAAATACATAAATGTTCCAGATACACAGTGAGTAAATTCGATATAATGGGTAAAAAGGATACGATTGATGGCAGTGTTATTGAACACAGGATTTGTGTCTACCTCCCGCACGTCTATGACGGCCTGCTTCGTGGTGCGATAATACTCGAGCACCAGGCTCCTCCAAGCTGCAATTTGCTTGGACCGGGTATCCGCGTGAGGTTGAAGTCTATAATAATAATAATATACAATATAAACTTTATGAGTATTCCCTACTCTTAAATACTTCTCGAATTCATATTGTCGTTACATTTTCATATTTATGAAAAAACGCGACAAGCCCTTACTTTTTTTCGCTTAATTTTTAACCTAATTCCAAACACGGACGAAACGCAGACCGCATCGAGACGCGTTTATAATGTTGCATGTGGTAATGAAGTATTTTGTTTTCTCTATCTTTCTCTTTTTTTTTCGAGATGAAATTTTATCACGATTTTGTTACACGGATATTTCTGTCCGCTGAAATGATACTTACGTAAAAAACGGTGGAAAACTATATTGCCAGGGCCAGTCAATTTCTGCCATTGTTACAACGCGCATCTGTCACTGGGACAGAGGTCACACGTGCGACTGACGACGGTCACACACTTCACATACTTCACATACTTCACACACACACACACACACACACACACACAAAACGCAGAATAATAGAATTGCCGTTCAATGTGTTTAAAGATTAAGCATTTAACGCTTAGATATAGAATGTTGGACAATGTGTTACAATAAGAGACCATGTAGTAATTGATTTCTCGTAATGTGTTCATTTTTAAAGGAAAGATTGGGAAGAAAGTTAAAAAAGAAAAAAAATTGTTGGTTCTTTTTTTTATAAGCTCCAATTGCAAAAGGGTTACAAGGTTCACTCAATCGCGATATGCTATATTTTGTATCAGTATGGATGAATAATGATGATCACATTTGGTGATTTATAGAATCAAGTACATAATCTTTGTAAAGTCCACGATAATACTCAAAACGAATCGTTCGTTTCTTTTATTGGCACCTCAAGCAAGTTGCAAAATTGCTGCTTTAAAGGTATCTAGATTTTTGAACATCTTTCTCATGTAATTTTGGTCCTGTTATTACGATAATAAATCATGACACATTGGGCAAGAGATGTAACAACAGTTCTCAAGGTGGCAAAATGTACTGATCAACATCTTCACTTTCATAAATAGCATGAACAATATACCTATCTTGAGTCATAGTAGGTTAGATCAGCATTTCATCTATCATCGCATGATCGCAGCGTCAGCGGCCTTGATATAGAGAATATGGAACAATTTATCACGTACGAAAATGTTTTCAATCTTGCGTATTCCATTTCGCGGAAAATTGCAAAAAAATATACATACAAAATTATATTATTTCGTTTCCTGGAAGGGAAAAACGAAACATTAAGTATTGGTTGTGTAGCAAATAATCTTGACTGGATTATATACACCTGCTTTACAATTACTTAAATATTATGTTACTTGATCAGCAACGATCGCCCGACTGTTAGTAACATTTGTGCGAATACAACTTTATATTATAAAATTCGTAGTGTATTCATAAGAATAATTTATCTATCTGGAAATATACTTCATACGAGTGAGATCACACACAGGAGGTAAAAGTATAAGAGAAAAAAATTATACAACACCGTGATATAAAAAAATCTTATATTCATCATTGATATTTCAAAAATTTATTACAATATATAACTTAATTAATATACAGAGCACGGTGTACGGGAGTGACGTTTATTTAAAAATAAATATTCTGTGCCCGGAAAAAATCTGGGATTATATCTGAAATGGTGAGAAATCCTGCAGAACAATCACCCGAAATTCATAAAGTCGGAATTTGTCATTTCTCATAGGACTTGCATTTATAATCAGTTATCTCTTATCGATAAAGTTATCTTTGTCGATAAATTTATCGTTTGTACAGAAATTTTATCACTCACGACTCCACTTCCTGACACCTTCCAACACTGTTTACCTTTAAAAACGCACATTTTAAAATCGATCTACCCGTTAGGAAAAATCTGAGATATTAATCTTGGTGACGATAACAAATGAAAGCATGCCCGATTCTGTCCTAGTTTAAAATTACATTTAGCCATCTCCATTTTGTTCTAACCGTTCACTCGTCAGGCTTTGAAGAATCGTACGACGCGGACGACGTACTGCTTGCATATCGGACATTCGGACATTTGTTTACCGCAATTGATACAGCAAGCCATATGACCGCATTCCAAGATCACACACTCGATCGGCGCGTCCCAGCAAATTTTACATATCTCTTCTTCACTCAATCCTTCCACATCTGCAATAATTTACCCAATAATTAATAATCGCGGATATAAAACAGCAATTGAAGACGATGAATCGGCTAATTATCAAGTATCTTGTATGTCATGTCATGATGGGACATCATGTTACATATAGAAATTACATATTAAAAATTACGAACACTTGAATAAACACTATCACAATTACGATCTATAATATAAAGCTTATTTTATCTTACCCTTTCTAGATTGCTTATATTCGTGCCACAATCTCGACACTCTGTTAAGTAGCTCTTGCCTCTCTACACAGCCTTTATAATCTACACGGTTTATACTCAACAGACTTTTTAATTGTTTAATATTTAGATACTCTAGTTCCGACGCTTCCTTTATATCTGATAATTGCACTTTATCCGGCCACTGTCAAAGGAAGATAGGGATGTTGTATGAATACATACATAGAGTGCACAAAGGGTATGTACCAATTCAATCTCGTTTGTTTAACCGAAACTATCAACTTGAAAAAAGATATGTATGTACATGCACATGTACATACAATAAAATAAATTTAATTATACATTTCACAGAGATATATATACATTGGTTATCAATTCTCATACCGTAGGAATTTCTGTGACCATATCTGATTGTACTCTGTTTGGCGTTTCCGAAACTTCATCCTGCTCGGTAATGACCGGCTCCGGTGCGTCGGTCGCACTGCTATCGCATTCAAATACTTCCTCTATCTCAACGTTATTATTTCTCGGATCCTCGCTAGGCGATTCATTATCGTCAGTACTAAGTGGTACACTTATTACCGGACTGCTATCACTTTCGGTTACTTCTTCTGCGATCTCGATGTCTTCACTTGCTGTGGGTTCTGTTCCTGCTTGCGCATCATCGCGTGTTACCTCACTTTCGGCACTAACATTTGGCATATCCTCTGGCCTGTTTACAGAGACGCCGACCCTGGATCTGTTAAGAAAATTACAGTGTCTTAAAACAACACATTCCCTCTGCTGTATATTTTACATATAATTATTTTACAATATTGATTCTCTTTAACTCTTTATTTGTTTTAAGGCCATTGTTTGTCGACATCAACAGGCTGATTGTTTGTCAAGTCATTAAAAATAAAGTGGTTAGAAACAGTGGAAAATTTTGATCTTTTTAATTTTTTCAAAACTCGGTGAGTCAGTAATGGTAGATCTTAGGACACATATTTGTGTATGAACTATTTTGCCTTTTTCCCTACAATTTACCTCGTCGATACAATTATCCCATCTTTGGAAGTATTGGCCTAGACTATTGAGAATAGTCACCCTGCATATTATTATACTCTTTGCTTATCAGATTATCTTTTTAAAATTATTCAATACTAATTATCATTTCACCACATCTTTTTGGAAACTTTGAAAATATTTATATTTATACACGCTTTTATTACGTAAAATAAAACGTACAATGATTCCCTGGTAGCATTTTGCGAGCTGACGTTTGTACAACAGTCCGTACTCAAACAAGGGTCAGTTCCATTAGCAAAAAGCATTAGTACATGCACCAAATCTTCTTTCTCTGAAATCAAAGACTAGTCTTGTCAAATCTTTCTCATTGCGATATATGATTAGTATTTTCTTCAGTGGGACTGAGACATGTCTTCGTTATTACACTGTAATATGTGTTATTTTATCAAATGTGCTTACTCATTTGGATTTGAGATATAATATGAACAAACAATTAAAGATGTATAACAATTGTTCAGATTATGATACACTAGATAATATGTGGATAGTAACATTTAATACTATAATAGAATATTTGGTGTTCTTACATTAAATTCGCAACGAGATATCTTTCCATGTTCTTTACTTTCTGATTGCCTAATTTATATTACAAAAATAAAATTTTATAAATTCTATAGGATTAATATTTCCCACAAGGACATGTTATTGTGTAACAAAATATTAATTGGTGATATGTCAGTGCACGTACCAACGCATCCTTTGATGGAAACTTTCTTCGCCACAAGATATTGCCGTAAATCTCTAGAACGCATTTGTCTAATTTGGTTCCTTACGAGGGGCCGCCTCGACAGTATACTACAACTGTCGCAGGCAAACACTTTGTCCAGCCGTTTAATCACGCATTCAGAGCAAAAGTACCTCAGACAGTCCATACATTGTTTCTAAATAATATAAAATACACATGTGTCATGTAATTATCGTTCCTTGATAAAGTGAAAAAGAAATTACAGCCCAAGTTGAGCTGAAGCAGAGGTCCAGGATTCCTCAAGAGAGGTTAATTCAGAGTGTCTAGAGGTAGCTTGGAAGTAGAAATTCAATTCTTCACGTTATCTAGTTACTTCTCTAAACAGTGAACATAATAAAAACCGTGAATACATTAGCGCATGATCTCTGATTGTAAGTTACTTTGTGGCTGAGATGAAAAATCATTAGAATATCCCGATGATATTTCCGTTTATTAAGAAATTCCATCATTCAAGAGATACACGCAACTCATCGTCGTCGTGCGATTTGTCGAATCGCTATCGAGACAGCGAGATCATTCGCCGATCATCGACCGCTGAAGGAGCGCTAACTTTTCCGAGAAAGACCCAAGTACTCACTTTCCTCTTAAACAAATTGAACTTCGTACTACATGCCTCGCAAGCCATCTTACTGGAATTGCTGACTCCGCTCGTTCGTCGGTCTGAAAAGTGATTTTCGTGAGATACGCGAGGCCATTTGGGAGAATGTTAATCAGCGCTACGCGAACGGGACAAATGTCACACCGTACGATTCTACGTAAATTATGATAAGATGAATACTACACGCACGTCGTAGAGGCGACATAACAGAGGTTGTAACCTTTTTAAATCGATATCATAGTATTATTATCGGTGCAGTATGGCCGAGCCGAATCGGGAGAAAACAAAAAGTGCCGATGATGGGGGCCGATGTCGTATCGCCGTGATATACCGTCGTCTCTTCTCCCAACGTGTGTGATAACACGTCTTTAATTATCATGCGAATCAGGAGACCGCGATATGTCTCAGGCGTCACGGGCGTCATAGCGCGCCGACTACTGTGACATGTGATCGAATTCTGCCGTCTGCGGGAACTTTGTGTCTTTAACGATACGTCTCCTGCCGTTATTAAGCCCGTCTCATAATGTATTGTAATTGCACGCAGTCTCAAAGACACTGTACATTGCGCTAGCATTGAAGACTGGGACTTGTGAGAAGTATTGATACTTCAGTGAGTTTGAATGGTAAATGGAAGTGGCCAATCGTTTATTCCTTTTCTTCTTAACATTCTATAATTTTCACGATCTTGAAGGACTTAAAAAAAACTATACAAAAAAAGTCACCAAGTAATTGAAATCTTTTTAAAAGTGGTATGATTAACTCAGACAGCAAAACTTGCGCGAACAAATTCTAAGCAGTGAATTTCTTTAAGCTTAGAATTTCTCGATACCAAAAGAGAGATCAAACACGGGATTTGTTCCATCCAGATTAAGGCCGTGTTCCAAAATTCACTGCCAGCGTGAAAAAGTTATAGTTTACGTGACACAAACTATTTTCAGTACTGCCAGTGAATTTTGGAACACGGCCTATGTGTCGCCAAAATGCTGTAGCCAATCAACGTCCCGAATGTCGCGTGTTCATAATTTCTCTATTTCCGTGCAAGCAAGGTGCTGAATGGCTACCGCAGTGTTCCTTATCCAACTTCCGCTTGGCGTGCCACGTCCTCTATACAACCGGCCTAACGGCTCTTCGTTAGTATTTCGTATTTCGGTGTGTTATGGATGCAAATAAGTAAGTATTACAATAAATATTATAATATTATTATTATTGTATTACAACAGAGAGAAACCTGAGAGCGGCCAACACAGCATTTTCTGCGTGACACCGACTTTCCGCACTGGGAAAGGACGCCATCTGCATCCATTTCGAGAGGTTACATCCACTTTCAGGTCTCGGTGATGAAATCTGCATGTGGCGGAAGTCCGTGCTACATCCGACATCCACTTTCAGGCGGTTTATGTCCGTGCTGCAACCACAGTTGCCATCTCCATACCATCTCTATGCCTGAAGATCTAAAAAGAACGAGGGGGGGGGTGGAGGGGAGGAACAGGAAAAATAAAAATACGTATTAAATATTAAATCTTCGAATACATGTTGCCGTATCAAAGTCTCCTGTATAATAAACGATTTGACACATCTGGAGACGCATGACGTATCGTTGCCCGCGTCCCGTTTCCAAATTCAGCATCCTGCCCGCTCCGGACATTCGCTCGTGGCGCACTGACAGTGGCCGTCGGTGAGCATTCGATCCGCTCGGAGGATCGTTGTTAATGTGTTAATTAACGCGACGAGACTCCGATTATAAATATCCCGCGAGTCGACGAAATATCTGAACTTTTGAAAAAAGCATCAAAGAAAATCACGTTGATGTTGTCATGGGTGAAATCTCACCCTGGTATATATTTTTTTTATTTTCGAAATAGAAAAGGCCGAACGGATGCAATTAAATGTGTATTTATCATCATTGAATATTAGATGAAAAGTAGAAGAGTTATTGTCCGGAGCGGATAATCTAACATCAAATAAGAACGAGACAAAATTCGCATGGGATGAAATTCTATTTTTTAACGCTACCATGACCTTTAATTATTCTCCGAAAACGGCGTCACAACAAGCTTGACACTCTGTACAATTAGTTGCCAAGACATTTTCGAATCGTACACATTCCTCTTTAATTAACATAAAGCTAACTGAGAATGTCCGATGCTTCGACAGAGTAATTTTCTTGATTTTCAGTAATCAATAAATAGAGTGCATCAATGTCGCGTACAGCCAGAAAGGCCTCCTCGCATTCCCCCTCGTCGTTCCGGAACCTTCGAGCGAAAAGAAGAGACTTGCCCGAGGGCAAAACTTTCGGTTTTGCTTCAACCGCCGCCCGCCGAGCGGGCCCGCAATGTTTACATCGCGGGCCGATTGTGTTGATCGGCTCGCGAGCGACGACACTTTTCGCCCTTCGTATTAATACTCGCGCGCCTCGCGTACTTGACCTCATTCCATCAACAGCAGCTGTGCGCGCGACACGCTCGTCACTTCCGTCTCGTGTTGAATTGAAAGAAATGTATCTTATCGTTCCTCGAGATACTCAATCCGTCGGCATCGCGTTGATTGAACCGCACGGTCGAATCGCGAGTATCGGCATTAGAAGCGTGAGCGAGTGAAATCCGATGGACTCCAGCAGCCGGGAAGCAGGACGCCGGCAGCGATACCGGTCACGTTTCCAGGTATGTGGAATCATTTATTATGCGGGAGGTCTCCGATAACAAGAGCGGACGTTTGACGAATTTTCCGGGAATAAGAAGTCGGAATTTCGCGCTCGGCATTCACAATCCGTCATCATCCGGCTAGTAATCATCACTTTATGAATTTGCAATTACTCTCGTCAATCTCTGTCTGTCTATCTATTTGTTGCGTTGTTGTATACAAAAGATATTGATCCAGACAGAGACGGGTAACGGTCCATCATGAACGCTCGGATCTCTAATTCTTCATGTTCTCGATCAAACATTCTGAATAATTCCCAACTGTATGAGAGTATTACCGGGTCTTGTGTAGAATATTCAACCTCATACCTTCTTCTTAGACTGCGACCATTTTTGTTTTCGCTCAGCGCTTCTTTCAAGTCTGTTTACTTTCGTTGCGAAATCTAAATTTAAATGTCCATTCGTAAAAGAGTATTTCCGAGAGCACACAACTGTTGTCTCCGCTTCTTGTTGTCATTTTTTTTCGTCAGCTCTTTCAAGAGCTCCTATCTAGACTTTCTTCAATGTCAATGATAGAAAAGAAATCGTAGCGAATATTCTCCACTCTTCCCGACCAAACATTCCTTCTCTACCGCAGCTTACCAACCAAGAACGCTGCATTTTTGTTCCAGACGTTGCGGGAAGCAAGTCCGGCGGACGCGGATGCCGCACCGGAGGATCCGGTTCGAGCACAGCAGGGTCGGCCGGAAGGTAAAGTTTACAAGTTTCCTACACATCTGTGTTCAACTCTTTACAATCTTTGCCTCTGCAATTTGTTCCTCGTCAACTCTCTTGAAAACTTCGTCTCATTTAAATTTTCAATGTTGGAACAAAAATATTGAGATAAAAATCCCATATTAGAATATTTCCGTATTTTCGATTCGTCTCGATCAAAGATATTCTCTCTCTACCGCAGATTATCTGACTGGGAAAACTATTTTTCTGTTTCAGTTATTGCGGAAAGCAACAACAATCCGGCAGACGCGGATGCCGTACCGGAGGATCCGGTTCGGGCCAAGCAGAGTCGGTCGGAAGGTAAGTTTACAAGTTTCCTACACATCTGTTGTGTTCAACCCTTTACGATCTTTGCCTTTGTAACTTGTTTCTCATCAGCTCTCTTGAAAGCTTCAAGTCCCATTTAAATTTTCAATGTTGGAACAAAAATATATAAAGATAAAAATTCCGTATCAAAATATTTCCGTATTTTCGATTCGTCCCGATCAAAGATATTCTCTCTCTACCGCAGGTTATCAACCGGGAAAATTATTTTTCTGTTTCAGTTGTTGCGGAAAGCAACAGCAATCCGGCGAACGCGGATGCCGCACCGGAGGATCCGGTTCGGGCCAAGCAGAGTCGGCTTGAAGGTAAGTTTACAAGTTTACTTACTATAGTCTTCTGTTTGACCCTTGGCGATCCAGAGCTGGGATATAACTTCCGGCTCGACTTGAGTTACGATCGCAGAGGGTAAACTACTCTTTTAATCGTTGGTCCCGCACTCGTTGGTCTGATCTGATGAGCGAATGTGAATTTTTTGTTACAGAGTTGAAGCGGAACGTGGCCGGCTCTGACTGCAAGTCGTTTCGGTGAGTCAAAATGAAATGAGAAACAATATTCTGCATGACGGATGTGGAACTAAAAAATATCGTTCGAGTCAATGCAAATTGCAAATAGATTCTTGCATGTATGTGTTTGTGACGTTGAATAAAATACATTGCTCGAAACAATCAGGGGATTACTTGATCGATAGCCTGCATTACATACGAGATTTAAAATACCGAATGATTCTCCTTTGATGTTCATTTGAATAAGAGATATTTATGTCTACAAACGCGAAAACCGTCATCAGCTGCTTTATTTTCATTTTTCAAGCGGGCCGCAGAATTATTTAACAATTATTCCACAATATTCAATTGTCCGTGTAAAATATATTCATACGCATAAATGCCTATACCGTTTGGCTACTTTTCTTTTATTTCCAAAACTTATTTCCATAAAAGGCTGTAGAATTATTTGGCAATATTGTCCATTCGTCACGATCCCTATTGTCTCGAGTAGCGTATAACGCGCGCAGAAATTGCGCCAGCGCACGCCGAGCTTGAGGTATCCTCGCTCGCGTGCCTTTGAATATCGCGACCGCGGTTATCAATATTTTTACCCGCGTTTTTACCCGCGCTGCTAATAAAGAAAGCTTAAATTCTCATTTCGCCAAAGTATCGCGAACGTAAGCTTCGTGACGGAACTATCATGCGTGAAAACTTTGCCCCGCTCTCTCTCTCTCTCTCTCTTTGCGCTCCCTCGGGCTGACCGGTTTCTGATTGTCTAATCTTCCCTCGTGCATTCGCGAATATTTCGCTCGTAGATATCGATACTCCCGCATTTTCGCGACTTTCAGACGCGATCGCGAAAAGCACCGTAAAAATCCGTTGGACGAGTCGATAAATTTTCGCACGGTTCTTGCTCCTCGTCGATCGAGTTTACAGAGTCCGTTTCGCAGCGCGTAAAAAGTTTCCACCGATGTCGACGTAAAACGTTCGTTAATTGACGCAAATATCGCCGTTCTGATACTAAGTATCAACCGCGTCGCGAAAGTGTGGCGAAAGTGTAGCAATCAACGTGGGACGCGCTGCAAGATGGATGCTGCGCGACATGCGGAGAGCGGCAGCTTGGGCGGACATGGACGGACATTGGTGAATCTGGTTGGATGCAACGGGACATCATCAATATCATCATCGGTGAGCGTTTGACTCAATGCTCGCAGAGAGCTCTTTTATTATTACATTGTGCATGCCGCAAATTTGCATTGACTTTTGTAACGAAAAGTATATTCCGTGAATTATTGCCGTATATTATGGCCATATATTACTGCCATATATTGTTGCTATATATATTATCGCCATATATTGTTGCCGTATATTGTTACCATATATAAAATTGCCACATATTGCCATGTATTATCGCCATATATTGTTGCCGTATATTGTTACCATATATAAAATTGCCACATATTGCCATGTATTATCGCCATATATTATGGCCGCTTGAAATCGCGCAAACAATCGAGAAAACTGAATTTGCCGATAATCGCAAAGGCGCGCGTCACGGACGGATGACAGCAGCCCGTCTCAGGGCTACCCGATAACAATACCGTTGCTGCAATTTAACTTTAAACCACAGCGGCCTCCGGTCGCAGGAAACTTTCCATCGCGGATTAACCCCTCGAGCGGAATGTTCCCGAGAAGCGCTCTTGACATGAACGCTGATTATATGGGAATTTGCCTCGTTAGGGCCTCGTCGCGGTATCTCGTTGTCGCGGAAAATAAGGAAGAAAGGAGTTAAACATCCGCACCGTTGCGAAAAGAGGGGCGATCCTTGACGTCCCTTCGCGAGTAAAATGTTAGACCTTTGCGAACGCGCGAACGTTAAATTCCACCGCGGCTGCGAACGTCCCCCGACTAGTTTCTTCGCGGAAACTGAATCTTCATAACTCGCGCTTGAGCGTGCGTTGAGATCTCTGTCGAGGGTGACACAACTCGCGTTGTTCTTCGATCGATCGATCAGTTGAAAAGGAAAAAAATGCGGAATGGCGCCGACACTTGAGATGCATTTTGCCGGAGTTGGAAAATTCTCAACGCAGAGTCATTCGTAACCGATTGCACGATTGCACGATTGCACGGTGAATACAACTTTTGTTTCACTCGGTGATATCGAGCCTTCTTCGATAAGACAGCCACACTCCAGGTTAGTTCAACAACAAAATGGAAGAGAAATGAGTACCGCGAGTCCATCGATTGGTTAGACACGACTCGTACTCACAATTGCCTTATAAAGTTGACACGACATTGTGCGCTTTGTAGACTAATACAAGTTACTGCAATTATTATATCTATTTTGCGTGGTGACAATATTTCGTAACTTATGTTTCTCGCTTACTTGCACCGTAACTTTTGCCCGCGAAAGGAGAGATAAAGCAATTGTTACACACAAACGCATATCCATACACGTTACTATATTTATTATGGCAGCATGGTACATTACGCTCTGGTACATTTCCTGAGCACACGAACTCGCGTTGTCTCGCGAGAGCGCGTCAATACAGAGTACGAAATTGCGCCGCACGGTTGTCGAAAAAAAAAAGAATTTCGCGCTGAAAGGTTCGAATGATTATCGAGAGACTTGCGTCTCTCGTCTCCTCCTCCTCCTCCTCCTCCTCCTCCTCCTCCTCCTCCTCCTCCTCCTCGTGGCCATCTTGAGCATCTGTTTTGTTTCGACGTGCTCTGCGAGAATTTTGAGTCTGTACCTTCTCGCTTCCAGCGTTATCAATCGACAAGATGACCGCGACGAGAAACCAGCAGTCTCGAACTGATTTTCTAACGGCTCCTCCTTAATCGCGAATCACTTTGCACGTGATTGATTGCACGTTACATATGATATATTACAAGCACGAGACTGATACTTTATTGTCCGTCCATGCCTCTGTAGTTGTATGTAAATACAAAGTCGTATCGTACACGCATTACATAAATGACTAAATCGATAAGAAAGGAAGAGGGAGCAAGAGAAACAATATTCTCACTGTACAATAAATATAAAAATACACACATCAGATCGTTAGAGCGTCAAGTTTTACAACACCGACGACTAGCCAGAAAACGTTCCCGGCAGCTTCCCCCGCGTATATTTTCGATCGGGTGTGTGTGTGTGTGTGTGTGCACACGGTACACTGAGAGAAAATCGTGTTTTTTCATCGTTCCAGCGAAAAAGTAACAGCAGCGTATACAAGATTATTGTCATTATAGGATTATGTCAGTAGCATTCCCTGACGATGATTGTTTCATTCAATTCACGCAATTATAGTGACAAGCACGAAATATTTTCTTCTCAGTGTATCACATATACGTCTGAGAAAATTTGATCTATCTGACTGCATCTGACTGTGATTACGGTAATGGTGTGCGTCTCGCGTGGTATTAACACCAACATCGACTCGAAAGCAGAACGATGCCGTTGCTTTGCAATGGATGAGCTTCTTTTTGAGAGCGCGAGGCAGGCGATCAGCGATCCGGTTTCGTATTCGTGGAGCAAGTTGATCTGTCGTTGATTATCTGTCAGGATTATTCAATTTTCGGGCCCCGAGAAATCTCGGACTTATCGTCCGATCGAAAATAAATCCAGAGTCAGAGTCACGGGAAACCGATTTGGCGAACGCTACACACGGAACCGTCCGGACGATCGCGCGGAGTTGTTATCATCTTCATCGAGATTGACGCGGGTCAAAAGTTTTGACCCTTTTCCTTGTTCTTTGGGAGAAGAGACCTCGCTTCACTCTCTCGGGGACCTCTCTGTTTGCGAAACGAGAGAAAGCTCACGAATCCACCGTGAGCTTACGTAATTATACAATTGTACAATTGAGATTCGATATAATTACATAGACGGGTGTACGGTGTTCTTTGCGCTTTGCATCGATATCCTCGTGGGAGTCTCCTCGTCGAGGTCATTCGGGATCTGGCTCCAATCCTCGTCCCCTTCGTCCGCGTCCTCGTGCACCGAATCTTTCCTGCGAGTTACAAGTTTTTCTTTCAACTCAGAAGCGAACGCTAACAAACATGGCGAATGGAAGGGAGATAAATCTTTTTGCTTTGATGGCTCCTTGACCGAACACTCGAGACAAAAGTCACTCGGTCACTCTGGCGAGTTTTTTCAAGAGTCTCGAGAACTTTAGAAAGATCGTGTTAGATCGTATACTAACTGATATTTGTTGCTGGACGGCAGAAACAAGGATTTCGGGCAGTCCTTGAAGTAGGGCCAGCATTCGCCATGAAACTTGCCGCGATTCTCCGCTTCGACGTATTCCTTGAGGAGATTCGCGAACGGCGATCGACTAGCGCTGAAACGGGGAGAAAGAAGAAAGGGAAATGAAATTATGTTTGTCTTTGTTTGGTTTTGTTGACGGACGGACACGGAGTGCGTCCTGTTTTCAACGAGAGACTCACGTAAAGAACAGCTTCAGCATCTCGCCGATCAGACCAAAGTTGCTCAAAGGGTGTCCCTGGACCTCGCAGATCGCCCTCAACAGGCACGCCTTCCCGTTCATCCCCAAAGTGTTCAGCATGTCCTCGGCGGTACCGTAGAGCAGGGCCCTCTCGCCACCGTGGAACGCATTCTTCGGAGGTGTTATCTCCCGCTTGTGCAATCTGCGCTTTATGAACGCGGCGATGAAGTCCGCCATCATCATGCCGGCCTGACGGCTTTTGAGATTCCTGTCGAAGGCCGGCGGCAAGCCGCCATAGGGGTTCTCGTTGTCGGTCAAGCCTAGCTTGTCGAAGTCGACTGTGTGTGTGTGTGAACAAGAGTTTACAATTCCATTATAATGCATATCTGTCGAACGCGATCGCCGCGTTCTTCTCTCCCTTCCATCTCTCTTTCATTCAATATCACGCGATATAAATGCGAGATAAATCAACGGGCGAGCGCGCTCGATTTCCGGGATCGAGACTACTCTACGAGGGGGGGGGGCGGGAAGGAATAGTCAAGTTTTCAAGAAAGATCACGCATTCGCGCGCTGCTACGTCGCTCGCTAACTCGAGAACTCACTCGTGAATGGTAGACTGATGGTCATGTTGCTGAGGAAACCGTAAGGTGGATGCCTGACGAACGGCAATGCCAACGTTGGTGTGATTGTCATGACGGTGCCGGGCGGTAGCGCGATTCGACCGTCGTTTGTGAACCAAAAGACCCTCTTCTGTCTGTGATGCGGTCTCTGATGAGAGGACTCGTCCGTAGTCCCGGCGTCGGACGCGGACGACGACGACGACTCCTTCAGGACGGCGAGACCGAGCAGCAACAGAAGCCCTTTCCGCGTCGTCATCTTGCTCGCTCGTGCGACAGCTGCAATTAGAATCGGCATCGAGCGGCATTCAGACTCTAGCGCTGCATTGACGACGAAAATACTAATCTCATATATGCACACATTGCTATTATATAGTTACCTTTATTTATCGTTATTGGAAGGCAACAAAAAGAAAAACGACAAGGAGAAAATAATTATCGTTCGCAAGGAGACACAAACACTGTTTTCTCTCGCTACATTCCCAGGGTTAACAGTCACACACAGTCTGCTGGGAGTTTCTCGTTTCTGTGTGTGTGTGTGTGTGTGATCTTTCGCGAGAAATTTCACACCCCTTGAGACATTCGAGCAAGCTGGGTGGGTGCACGAGTCGTACAGATTAGCTCGATGGTTTTATTTAGACGCTTTAGTGGACGCGCGCGCGCGGGTGTTGCGTGCGATTTTCAGCCTCTCACAAGGCGCGTCGGCGCGCGCGCGCGCGCGTTTCAAGTAGGCCGCACGACAGATCGCGCGGAATTATTTGCGATAAATCGCGCGTTGGTACGTCGCGTATACATGCGTGTATATTATAGGATGTATTGCAGCCCACACGACTTATACGGTACCCGGTGTGAATCTCAGATGACTGTCGGCATCGAGCCGACGTCAAGGGGGAAAGTCCGGGGACGCGGCAGGTGGATTTCGTCGTTCGCGCGTCGCCTGGCTACATCCTGTTCGCGCGCCGCAACATTTTCGCCTAATTGATATTCGGGACGAGAGCGCCTCGGGCTATCGCTCCGGCGAATTCGACATTAGTAATTCAATTTGTGGGTAACGGGGGTAGAGCTTTTCGGTACGCGCGATGTCTCGTCGTTGTCGCGTGCAACCGCACTTTCTGCTCACGATTCATCGTTTGGTCGTATTACTTCCAACACGATCGTGCCTGAAATACCGCGGTGTCTCAGGCGTGAAAAATAACGTCACCGTCATTTATGCGTTGTGTTTGAAATGAATATTTTGATATTCCGCGCACACGTTCGAAGAAAAGAAAAAAGGCCCCGCGCCTTATCGCGCTCATCTCGATACTAGACGAGACTCCGACGAGATCAACATATCGCACAGGATTGTAATTCTGCTTAACGCGCTAATTACATTATCAGCTCAAAACTGACGCGAGTGCTGCAGCAGTTGGCGCTGCTATAGCGTTGATGATAACAACCCTACACGCATATACGTATATATATATATATATATATATATATATACCGCTACCGATAAATTTCTTTTCTCTTAGAGCAAAGGGAAAAGAAGAAGACGAGCGACGATGATTGTTCTTGAATTTAAGTCTCGAAGGGAGTTATTAACGAAGAGAATTAACCATTTCCTTTCCCTTCAGCCGTGTTCAAGAGTGTTTGTCCTCCGCGAGATTTTCATTCGGCACGACTCGTCCTCCTCGTGCGATAATTACACGCTTTCGCAAGAGCGTTCGCGTTCCCGTTCGATGCGCGCCGCGATACCACGTACATCGTACATCGGTTAAATCGCGCAGCGTACCGTCTTAATTATGATAAACGCGCATGGTGCAGCCTGATTGTTATCGCGTGGCGACGCGCTCGAGTCGAACTGCGTGACGCACCGCGTTGTCGTCGTCGTCGTCGTCGTCGTCGTCGTCGTCGTCGTTGTCGTCCCTACTTACGGGACATTACGGGTGTGGGCCAGGTTCACTAGGCTTCGGCCATACGCGACCAGTCCACGAGGTTCGGTTTGATCGGTGTAACAGTATATAAACTGCGAAACCGTACTTAAGGGGAACCGGGCGACGCTGGGCTGAGGAAGTGTGCTCTAGAAAAACGCCGCACGATCCTCTCGTACTTAGCCGTATATAGGGGACTTGCGGGTCAACTGGCTCCGGGTATGTGAATGGGTCTCCTGGGTGTATGCGCTTGTCGCGCGAGAGACACGGTGGGGGGGGGGGGGAGGAAGTCGCAAAATATTCCTTTTTTGAACATAGGTACTTTCCCTGAGCTTCGTCGAACATGTGTGTTTTGGTCTTCTGATGTACGCGGACGTATAACAATAGCGCTCACACACACACACACACACACACACTCACACAGTTATTACGCCACGCTACGTACGCTGCAGTAGCAACGACCGGTACAAGAATGATTTCCCAGCCATAATTACTTCGCTGCGCGATATTAATTACAAATGCCGGATACGTTTCGCGAGAGCACGCGGCAGAAATGGATCCTGCCAAGCAGGATCGAGTGAGTTTGCGTGACCCGATCGTGCCGCGAATATCGCCGGGCGACGTACATCTATCTCATTTTCTAAGAGACAACGGGGTAAGAAAAGGACGTTCAAGGCGAGAACGTTATTTTTCGCGAGAAATCGCGCGGCGCAGAGCGAGTTGGCCGTTGGCCGACTCGGCGTTTGATCTAGATCGAGACGGGCGGGCTGCTGGCCCACATTGTCTAACACGGCGAGAGTGAAGTTCGGCGGCGGCGAGTATAAGAAAGGTGGGCCGACCGCTAAGCGCATCGCGCGGAATACCGAATGATTGACCCGCATATTTTGATATGCGCGTGCGCGCGCGCGCGTCCGCAGGAACGTGTACGAGCGGCGAATTAAACCGCTTGCAGCAATTAGGTCCTGGTCCTACTCCGACACCACGTCGGAGGAACCGTGAACGTCGCTCGTTTTTTTGCGCGGCGTTTTTACCGTTAGCCGTGTCGAAACCGGGTCGATTTTAAAGTCTCACCCCCTCCGCCCCCCGCCTTCGCTTCGGTCAGCTCGACCCGCCGAATTGCGAATCCGCGCGATCGCGCACGCTGTTATTCGCGGTGATAACGGTCGGCCGGGGTCGCCGGCATCGATCGTCGAGCAGCGGGGCGAAGCTTCGTGTTTCGATGCGATGCCGGCCAAGCGCGGTGCAAGAAGGGAACGAGCTCGCTCGTGTTGCTTGCTCTTCTTGAAATTCGTTCACCCGGAAGGGGTTCTCCTTCCGGGTCGAAATCGAAACGCAATCGTTTCCGCACGATGCTCGCTTGTCGTTCGGATAATTCTGCTTCTACAAGCAGAACTACGATTAGAGAGAGAGAGAGAGAGAGAGAGAGAGAGAGAAAAGTCGCCGTTGACGGCCTTTCCCAGGCCGAATCCCCAGGTCCGTTTGAGCGAATCTCACGCGATGAAGCGCCGCGCTTCATTTACGGTCCCGCTTGCGGGCGTCGCGTTTCCTACCAAAACGGTTGCACTGCGCCCGATTTTATATGCATCCGTACACGTACACAGATGGGCATTTTATGTTCCTTCGCATCAAAATGCAGCGAATTCCTGACCTAGTGCCTTCTATACCCATCTTAACGGTAATATCGTTAACGTAGTCGCCGTACTTTTTAAGTATTGCGCTCTCGGTGACCTCTCTCTCTCTCTCTCTCTCTCTCTCTCTCTCTCTCTCTCTCTCTCTCTCTCTCTCTCTCTCTCTCTCTCTCGTGGAAAAAAGAAGAAGAAAGGAAGGAAAAAACAGCAACGATATATTATCTTGGTCCGCCGTTCATTTATCAACCCCGCCCGACACACGTGCACACTTTTATCAGCTCTCTTGTGGTTTTCTTGTTTCATCAGTTAATCAGTCTTCGATTGACTGTGCGGTTACATTTTCCAAGCTACGATTGAAGAGCGACACGGCGACTGACTATTGTTAATACCTGTAAAATTCTCTCTCTCTCTCTCTCTCTCTCTCTCTCTCTCTCTCTCGACCGGCATGAAACGCCATTTTTAGATGATCAATGATTTCAGATCGATCTCATGAGTCGAGTCAATTTGCGAAATTGAAAACTTCTCGAGCGTGACGCGGTGATCAATAAGCTTACTCTGGTCTGTGATCGAGAATATCTGTCCCTAAAGTGTTTGTGAATCTCGAGACGAGACCCTCCTCTCCCATGTGTCGCTGTCGTAGGAATTCCCTCGGATAATTAATTTATGATGCACAATTTGTGCGCGCTCGCGTGTTTGTACGTAGCCATGTATGACGAGCGGTAATTACTACACGCTCATAATCAGCTGCTTTCTAAAGATAAACGACACGTGCTAATGTTAACACGTAAACAATTAAATCGAGGCGAAAATGCTGAAAATGTCGTAATTAGTATTAAAAAGTTTGAACAATAAATCTCCGGTACTACTCATCGAGGAATATGTTAAGTAATTGAGAAAATTGTACCTCTGAAATCAGTTCAATGACTCAAATCTTCAAGAAGAAGAATGAGACACAGATTGATGTGCTTGTGTTACGTATGAGAGTGCAGCAATATAATATAAATCCTTTTATATCTCTATACAAATGATTATATACACAAAGTACTATACCGACAAGAAAAAATATTCGTTAGTCTCACAGCGAATTATAGCCATATCCTGTATGCTAACGATACCTTTTTTACTGATTTTGATTGACTAAAAGATATGTATGTACATATCTTTTTTTTCTTGTGCGCGTCAACACACGTCGCGTGGATAGAATGCACTAAAACGCAAAAGAAAATATTTACCTGGAAACTATATTTTCTTTTCAGACTTGTGGCGCGTGGACGTGGATTCGATTGTGAGTGAGTTTCTGGCGGTGGTTTCTCGATAAGTACAAAAAGCGGCGGGTGACGGGGTATGTATTTATTGAAAGTAGAATTCATCATATTGTTATTTCATCGAGCCTGATAAAAAGAATCAGAGATGAATTATTAGTGTGTATTGAGTATTATTGCGCGGAGTTCATTGCGACCGTTCTTTCCATAGTCGACTCGAGTACGAATGGACGGCGGGCGGCACGCACGTTGTTAAACTTGTATCAGCAGCACACCGTCGCGCGAGATCGTGCATCCGCGCAACAAATGCAAAAGCAAGATCTACCGCGATGTTCGCCGATGCATACACACACACACACACACGCACCTATCTGTATATCCGTACGAAAGCGAACGTGGCGATTCGCGGACGTCCCGCTGCCTGTCTGTACGACCGTGTCACATATACGGTTACGACGATCTAGATTGCGCAAGATTGCTTAGACGGATTAAGTTTCTACGAGTTAAATTTTTCTCCGTTAAATTCCTCCCCTCAAGTGGATATTCTCGTATAGGTCAAAGATAAGACGTTACGCGCATAATTTGATTTAAATAGATGGAACAATTCTTTATACTGCGTATTACAGTGCGTAGAAATTGATGAGATGAAGTTTAATATATTCTTTACCAAACATTCTCTCTCATTCTCTTATTTCTGCGAGAAAGCAAGCCGAGGATCGAAGAACGCGCGACGCCAACGTCTCAACAATAAATTTCATCTGTGATAAGATCACAGTCAGATTTAGATATTTGGAAAAAATTGTAGTTCCGCGAAATCGCGATGGAAAAGAGTCAATTGATCAAGCATAATATTAATAGCAGAGATAGCAAGACGTCCCGTGTTGAGGAATCGACTTGGACGTCGCCGACGACGTCAGCTGTTGAAGATCCTCCTTCGCGCACGACGACGATGCGCGAGGACGATCAGGTCGAGGCCACGGCCCGGATACGACGGGGATACGACGATTGAGTTGAGACCCGGGTCTGTGAAACCAGTCGAGTGGGCCTACAGCTGAGCGTGCACGCTCGCGAGTGAGTAGGCCTACGGAAAATCCGGGTTTTCAGAGAGGCGCGAAACACCGGCACGCGAGGTCGCGAGTGTCCTGACATGTGACTCTTCGTAATAGGGGCTCTGATAATGGACGCGCGTACTATGCGTTCGCGTTCGCGTTCGCGTTCGCGCGCGCGCGTCAAGGATGTGATTATAATAACTTGCGTAAGAAGGAAATGAGAATTTCCGAGAATGAGCGAGAGCCACTGATATATATCCCCTTTAATCACCTTTAATCAGGTGATTGAATCTGTATCGAGGGTCGTTTCGAGGAATTCAGGTTTTCTCATCGAATCTTGTGACACTCACGGACTTACGGATTGTTGTTGAGCCGGGAGATTTGAGCCGAGTCGAGCGAGTCGCGGAAGCGGTAGAGAGAATCTCGTCTTTTCATCGATCTTTTCGTCGATCGAATTTCACTGTTTCGTTTTTCATACACCTGCCTCTCATCTCAGCATCTCAGGGGATATATTGACCATCGAAAAGAAAGAGACCGCAAGAGAGGCAACAAAGTGCGAAGATCGATATCCCACTTACTACCTTTTCACACCTGCATCGTCGGAGAGAGACGAGGCTCAGTGAGATATCAATTCTTCAATCCAGTATCGGTTGCCAGAAAATATCCGTGCTCTCTGTGAAAATATATAACCCACACAGGGATTCCTCCGTTATTCCTCATCCACGCCATGTGGGCTAGCCGATGCCTTCGATCAGTAATCATAAGCCTCGAGTATCCACCACTACACGTGCCTAACCACGGAGATTAACCCGTTCGCTTACTTTAGCGAGCGCTCGTCCCGCGCTCGTCCCGCGGGATCCACCTACTCCGTCCGTCGCTGCAACGCTTTTCAAATAGTAACGATAACAAAAAAAAAGAGAAGGGGAAGAAAGAAGCAATAGAAGATGAAGAAGAAGAAGAAGAAGAAGTGCACAGCGACATAAAGAAAAAAGTCTCCGCGTCCGAGAAGTTTAATGCTTGATTAAATCTAGCGTTACCGAGGAGAGGAAGGGAGAAAGAAAGAAAGAGGCAATTTGCGATCACTCGTCGTTGACGAGAGCATACATTTCGCCGCGAAGAGAAAAAAAGTAAAAAAACGGATAAAATATCGAAATAAATGCAACAGAGAGAGAGACATCTCTAGGCTTACGCGAGAAAATCGAAGAAATAAAGGTACGGCAAACTGGTGAGTGTGAGTGAGTGAGTGAGTAAGAGAGAGAGAGAGAGAGAGAGAGAGAGAGAGAGAGAGAGAGAGAGAGAGAGAGAGAGAGAGAGAGAGAGGCAATTAAAAGCTCGGCTATCTTATCCAAGTGAGCCAACACTCTCACGATCAACATAATTACGCGCACGTTATCTCACCTTTATTGAACAACAGGCTCGATTTCCCCGCGACGATGCGCGGCGAGCTCGCGGACAGATCCGCCGCCGCGGTGGATGATATGTAGGGTAATCTTGACACACACTGATTAACAGAGCTTATTAACAGAGCTACGGCGCACTGTGCCCGCACCGTGCGGCCTGCCTGCTCGCTGCGGGTCCTCGCCGCGACGACACGGTGGGTGGCGGTGGGTGCGCTGCGATTCTTCTCTTCGCAGGCGGCGTTCCCTCTCCGGTCGAACTCCGTGTCGGTCGGGCCGATCGGATCGGCGCGGCGTACGTCGCGATGCAACCGCGAGAAACAGATTGCGCAATTATTCTCGCGCCTCGTGCATGTCCCTTATCTCTCTCGCAAATTTGCACAGCGTTTGTTATTATTGCCACCGCCGCTGCCGCCGCCGCCGCCGTCGCCACCTCCGCCGCCTCCGCCGCCTCCGCCGCCGCCGCTCCGCCGCCGTCGCCGCCGCCGCCGCAGCCGCTGCCGCCGCCGCCGCCGCCGCCGCCGCCGCAGCCGCTGCTGTTTATCGCGCGTCGTTCATTGTCGGCCGCGGCGCCGTGAAAAATGGAACGTAAGAGTGCGAGCGAGGCCGCGATCCAGGCCGCACGTTCGCCTCGACAGCCGTTCCGTTCCGTGCTATCCGGAGAACGGACGGCCGAGCGGATATCGACCGACGTACCTCTCGAATTGTGCGCGATTCTCTATCATTGCGCGTACGTCGTCCTTGTCTTTCGCTTCCGTTCGATTTTATCCGCACCGCGACATTGCCGCGATTTGCACTCGCTCTTGCCCGCGAAAATCACCACCGTTCAAATGTCGCGCCGACGAGTCTCTTTCTTTGAGGATTACAATGTGATTATAATGTAACTATAATACACACACACACACACACACACACACACACACGTGTTGACTTGTGCGCAAAGTCGAGTCCGCGAGTGCTTCTCAACAGATATGCGACACTCTCGCACCTCCGCGATCTCGCGGTGCGGCTGTGGGTTTTGAGCGACTTGAAGAGAGCGCTCTTTATGAGCGGATCAGCCCGTGAGCGTATATCTCGCGACCCTGTCTTCTCTCTTTTTGTGGACGCACGTCCACAAAAACAACGTCTCGCGCTTTATCTTCGCTATTCGGTCTGAATCAATGTCGACCGTTTCGGAGAGCACTGTGAGAGCACGGTTTGTGTGCTCTGCCATTCACTCGACCGCCGCTATCTCGCCGTATCAGCGTCAATCAGCGCTGGCTTTGGATTGATCACTCGTTCCGGTGAACCTCGCGCGGCCGCTCTTTACCGTCGTCGATTCTCGCGCGCACACACACACACACACACACATACACACACACACACACACACACACACACACACGTTCTAGATCTAGCGCGAAAGGTATCGTCTGTTTTCGGGGCAGATATATCTGCATAAACAAGCAATCTGCACACGCACGTGTGTCCGTCTCCGACGGACGGAGTCTCGGTCGCGAAGCACCGAGCCGCGAGAGCGTCCGTCACCGACGCGGATCTGTCCGCGTTCGCGAGCGCGTGGGTGAGATGCGGCTGAGATCGTTGCTGACGGTGCGCGATTTATCCAGGTGCGATGCGTCAAACGGCCCGTGCCCGCGCGGATGTGCACCGGATTCGGTCCCGTGCGCTCACTCGCCAAGTTTGATCACGCGCGCGCGCGCGCGAGTTCAGTGCTTTCGCGCCGACACCGTGATACCGACTTTCAGACTAACCGCGCGCGCGCGCGCGCGTTCTCGCACGCGCCGCCGTTTCCGCACGGCGACGCGCGGCCCGCGCTCTCCCACCTTGTGCGCGCGAATACGCGCACCCTCTCCTCTCTCTCTCTCTCGTCTCTTTCTCTCTTTTTCCCCTCTCTCTCTCTCTCTCTCTCTCTCTCTCTCTCTCTCTCTCTCTCTTTCTCTCCCTCTCTCTCTCTCTCGCTCTCTCGCTCTCTCTCTCTCGCTCTCTCTCCCCCTCTCTCCATTTCTCTCTGCTTGCCGATCCTCGTGCACGAAATATCGTATTGCATCGTATTGCGCTCCACGCGATATCCTTTCTTCGGCAGGAGGCGAGCTGAATTTTTCTCCGTTTGTTACATTCGCAGAGTTCGTCGAGAGGGAGGGGGGGGGGCCGTTGGAGCAGCTTCGTCATAAAAGAGCAAGTGTGGTCACGCGTTTCATCTGTGTATGAGAAACAGCAAAATCGGCAAAATGTTACGATTGAGAACAACTTGTCTGCCATCAGCTGGCATCCGTATCAGTTTGCCGCCATCCGCGTTCCAATCTGCAATAATATCAGCAAACGTTAACGAACATCGAACCGAGTCCGGGCCTTGATTTCGGGCTCCGCTTCGAACGTGCCGCGTTCACTCTAAGCGTCTCGAGAGTCTCTCGCTCGGTATCTCAATGTGCCGTGTGTGCGCCATTGGACCCGCCAAATTGCACACATCGGTTCACGCAAAAGGAAAGATTCGGAATAAAAAGACGTCGCCGCAACGTATCGTCCGGAATAGCGGAAAAACCTGACAGCGCGTGCCGCGCGAACCTGCTTCTCGTACGAGTCAGCCGGCGCGCTGTTCTCGATCTAAATATGGAAAGAGATATTGGGAACAAGAGAGAACGAAGAGACACACGGAAAAGGAAGACAGGCGTTACGCAAATGAAAGAGCCGGCCGGAATGAAAAAGGGGAAAATCGAGGGGATCCACGAAGATAGCGGTAAAGGCGTCCGTCGCCGCTTGCGAGCTGAGAGAAAAAAGGGGGTTAAACAGGGAAAGGTAGTTACGGTTGGAGCATAATGAGATTACCGTTAACAATAATGAAAACGACAGGTGTAGGAATATAACGATGAGCATGCAGCGGCACCGAAATACGAAAGAATTTCATCCTCAGGATCCTCACAACGCGGATTCCTTCTGCCAGATCCCGATGAGAGAGATAGATCAGCGATGAAACGTCAAATTGCCCTGGAATCTTGCGTATAAGAGCGAACGATTCACTTAAAAGACTTTTCAATTTTAATAAATTTCTCCCTTCGACTCAGAGTCGACAATTTACGTAGTGCCGAACTTTTGGAAAATCTGGCGGTTGAAATTGTCCTCGTATTTCATCGACAGGGACAATCGATCGCGCAATTGACTCTACGATAGACACATGCCAAATTATCTATCAATACTCTTGCGGTACTTGCGGTGGTGGGACTGAGTGATGATTACAGATACGTTAGACATTGCATAGACGTGAATATTTTATAATTATATTTACGAGAAAAATCGACTTTTCTATCTCTACGTTGCGACCACCAGTTTTGACCAGTTGACACCTCCATCTGTCGAAGGAATAAAATCAGTGACGCGAAGTGAACATAGGGGAGACTTAAAATTTCACAACATGCTTTTATTTCGTTATCTTGTCTGCGACGCGAACAGTATCTTAATGCAATAATACTAATCCTAAATTACGTTTTATGGACTCGCATCGTCCTTTAAGAAAAGCGAGGAAATTCACGAATAATAATCATCGCGCGTGGGGTAAACTTTCCTCTTCTTTTCTTCTTTTCTTCTTTTCTCATGTTATTTACTCATTCGTTTGTCCGCATCTCTCGCAGGAGGACGCGACATATCTTTCGCATCACGAGAACGTCAAGGAGACAAAAACAAAAAAGAAGGATGAAATGAAAAGAAATCGCGGAAGACCACCGGGAACACGAGAATCAGGTCGCGTCCGACTCGCTTTTGAACAGCGAGTCGCATAGAAATTACAGTCAATGAAGAAAAAACGAGCAAAAGATACTAAGGACAAAATAATTGTGTTTACACCTGTATGACGCAATTAGTAAGAACTATGTTAAATGTAACCCTAAATTAATATAATCTTTCATATGCATTACGTGTGTGTGTGTGTGTGTGTGTTTGTGTGTGTATGTGTGTGTGTATGTACACACACACACACACTGACGTTTAACATTCGATCCGTCTCTATGGCACGTGTACATTTCACGCTTGTGTGCGTGTATATGTGTGTATTATATCTGTACGTGTATCGTGTATTGCGAGAGCGCGTGCGTGAACCGAACTTATCGAATATCAGGTTCTTAATCGGTCTGACGACGTACATGCTACTTTTGCGATATTGCGTTGAGTTATTGTCTACCCGCTTACGGATATACTTATCGACGCGGAGAGTGAAACTTCTCCCCCCGTGGTGTGGCGCTAACAGGTTCGCGTCAGCACCCGATGAACTTACTTTTCTCGCTCTTAGCATTTGTACCAAGTGGCGAGACGCGAGATCGTTTACCGAGCGCATCGAGCTCGAGAACTTAACATCCAGGAACAAAGAAGAGAAAAATAAGTGGACACTTCAGTAAGTACGTCTTTTTCTCCCGTCGATAAATAGCGATTCAGCGCGTCAAACTCCGACCAATTTCGAGAGCATCGTGAAAAGAAGCAAAGCAGGAGCGTAATAGCGAGAGAGAGAGAGAGAGAGAGAGAGAGAGAGAGAGAGAGAGAGAGAGAGAGAAAATTATAACGTTTTTAGGTTGTTAGGTAAGTTCGAATCGATCGGAGAAGTAACATTAGCGATTTTTGTCGTCCGTAATGATTGCCGGTTAATTGTTACACACTAAACTATACGCCAAGGACGCCGACGTCCGCGAGTCGGAACGCCTCGACATGAAGGCACCCTTAATTCTAGGTCATCATCGGGGGAGTTTTACAGCGACACTGACATTCGGACGACCTTTCATCGGGAACTTTGAAATTCTCTGCGCACGCTCTCTCGCGCGTGTATACATGTATATATGTTTGTATAAATGTTTGTATACGTGGTTCGATATACAATGTAAATCGAAAATAACGTGCGCTCTCTTTCAAACGGAGAGAGGAAGAGAGAGAGAGAGAGAGAGAGGGAGAGGGAGAGAGAGAGAGAGAGAGGGAGGGAGAGAGAAAGAAAACGAGGTCGAGGTTTTAAGAAACCTCGATCACTTACATGACAGTGTGGCCGTTCGGCTCATAAAAGAGAAAAAAAAAAAAAAAAAAAAAGCCGTTGCTCATGCTTGATTCGCACGTGTTTTCCTCCGATTGGGAATCGTGCGATAATCCAAACGATTTTGACCATCCCTCATTGCTTCGCGTCACATCGAGGTGCGAAAATAAAATAAAACAGGGCAAAATATACGAATGAAAACGTAAAGACCGGAAGACAAGACTCTAAGCACAAACCGCGGGAGGAAAATCAATCGATATCACACCGGGATCGCGTCGCGATATCACTTTAGTCGTCCTTGCTCGTATTTTATCGAAGAAGTTCCTGCTTCTTTGTCCTTGTCGCCGAGCGAAAACGATGCGCGCACGCACGTCAATGGACTGGTTACCAATATACACAAAGTTGATTTCGATAATAACGGGTCCACACGAGTATCACCTGGATGCTCACGAAATTAATCGAATATTCTAAGTCAAGTTACAACAACAATAATTCAGTTTAAGTAGATAAAGACTAACAAGAGGGAAAACTTGACGTTAACAGCTAACACAATATAGCAAAGGGAGAAATATATATTATACAATTAAAAATCGAAAACCATTTCGTGAGAACCGCGACTAATTAGCAATCCTAATAACAAGCTAATATGGAGGATATTACTTCCATATTTGTTTCAATATTCAAGATTTCATTACAGGTGGAACCCAGCCACCTCAGATATCTGCTTTATCCAGATAATAACCATAACATCCTAAATCGCGTCACAGCCTATTAGAGAACGTGGACATTGCAATGCGCGTGATTTTCGCGCTTGTGCTCGTGCATGTAAAAGGACGACGGGCGACAAACTCGGCGCGCTTCATACTTGAGTCGACCGATCGTCAGAAAAAACGGCGAAGGGCATAGTAGAGGAAACGGCTGTCTCTCTCTCTCTCTCTCTCTCTCTCTCTCTCTCTCTCTCTCTCTCTCTCTCTCTCTCTCTCTCTCTCTCTCTCTCTCTCTCTCTCTCTCTCTCTCTCCCCTCTCTCTCTCTCTCCATCTTTCTCCTCACGAATAAGACATATCTATCAAGGTAAATCGTGTTTCGTTCTTTTTTTTTGTTTTAAGCAACGACGCGAGTCGGATCAAGTTAGATAAGTCTAAAATTAGGAGGCGCGAGAGAAAATTAAAATCTCACACGCAGTTGATTGCATCGTGTCGCGGTGACGTTGACGTCATGATGATGATCCACATTTTTGTTTTCTCACGCATGCATTCTCTTCTCTTTCGACTATCTTTTTCTCGTTAATAGTACGTATACAACTACCGTCCCTATTATTGTATAACAAGATCATCCTTAGGATTGTGCGACACTACCTTGTCGTATTAAAATAGATTTCAATCGCACTTTGTACATCGTCAACAACTTTGTCCATGAACACAGCTTCACACATACACACTAACGTCACCACGCCGGCCGACACACGTTTCACTAACGGCGGATTATCTCGATTCAATGCTACAATTCTATCAATGTGCAACGGATCCTACACTTGCACACAGCCGAAAGGATTCTTTTCCGGAGCGAATTCTCACACGGTACGCTTCTCGTCTCTCTCGCATTCTTCCACACACACGCACGTGTTCTCGCATCATTTCCTCTCTACTATCTTTCACACAGACAAACCAAAGTACGTCACGTCGTTATCTTACACAATTTCGTTCGCTAACGGAGCAATCAGCAAAAAATTTAACTATTTAGTAACTAGTAAAATAAGTCTTTGGTGTTTGTACCTCTCTCTCTCTCTCTCTCTCTCTCTCTCTCTCTCTCTCTCTATGACGCGTGTCATTCCCCCTCTTACCCCACGCCCAAACTTTTTGTGCTCGTTGCATATAGATACATGTACACATGATGCTAAATTCATCATTCGATTTTGTAACTTCGTATACAAACGGACAATCGCCATCTCCTCTCAGCCCACCCCATCGAGGAGCGTGATTTGTGTGAAAATGCCATCAGCCTAGTGTGCGTGTGCGTGTTTGTGTATACGCATACGTGTATATGTATATATATTTATCTCACATTTGTATAATTTTGATTAGAGTCACGCGCTACAGTCTGTAGGCGACAGTAAATGCGAATCGCCCGACGATGGGGAAAATAGAATACGGTTTCCTTTTCTTTTTTTATAGATGAGCGATTCGGATGCGAGTTTCGCCGCCTGACCAATATCGTGATCCAACCGATATTAAACACGACGCGCGTAAAAACTACCGGGATGAAGATAATACAAAGGTGAAAATTAGCGAGGGCGACCCTACGAGGTTTCGCGCTTCGTCGCGCAAGTTGAGCAACGGGTCAATGATAGAGCGGGGCGGTTCAAGCGGAAAGTCAAATGAATGATCCAGACGAAAAAGTCCAGATGAAAAAGAACGTTGCGAGGATGAGATGTGTGGCGACGTCCGAGAGAAATTTACAAAAGGAAGAAGACGACGTCAAGTGTCCCGAGCGGAGACACGGTCTAATGATCGAGAATTTAAACGTCGTCGGACGAAAAAATGGCAACAAGAGGAAAAGAAGAATGAAACGAAATTACGAAGCATCACGAGCGATGAATATACGATCATGTCTCGCTGTAAGTGAGATGGAGAAAAGATTAAACATTATAATATGTTTGCGTGCGTTACACTACCCTGTCCATTGTACTGTTGGGAAGATTCCTCTTTCTTTTTTTTTTCTTTTCGGGACGCGCGATTAATTTACAAAGCGAACTGAACTCTCTCACAAAGGAAAGAGGATGCACAAACAACGCGCATCTTTCTGTCCTTTTCTTTTTCTTCTTTTTCGATGTTTTAACTCTACGATGACACCTACCTATATATATATATATATATATATATTATATATATATATATATATAGACGTTATAAAGATATTACAAATATATCTCGTATATATCTTCGATATATAACATATTTATATATCGAAATAAAAATTAACATTGAAGAGAAGGAAACTATCGTGAGTAGGAACGCTGTTTCTAGAAACGACATTATATTTTTAACGCAAGTGTATATTTAATAACTCGATGTAGCGGAGATAGATCTTCGGATATCTCTCTCTCTCTCTCTCTCTCTCTCTCTCTCTCTCTCTCTCTCTCTCTCTCTCTCTCTCTCTCTCTCTCTCTCTATCTATCTACTCGGTTAACTAACGGTCATATCATCGTTTTCTCCCCCCTCCTAATACAAAGAACGAATCTATATACTTTTGTACTTTTATGCGGTTGCGTGATACCTTTTTTTCTTTCTTTCTTATTTTCTATTATTTTTTTTTCATGTATTTTCTTCCTCGTCCTAATTTTCTTCTTAATAGCGTGCTTATATAGCTGTCAGACTTGTTTCTCTTATAAGGCAAAAGGTTTCGCGCGATGCTCGGCTAGCAACTTTGGCACTCGTTGGTTTCGGTTGATAACTCGACGACACAGATTTCCTTCGCGCGTCTATCATACGCGCGACTTTTTCTCTTCTGTAATAATTGCGCGCGCACACACACACACACACACATACGTGTGTGTCATTTGGTATCTGAATGTCAGACTATGGTCGGTCAAAAGGGAAAGTCTTCTTCTTTCTTTTTTTTTTTCTTTTAATTTAGATCCCCCTGTTGCGCGTTCTATATCTGTTTTCTCCCGTGATTTATGTACAAGAAGTCGGCGCGGCGCGGTACAGCGCGCGACGGATCATCCTGATTCTCGACACGGCCGTTGGTGTCCATGGAAGGATGCTATGCCGATTATCGTCGATAACAGACGGATTCAAGGAGGACGCGTTTGAAGGGTGTTGCGTTACGCGCGCGCGTTACGTGATCGATCGACTGACTACAGTCCTCCATCGTTAACGCTCTAGAAATAGCGTTCCGTGTACTCCACGAGACCAGCTTTGAGCATTTTCACGAACACCATCGAAATGCGTGTTCAAATTTATCACACGTTTCCGATACGTCATGACGTCATTACGCCGTGCGCGTACGCGGCTCCGCGTTTTAATGTACAAAATGCCTGAATATATACGTATATACGCGTGTGTGTGTGTGTGTGCGTGTACGTATGTGTACGTGTGTGTGTGTGTGTGCGTGTATATATTCAAAGGTTCACGTAGGAAGCAGATTCTTGTGTCATTCGGGCGGGCGTGTCATTGTTTCGTCAAAAAAAATCTTATCATTTAGCAATATGTGTGTGTGTGTGTGTGTGTGTGTATGTGTATACATGTGTGTATCGGTCATCTCATAAATAATTGTGCGCACAGTGAATGGCACTAGTTTTACGGAAAAAATGAAATTGAAAAATTAGTCCCAAGATAGCGAAATATTGCGAATTCGATAATGATGGATATATCTTGGGCGAAGACGAAATATTTTGTGATTTTTGTGGAAATTTAAAGTTATAGAGGTGCGCAATCATTTGTCCATTCGTTTCACGAAAGAAAAGACTTTTTTTATGGATAGTTTATGGGATAATCGATGCATACATATATATGTATGTGTGTATACACTCACTCATTCACTCACTCACTCACGCGCGCGCGCGCGCACACACGCGCACACACACACACACACACACACACACACACCACCACACCACACACACACACACACACACGCACACACACACACACGTCTACATTCGGTAAATATGCTTAAAATTCTAACCAACGCCGTCGCGGATCTCGGTGATGCCGTGAACAAGCTCGGAAGAAGCATCGTCACACACGAGGGCGCTGCTTTTTCGCTTGATTTAATTGTACGTCTTCTTTTTTTTTGTTTGTAACGGTCGTTACGAGAGGTGAGGAGAGAAGCCGCGAAACGGCGAGCATGGCACAGTTTCGTCACACCCGTGTTATTCCTTTTGCATCTCACCGCCCTCCCCTCTGCCGCTCGTGCATCACACACACATTTTTTTTCAACCACCTTATTATAAATTCGCGGCATCTATAAACGTAAAACAACTCTTACAATCTCTCGAGATGAGAATCGATAAAAACAGATATGTCACTTTCGTATGTCGCGACAAGATCCGATGAGCTCTCGTCCTCTGAGAGCTACCATATCCTATATATGGTAAAGGTAAAGGTATTTTTTTTAGTCTGGGCCATCTTATTAAACGTCGATTCTCGAACAATTAAAGCGGCCCAGTTATCGATGTATCTGATGTAACCTTTTTTGTGTTTATCGTTAGCTCCTGTGTCTCCTCCGTTTCGTCGTGTATAGTTGGGTTCTCGATTTCGAGTCGCGAGGACAGCGATTTCATCGTGTCGGTTAGGAAAGAGAAAAAAAAAGAAACAAGATTGAAAAATATAGCGAGAGATTTAATCATTAATAATATATATATTTTAAGAACACGAATGGTTTGTCAAGTGCATGCTCGACGGGAACCATTCGTATCAATAATAAGAGGAACGTTGTCATTGTGGCCAATAATTTACATAAATTCATTTGCAATACGAACACTTTGAATACTTTACCTCTGGCACGTTTTGAAACGCACACAACTTTCGATAAGAGAGTAACCCCCCTGTACGAATTATTAGAAAACAAACTTTCTTATTGAATATTGTGTGCGTGTCAAAATGTGAGCAGAGGAAAAGAAATGTATCGTATTGCAAATGAGAGTGCATCGGCGACAATTACGAACGTTCAGAATGTCGGAAGGGCGATTATTTTTCATTTTCGCCCTCAACTCTATCGTTGTTTTCTATCGTCGTCGTCATCGTCGTCGTCGTCGTCGTCGTCGTCGTTGATGTCGTCGTCGACGATAGCTCATTCTCGCATCTATTTCTCACGTTTAGGTTAGAGCCATACTTGAGGGCTGTATATACTAGCAGATATATCCCTCGCATTTCCCTGTTACCACGTGCATGCTGGTTGGTCAGCCGAAGAATGTCTTGTTCTTCGGTCGTGGTATCTTCCGGCAGGGCGACCCGAGTTTCTTCCGCCTCGAATATCGCGATCGGTTCTTCGGACATCGGGGTCGGTTCTTCAGGTATTGGGGTCGTCGGGACTTGGGGCATCGGGATCGGGACTTGGGCCGTTGGGGTCGGATCTTCGGGCATCGCGACGTCTGGTATGTCGGCGTCCAGCGTCATGGCGTCATTCGGTACCGCGACATCCGACACTGCGACGTTTGGTACCGTGATGTGGACGTCTGGCATTACTCGAGATGAGTGCTCCCTCGGAGCGCTCCAGTACGCACCACTGGTAACAGTCTCGTTCCTGCACACAAGATGAAGTCACATCTTAACTATAATGCTTAAAGAGAATCCGACGTCTCTAACGAAGAAACGAAGGAACGAAGAGAACGAAGTCCGAGAACACGTAACACCCAAAAGCCGCGCGCTCTCGAGGCTCATATTGGTGATCATCTTCGGTAATCGTTTGAAGGCCGTCATTGAAAAAAAACGAAAGAAAAAAAAAGAAGAAAATGAAAAAAAAATATATAATTTCTATGTTTTTTTTCGATGGGCCCTCGGTATGGAATAGAAGTCCTATACAAGTGCTTGCTCGCCTTCGGCGTCATCGTGACGCGTCGTATATTTCACAGCGAGCGCGACGCACGCTATCGCCGCAGGTGTCGTTGTGCGTTTGCGATGAATATTTTCATCAATGTTGCCAGAAGTGAGAGAGTTTATGTAATTTGGAGATGATACGATACATCGGCGGTACATACAGCCAATGGGTCCGAACGGTCTCTCACGCTCTCCTTTCCTACCGGAATAGGATAGGATTCGTGGTCGGAAATTCGTTCGCGCGATGCTCTGCGCGCATGGCCACACGCGCGACGAACAAACAGTGCGGAATTTTGAACATTTTTCATCATCGATCGATCGATCGATCAATCGATCGACCGATGTGTCGAAGATTGTTAGAGAGCGTATTCGCTGTGCAAGTGGAGAGGGGGGAATTATGAGAATTTTGCTTCTTCATGACACCACCAGTTTTCAGACTTATATAGAGCTTCTACACTGTACTCTTAACGTGGATACAGCAATGGACCTATATACGTGAAAAAGCTTCAACAATGTTAAAGTTTCTCCATGTGTATAGGTCTGTCGAAAGGACACTTGCTTAAAGTTTTGTTGATGCGAAATCGCGTCTCCGTCAAAGTGGATGTCTCGTGTGGTTTTACTGTCTGCATAACGGCACACGATAACATTCGGCCACTGTGCTGTGGGACGATCCTCCTCACTGTGAGAGCTAGTGCTTTCATAGTCGTTTGGGCTGTCCTCCTCGCTTCTGTAAATTTATTATACACAATATCACATTTCATTCCCGCGATACAATGCACCGCCCCGCCGTATATCCAGCTCGTAAACATATATCAACACGTTGACTGCGCCATGGCGGTCATCGGTGACCAGCACCGGTGATGATCACGACGAGGTCATCTCATTATTTCAAGGATAAAACATCACTAGCTGCATTTAGCGAGAAATAAATATGTGGCCAATAGGGAGCCAATAAATCCAGCCAACGAGTGTGTGTGTGTATGTGTGTGTGTGTGTGTGTGTGTGTGTGTGTGTGTGTGTGTGTGTGTGTGTGTGTGTATCCGGGAATTTGCTTCGCATTTTCCCCGTAATTTTGATCATGCGAACTACAATCGAGCTTGATACACGAGATTGATGACGAAATCAACGTGACAGTCAATACGTTAACAAGTGGATATATTGGAAGAAAAATGTTTGATTTATTCATGATTATATTTTTGGACGCTGTGCGGCTGTATAGAGCAATTTTTTAACGCTACTGCTAGTGCTAGTGGTAATAACTTTATATACATATTGTCGTCACTACATCTCGTTACGATTAAAAGGTACAATCAACGCTAAAAATGGCGGTTGTAGTGGCATTAATAATTTTTTTTTTCCTTCAAAGGTATACATAACGGTGACAACGCGAAACAGATAATTGTCCGCCAAACTGATCTCTTGTGAAAAATTTCAAAAATCACTTCTCAACAATTATTCTTAACCACTTGCATTGGTATTCAATTTGCAAACTTGTAGAACACATGTGTACTTTGAGTTCAAGCTCGGAAAGAATGAGAGTACATATTATAATCTTTTTTTTAAGGGTTAGATTTTGTTGTATAGAATTATTGTATAGAAATAAAAGAATTTGCCATCAACAACTCCAACATTCTAACTTGCGAAGGCGCAATGTCCTATAGCCTAACGCGCCATTCCAGCGCAAAGGATTTACAAAAACAATACCGCCTCCTAGTTTTCCCATGGGCTAGCTGGAGATTATAACAAAACCAATGGACTCACAGTGACCAGCCAGTGATCGAGATTCGATCAGCCAATGCTGCTGAGCCTGCACTGACCGAATGGACTGCCTACCAAAATGCAGAGTGTCTGGATTTCGATGTTTGAGCGCGAAGGACAGAAATTGTCAGACAGAATCGAAAAATTCTCTCTGCTACATTGCACATTATCGCAATAATTATAAAGGTGTCAGTGAAAAAGAATCAATGCACACAACATGAAACGGAGTAAACTCTTAAGACAAAGTCTCACAACGTTCGGTTGTGACACGCCTCCATTGTGCTCGCCACCACCACCATTATTGTGCACCGCCCTCGGATGAGCTCGGATCGTTTCAAAAGTTTGCCTCATCCTATCACGCGCGTAGTGATTGGCCAATTTTTCTTGATCAAAGTCTCTATAATTACCACGATGATGTGCGAAAGTGCTGGAGAATATTATATATTTTTCGATTCGTTTCAACAACTATCTGCACCTGCACACCAGAGCGCCTCATACTCTCAAGTCCAGACACTCTGTATATAAAACGATTACGCGTTAAAAAACAAAGGCGGTGGCAATCGCCTCCTAATCCTTCCATCTGTAGACGGTACCGCATATGGATATTATATGATACTGCACGGCAGTTGTCCAATACTTGGACTGATTGTAAAACTCCAAATGGACACCAATCGGCGCATTAGGATGCGCACGTAGGACGTAGGTCTGTCCCTTTCTCTCTATTTTCTGGTTAGCGCGGCTACTAGTTCCGAACACATTCCATATTTCCGTTTTCATCAATTTTTTATATTATAAATTTTGTACTAATCTTCGTCTTCTCAATCTGGCGGATAAATGTAATTTATTTCTCAGAAGCGACTTTTTTCGCTACATGAGTGAAAATCTGCTAAAGCGGTATCAGCGGAACAGTCTTTCCTGCAGATCGGTGCTCTACGATCGACAGTTTTCAGATTACTCATCTAATGTAATAATGTCTAATGTTGTTGTCGCCTCGTGTAGTTTTTTTTCCCTTAATCTGGACAGTTTGAGCAATTTTTGTCTAAATTTTCCACAAGTTTCTCGAGTGATCATAAGAAACAAGACACCTACCGATATATCAGACTGCCCGCCTCCTCGTAATCATGATCGACGCGCCGATTCTGCGTATTGCTCTCGTAAGACGCGGTGTTTCGGCCATGCCTTGTGTTGGCCTGCTGTTGCTGTCCAATTGTCGCCTTCTTGCGACGAGATATAGTATATTGAAAAGGATCCTCGCCATCTTTCAGCAGCATATCTGGCAGGATCCGGCGTCGAGCGTTAATAAACCAATTGCAAACCTGCAAACCAAGATCGTGAAACGCTGTTACGAATACAGTTGGCTGTCTCGATGATATTGAGGTAACCAGAAAACAGAAATTCTTCGTCGCGGCGCTATCTTGATCAACAAGCGTCAATCAAAAGCGAGGAAGTACATGCTTGGCAATACATACTTGGCAAGGATTTCTAACATGTGCTCTCTCTCTCTCTCTCTCTCTCTCTCTCTCTCTCTCGCCTTCGACGATCGAAAGCTTACCTGCAGCATAGTCAAGCCGGCCTTCTCACAAAGCGTGAGCTTTTCCTCCTCACTCGGGTAAGCATTGAATCTGTGTTCGTAGAGCCACTGCTTTAAGATCTTCACCGAGTGCTTCGGAAGGTTGCCACGACGTTTACGCGTGACGCCGCTCGCGGTATTTGCGGCCTGACTGCTGCTGCTGCTATGTGGCGCATCCTGCAAATCATGCAAGGCGGAGGGCACCTCGGGGGAGCTCATCTCCGATCTACTTGTGTCTTCGCTGACACTTTCCAAAGGCATATCTAGAAACAGAGAGAACAGAGGACAGAGGTTAAACGTTGAGAATTAGAAGATCTGTCTATCCGTCGAATCCATGTTGAAATTTAAATGCATGCAGAGACACAGATGCATGTGCCAGGACTGTGTGTGTTGAGTGCGTGTCCGTGTCATCACGGCGAAGACACGGGGAATACGTAAACGGTCAAAGAGGACGCAAAGTGTAGATCTTGGATGGGGGAATGTCATTGAATGAATTCGCCCAACACGAGTCCACAAGCTCGCGATGGATGATGGCGCTTTAGCCATCCGATTCAAAATCGCAGGCATGATGACATCAAAGGATTCTCGCCTAGCCTCGCGCGCGCGCGCGTGTCTCTCATCAGCCTGAGATTGAGATGAAAATTCTCGACGAATCCACGAAATGTGCTGCATCCACTTGTCTGTTTTTCGACGTCGATTGGTCAAGTTGCGCATTCTTCTTCAAGCTTCAACAGCCAACCTGACCCAGGTGCTCTCGCGCGCACCTCGATGACAGCGAATTATCATTATCGAGAACGTGTGTAATTAAGCGTGGGATTAAAGAAGCCGGGTTTCACGCGTGCACGCACTTGTGTCCCGAAATTGCCTGCACCTGGTGCTTGCTAACTCGCAGCTACGGCGCGCGCTTTCTCACCTTGCCCGTCCCTCGCGCTCGCGCGCGCACGCACGTGGCATCGCCCGGGAATCGAGAGATGAGACGAGGAGGAAGGAGGTCGAACGACGACCGTGATCGGACAAACGACGCGCCGACGAGAGAGAGCAGAGGTTGTTTGAGCAGCTAAACAAACAGAAGAACGACGTCGTCGCCGCGCCGCGCCGCGCCGCGTCGTGCTCGGTGCTGCTCCCGATATCGGTTTGCCGTATTTCCGTGCGCGTGAGAGATCGCGCACCGCGCGCGCGATTTTTCCCGAGTGACGCGACGCGGCGAAATTCTCGGCGGTGAGATGCCAATCAGCGCGCATCTCGACGTATCTCGTATCTCGTAGATCGAAGATGCGGCTAGATCGAAGATGTGTTAACGATCGCGGATGGATATTTCTTCGATCTCTGTATCATGGCCTGCTGTTCCGTCTGTCCCGGGCGTCCCCTAGTTTTACTTCTGTCGAAATCGACAGAATAGTTTGAGACACGCGGGAGAATTTGTGCGCGCGCGCTTTTTCTCAAGCACAACGCGCGCCGCCGATTCGACCGACTGGCCGGGATTCTCCCTTTCATTGAACGCCCTGCGCAGTACACGTGTATGGAGATCTGGATTACGCAATCCAGGGTTACGAGGAGTTCATAAATAGTAACGTCGTAGGTAGTAATTGCAGCGAGGAAACGCGGAGTCGCGCGTACGTGAGACAATCTCTGTTTTGATTTGCCGAGATTCGGCGCGTGACGTGCCGCCGCGCCGTCGCCATCGTCGTCGTCGCGTGTCCTGATGAGGAGTCGGGTCTCACCCTGCGCGCTACCTCCAAGGAGAAAAGCCAAGGAAGAAAGGGTATAGTAGCTAGTTCAATGCTGATGAATTACCGTATAGCGCGCAATATACGGAGCAACAGAAGCTAATCTGCGTGAATGAAATCGCGTTCATGCACGGGGGCGAACGACTCGATTTCTTTTATCGCGAATTCTTCGCGTTAGGTCTCTGTCGATGGAACCAACTCGAGACGGCGTCCTCGTGGCGATAATTATCACAGAGTCACGTGACACTGCGGCGGCGGCGGGGAGGGGGGGGGGTCTCTCGTATTAAAATTTTGCTACAACACGTCTAAAACGTCGACTCGCCGCGATGCCGGCCGATGCGTCGCGGCTGACAGCTCGCGGCCAACTTAGGCGCTGAATATTAATATCGCAATGTTTGGAATAAATCGACGATATCTGCAAAGGGTCAGTAAAAGCGCGCGAGGGTCGCGGAAGGAGTAACTCTCGCCGAGATCCGAGATAGTCGGAATTTTATTCTCGCCACATAAATACGTGTACACTTTGAAGAGGCGCGTAAACGGCAATATATCCGCTGATAATTGTCGCTCTCTCGCGCGTCGATAAAAACGGAGAAAGAAGAGATAAGCGTAACATCGTTCCGCGCTAGGCATTTTCAATCTTGAAAGCGTTCTCGCGCGGCGCTATCAGGAAAAGAGAGGATGTACCTGTGTTTCAAAGTGTATTTTAGTGACTGTACTTTTCTCTGCAGTTGTGCTCTCACGACATGCCAAGTAATCATCATATACGTCTATTTCTGTTTTTTCTTTCTGTACCGAGCTTTTCTCCACCAACTTTCCAACAACAATGATGAATACGATAATATGTGAATGGAACGGGGGATAGATCTCCGTATATAATTTTTCGTCTGACGATTTTTACCGGGAAAAATAGTAGCCCATCAATCAGACCGCAAGAGCCCATGAAGAAAATGAAGAGAAGAAAGGAAAAAGGAAAAAGGAAAATACACCAAGCTCAAAATGAAGTTGTAAAGTTTCTAACATACGCACGCGAAACGTTATCCTTGCATAAATCGTACTTTGTATCGCACGATGCATATGTACGCGCCAAGAGAGAAGGAGAGAGGTGGGGGAGACGAGAGAGAGAGAGAGAGAGAGAAACAGCCTTCAGTGGCGCACGCGTGCGACTGCAACATCCGTAAATCATATGGAAATAAACGCTAAGGTCGGTTCCCCTTTCCACAATATGGTCTCGGGCGTCGCGCGCTTGTTATTTGAATGGTTATGTAAAACTTGCGCGAAATGTTCAGAGGTCGTCTCTCGAAAGCGACATAAACGTCAAATGTAAAAACGTCGTTGCGGTGGCGAGCTGTCATATTCTGCCGGGCGATAGCGCGCGCTCGACGATCGAATCGGAGAGATTTACAACACACTTGAATTTCACTTTCATCCGATTGACATTCAACGAGGCGGGTCAACGAAGGCCGCGAGTATAATACAACGCAGATTATGTCGCGTCTTGAAATTATGTATGTGCAAAAGTCGCCGTTACTCTGTTTTGTCAAATCGAATAGAACGAGCATGAAATCCGCAGTCGAGAAACATCGGCCGCAAGCCCCAGCAGATGGATCTTCCTCGCCCGATTCGTTTCTCCGACAGATTTTCAACAAACTCCTACATCCTACACTCCTCCGAAACGCAGGTTCAAGATTCATTCAAAAGTCACAGCGCAATTAAAAGGTGAATCATGACGATCGTCTTTTTCGAGCGAGTTCGCCGCGCGAACGACGCGCCTCGGTGCCAACGTGCTCGACGCGCTCCTGCCAAGTGTCATTACACTCTGGTATGCCGGTGAGTTTAGAGCTGGCATTTCGTGTCGTGGCTACAAATTTAGCAAGATCCTTCGTGTCAATTGTTGCTATGAGGCGCGACATGAAAGAGAAGAGAAAAACATTCGGAAGAGGGCCAACAAGAGACGACACCTCCATCGCGGCGGCCGCCGCGAAGATTCCGACGATTCGCGAATATTCGCGCGTCCGCGTTGCCGAGAGAGAGAGAGAGAGAGAGCGTGTATATACGTGGTACGTACGTGGGTCGCGTTGACGTGTGTCGCGAAGTCAAAAACGTCACGTGTCAAGTCAAAATATCGACGCGTCGACGTCGCGTAACCATTTTTCAAAATTTATCCGAGACCTGTGTTTCCAGCGAGCGACACGTTTAGATTTATTCGGGGCATTTGCGAGTAAATATCGTTCGACGAGGTAGAGAGAGAGAGAGAGAGAGAGAGAGAGAGAGAGAGAGAGAGCGAGAGAGAGAGAGAGAGCGAGTTCTAAAATCGTCGCTAATCCGCAAATTCATTTAGAATCGACAAAGACTGACGCGTCGTCGTCGCTGCTCGGAATTTTTCGAGAATCTTATGAGACATATTGACATGATGACGCACTCTCTCTCTCTCTCTCTCTCTCTCTCTCTCTCTCTCTCTCTCTCTCTCTCTCTCTCTCTCTCTCTTCAGTCTCTTCGGGTATGGGTATCTTTGCGATAAAAATTGATCGGTGAAATGTGGCCGGCACACAATGTTGATTCTCGAATCTCAAGGTACTGAAATACTGATTTTGAGCTCGAGCAAATATCGACGAGAGCGTGCATATCCTCGTGATCGTGATCGTGATCCGCGATCCATCGTCTTTTATCCAACGCGATGCGCGATTTGGTAGGGGGTCACACACACACACACACGTCGTACTAGCCATGTAATGCCAGGAAGACTCGCCGTTCCCGAAATAATCCAAGTGTTCTGTGCGCTGGTTCCATATTTAGCGCGAGTATCGTGCCGATTCGTTCGGGTCAAACAGAGACCAAAGTTCGATCAAAAAGACAAATGCGCGAAAACGAACGACAAAGGTGAGCAGATGGCAGGGAGGGAGGGAGGAAGAAATACGAAGCATCCATTGTCGAAGAGGGGATTCGCGATTGAGCGGCGGACGTTGACTGAGCATTTGTTCCGAAACGCGACGAAGACAATTTCTTCTCGAAATTGTCCTCACGCGCGGACAGAGTGCGTTCTAAACTGATGAATCGTACACAATTAATCCGATCAGCAAGGATCGACGCGCGCGCGCGCGCGAGAGACAGAGAGAGAGAGAGAGAGAGAGAGAGAGAGAGAGAGAGAGAGATAGAGAGAGAGAGAAAGAGACAGAGAGACGAGAGGCGTCTCTCATATTTCACATATTCGATCTCCAGCGTAGTATGGATATCTCATACTCTGCAAATCGAGAGATGCTTTACACGTCATGAGAAGAAATGAATTTGCGCGCGCAAAGTCTCTACGTAACGTCCTGAGACGTGTGAGACGTTTATTCCGTCTCGTCGTGTTTTCCAGTCCACACGCGCAGCGTGCGACAGCGGTGGTGTCCCACCGGTGGTGGAAAAAAAGCTGCTTCGTCTCGCGCGGAGATGCGTGCATCACCGCGTCGAGGAGCGACGAACAGCGTCTCCGGAAACGGAATCCACCGCGAGTCCACGCTAGACCAACTAAACTTAGCGCTCGAGTTTTGCGGTTA